AATCAAGGAAAGTAAATAGTTTTTTTGTTTGTTTGTTTTGATGTTTGTTTGTTCAGTGCAAGGGTCGGAAACTCCAGCTCAAAAATTTTAAACCAAAAGGGGAAGTCACTGGCTCACATCACTGCCATGTTTCTGAAGCCAAGGAGTGGATTTCAGGTATGGCTGAGTCCAGGACTTCAGACCATGTTGTCAGGGATTGATTGCTCTCTGTCTGCTCTGCTGTATTCTGGGTGGGCTTCATTCTCAGATAGCTTCTCCCATCATGGGGTAATGATGGCCAACAGCCCCAAATCTACACTCCTACAGCTCAGCACCCCGAGAGTGCTATAGAGTGGAAAGGGGAGTTCTGGAGTGAAGTGAGTTCCCAGGGTCTAACGTAATATCTGTGAGGAGTGGAGGTAGAGTTCACACACACGTCCATCTGTCTCCAACCCCTGAGTTCTTCTTAGCCACCGAATCATACTACCTCCTATAGAACTGTCCCCAAGCTGCAGAGGAAATGGTTAGAATTTTCTCAATTTTAAGGGTTTTCTCATTTGAATTTTTTTCAGTCTTTTCTGACTTTTAACTACCACTTGTCTGAGCTAGAATCTAGTACAGTATGCAATCTCCAGTCAGTAAAGATTCAGGAAGCAGTTTCTATGTGCCCTAAACTAAATGCTGGGATTTTATAGATAGGAATCTTGTATGTTTAAGGGTGTGAGACTGAATATCATAATTTCATGGTGTTTCACATAGAACCCAGTGGCTTTTGAACATCTTACCACTTGAGTACATCTGAAACCCACAGAGGGAAGTTATTTGCCCTGGGCGAAAAGATAAGAGCTAATATAGATCTGGGCTACAGTTCCTTCAGGCTCCATGAGGAAATGTAAATGTTCCCAAGAAAAATAATATATTCACCCAAAATCAGTCATTCACATTTTACCTAGGTCTAGTTATATCTAAGTAACATCTGAGAGGGGGTGATTTTTGCCCTGGGGAAAAATGCTAAGAACTAATCTTTGAGTTATAATGCCTTAAGGCTCCATAAGAAAATGTAAATGCTCCCAAGCAAAGGAATCTATGTGCCTGATATCAGTCATTCGCACTGCAGCTGGAATTAGCTCAAAGTGCTTCGAGCACATTTTCCCTGAGGTAACTTCAGAGATGGAAAGGAAGAGGGATCTGTGAGAAAAGCACAGGTATAGGGAGACTGCCTCCTGGCAGGACTTGGTTGGCAATTATTGATATGGTAGTGTTTACATCAGAATAAAGCAATAATGATGAAAGGGAGGCATCACCTTATTTAAGGAACGTTACAGGCAAGGCAGTGGGAATGCTGGACTTTGGGGACCCAAGGTGGATCAATTTACTTTTGTAGAGGGGGCAGCTCCTAAACACTAACTCTAACACAAGGTGCGCTTGTATTAGAAAACTTGGGAAACTATGGAAAATGTATGTTTTGCATTTTATTTGTATTGTTTTATTATTATTATTTTTTTTGCGGTACACGGGCCTCTCACTGTTGTGGCCTCTCCCGTTGTGGAGCACAGGCTCCGGACGCGCAGGCTCAGCGGCTGTGGCTCACGGGCCCGGCCTCTCCGCAGCATGTGGGATCTTCCCAGACCAGGGCACGAACCCGTGTCCCCTGCATCGGCAGGTGGACTCTCAACCACTGCACCACCAGGGAAGCCCCTATTTCTTCTTTTTTTTTTAAGTTAAATTGTATTTCTTTGTTTGGAATATGTACATCGGGCACATGGCTGAGAATTCCAAAATAAATGATTATGCAGGGAAAAGCCCTCCTTCTTCTCTATCCCACCTCCCAGCTCCCAGCCCTGAAGGTTACCACCGTTACCAGATTCTTGTGTCTCATTCCAGAGATATTCTATAAATATATAAGAAACATGTATACACGTTCATTTTTCCTTTTGTCACACAGAGACAGTATCTTGTGTAGTGCACCTTAATTTTTACTTAACCAGTGCATTCTCAATGGGAAAGATATTATCTTCAAGGGGGTTGTGAAAACTAGTTCTTAGGGGGTGAAAAAAAATCTTACTCTTTTACTGTATAAAGCACAGATATACATATGGTACACAAGCATGTATATAGAATACATGTGGATTTACAGTTTCACGGGGGAGCAGTTAGGAAAATGTTTTCAAAGACTCCTTGTGGGAGGGCCAGAATAAAAAAAATGTTGAGAAACACTGAAATAACCATATATTTTCAATATTGTCCCATATCAGTACATAAAGAGAACCCTCATTCTATTTCACAGCTACATAATATTCCATTGTGTTAACACATCAGACTCTATAATCAATCCCCTATTGACAGATATTTTGGTTGTTTCTAATGTTTTCCTAAACGCATTATGTACGTGGTTGTTCATTATGTATTTAGTATGCTTTTTATTGAGGTAGAATTAATTTACAGTAATGATGCACAGGTCTTACGTGTGTTCAATTGGCTGAGTTTTGACAATTCTAGACAATCATGTAACCACCATTAAAAATAAGATATGGAATATTTTCTCCACCCTAGAAAGTTCCTTCATGCCCCTGTCCACTCAATTGCCCACTCTACTTCAGGCAACCACTTTCTGTCACCAAGAATTACTTTTGCCTCTTCTCTGGGTGTCATATAAATGGGATCCTACAGTCTTCTTTTGTGTCTGGCTTCTTTTATCACAATACATTTGAGATTCATCCATGTTGTTGAATGTATCAGTAATTTATTCCTTTTTATGGCTGAGTGCAGTTGTGTTGTATGGATATACCAGTTTGTTTATCCACTCCCCTATTGTTGGGTATTTGAGTTGTTTACAGTTCAGGACAATTATGAATCAGGCTGCTGTGAACATTCACGTACAAGTCCTTCTGTGAACATATAATTATATTTCTCTTAGCTAAATACCCAGGAATAAAATTGCTAAGTCATATGGTAAATGCATGTTTAACTTTATAAGAGATTTCCCAATTGTCCAAAGTTTCCCCAAGTGGTTGGACCCTTTTGGTTCCCACAAACAGTGGGTGAGAGTTCCAGTTGCCCCAGATTTTCCGCCAACAACTGATGTTGTCTTTTGTATTGCAGTCAGTCTAGTGGGTATCTTTAAACGTTTTCATATATCAGAAATGGTTCAGTATCAATGAAGTGCAACTTAAAAACAAAGCTCACACCTATGCAATTATGTTTAAGAAATGCTACAAACTCTGTCCCTTCCAAGGGTGTTACAGAGTGTTGTAAAGGCTCTGACAAGTTCCGCAAATCTGTTTATTAACACAGTATTCCTCAATCAACACAGCATCCTCTTGTGTTATGTTTCATACTTTTTAAATAATTAATTAATTAATTTTTGGCTGCATTGGGTCTTCATTGCTGTGCACGGGCTTTCTCTAGTTGTGGCGAGCAGGGACTGCTCTTCGTTGCGGTGCGCGGGCTTCTCATTGCAGTGGCTTCTCTTCTTGTGGAGCACAGGCTCTAGGCGTGTGGGCTTTAGTAGGTGTGGTGCAGGCTCAGTAGGTGTGGCGCATGGGCTTAGTTGCTCCACGACATGTGGGATCTTCCTGGACCAGGGCTCGAACCCGTGTCCCCTGCATTGGCAGGCGGATTCTTAACCACTGCGCCACCAGGGAAGTCCCATGTTTCGTGCTTAAACACATTGGTAGAATCTATTGTGGGAATTTTACTTTAGATTCCAACTTAGCATCGCTTTGAAGCATGTGGTCATGTCCAGTAAATTAGGTCATATGATTCCAAGGGCATCAGAAAGTCCTCTTGTCCCTCAAACGCTTATCTTTATCCTACCTTTTCAGACGTCTCCTTCATTAGGACACATAAAAGCCTTCCAAAGCCCATGATTATAAAATTACAAAAAAGTACAAATATCCTGGGGAGGTGGACTATGGGGTCTAAATCTACGTGAAGGTGTAAATGAGTAATACCAGATCCATGATTCTGGCAGGTTTTGATAAGAAGAGGAGGAAGTTCTATGTCAAGGGCACCGGGGCTCCTCAGAGTCATAAATGGGAGTGAGGGGGAGGCAGAGACAAGCCCAGAAGTCAAACTTCACCTACTTTCTCCACCTGCTGACACTGCCCTGGAAAGGAGCCTCCACAGCAAAGGCTGAATAAATATTATGACTAGGAAAGCCAAACCAAACCAAACAAACCCCTTAAAAAATCCAACACACACACACACAAATCCAACACAGAGTGGTTAAAAAGGAAATAAGAGATGCAGGGGTCAAGAGTGAGATAATGTCTCCCATCCAGAGGGGGACAGTTACTGTAATGCAGGGATTCTCCCGCCAGGCACTGCTGACATCCGGGCCAGGCTTACTCTGTGTGGGGCCGTTCCAGGCATTGTGAGGTGTGGAGCAGCATTCCTGACCCTCACTCATTCCATGCCTGGAGCACCCCCAGTTGTGACAACCACAGATGTTACCGTCAGATAAGAGAACCACTCTGGCGCAGCACATAATAGGTCGTCCTTAAATTTTTGATGCATGAATAAATAATGGCTGGTCCAGGGAGAAATGTACGCCAGGATGTGAACTTCTTGAGAGCAAGGAGGGTGTCTGAGTTACTGTGTAAACCTAGCACCTACCATCGTGCCCGGCACACAGAAGGTTCGTCATCCATTCACTAATCTCCAACAGCTTCCTGCTGTATTTCATATAAACCAAACTCCTTGCCACAGACTGCAAGGCCCTGCACGACCTGCCCCGTCCCCTCCCTGCCCTCCCCTCCTCCCTCTCTCACTCTGCTCCATCCACATGGGCCTCCTGGCTGTTCCTCCAACACGCCAGGCCCCATCCTGCCCCAGGACCTTTGCACATGCTGTTCCTTGGCCTGAAACACCCTTCCACTAGATCTCCCAGTGGCTGGCTCTTTCTCATCATTCAGGACTGTACTTAAATGTCACCTTTTTTTTTTTTTTTTTGGCCATGCCACATGGCATGTGAGATCTTAGTTCCCCGACCAGGGATTGAACCCGCGTCCCCTGCATTGGAAACGTGGAGTCTTAACAGATGGACCACCAGCAAAGTCCCTAAATGTCACCTCTAAAAAGAAGCCTTTGCCAGCCCTCTGTTGCCCTTTACATGATGACATTTAGTTTCTTGGTAGCATTTGCCCATTTGTCAGTTTTCTGGTGTGTTTATGCATTTATGGTCTAGCTCATCCACTGCCTTATCCCCAGGGCCTTAAATAGTGCTTGGCACACAGGAGGTGCCCAATGAGTAAGAGTTGACTGAGCACCTCCTGTGTGCCGGGCACTTCCTAGACACTGGGGACCCAGCTGAGAACAAAAGAGCCCCGAAGTCACTCACATGAAGAGGCAGGGGAGGAATGAGGGAAGAATACAGGCAAGTAAACAAGAAACTTTCAAATAGTGAGGATTTCAGTGAAACCAGTGATGTGATAAAGAGGTACAGGGTGAGGGCTCCTCTCTGGTGAGAGGTCAGAGACGACCTCTCAGCTGTCTGGGCTGAGATCCACAGATAGAAAACATTCCCAAATATGTGAACGCAGTGATAGATTCGGGGTGGAGGGGATAGGAGTTCCAGGCAGAGGGAACAGCTAGTGCAAAGGCCCTGAGGAGGGAATAAGTTTGGCTCAATGAATATTTATTGAGAATAAATGAATGATAGAAGATTCTAGAAGGAATCGATTGTTCTGGTTTGGCCGTGGAGAGCTTGCTTGCGGGCAGGGGGTTGGGGGTTGCCAGCTCCAATGAGGGAAGGGGGCTCCTGGCAGAGGGAAGGGCTCTAGCGGAGGCCTGGGCAGTTCTTCTTGGTTCTGTTCTGAGAGTGGACAGGACCCAGCCAAGGGCCCTGGGCTCTCCTGGAGCCGACATCCAGGGATTATGACGAGAAACAGTCCCTGAAAGTAGGGGAGAGGTCATGCGAGAGCCGCGGCTCCCCAGACTTTGGCCTTTGCCCACTGCCGGCTGGAAAAGCACGAAACATCTGAGATAACGGTCTTCCCTCCCCTCCCCCTAGCCTGCCCCCGTGTCACTGGCCCTTAACCCTGTCTGTCTTGCCTGTTCCCCAATCAGCACCTGGGGGTGGGCTAGGAGCTCCCCAGGACTATTTCAGCATCTTTTAGGGGTGGTGACAGAGCCACAGAGAAGAGCCGGCTGAGCCTGGGAGCCCTGGTGGTGGGGTGAGCCCCCACCTCGCAGCAGACGCAGAAGTGGCTGGAGAAAGAGCTGGCCAGGTTCATGAATGGGGATTTAGCAGTTGGAAAGGTGAGCCCTGCACTGGTCTCCAGGTGAGGGAGGGTTTATGCCAGGAATCTTCCCCAAGCTCCCAGGGTTGGCAGGAACCTCACATCCCATTTTACAGATGAGAAGACTGAGGCCCAGAGGGAGAATGCAACGACCAAAATTGTGTCTCCATTCTGGGGCTGCTCCTGGTCTTTCTTCCTGGTCCCCCCGCCTTCCAGAAGGGGGGAATTTGGGCAGCATGGGAGTGCAGGAGAGGGCTAGTTCCATCGGCTGATCATCCCCACGGGGGCATCTGTCTACCACTTTTTAAAGAAATTGGCTGTCAGGCCCCGGGAGTCTCTGGGTTGGCCCCAAAACACAGATTTGGAGACAGAAGTCCAGCAAGCAGGAGCAGCAGGCCCGACCTTGGGGCTGGAGCCGGGATGGAACTGGAGCAGGATGGACCTCAGGGTGGTGTGCAGATGGGTGGTGGGGAGGAGAAGGGCTGCGTGACCCTCACAAATGTCCCCTCCTTGCCCCAGATGGCTTCCTCCACCAGTCTCACGTGCCCTACCGACAGCCTGGAACTCTTGGATCTCCTGTTTGACCGGCAGGACGGCATCCTGAGACACATAGAGCTGGGCGAGGACTGGGGCCACGTTGAGGACCAGGTGATAACCCGCTGCATTTACCCCAGGGCCAGAGCCAGGACCCCACTCAGCTCTGTGCGTTTATTGCTCATGTGTGAGATTTTAAAAGCACGTTATTGTATGGAACCTCTCAGCGACCTAAGGGGCAGATGCCATCACCTCCTTCTTATAGGTGGGGAAAAGCGAGGCCCAGAGAGGGGTGGTAACTTGTCCTGGGTCACACAGCAGTTTGGAGTTGGGTCCAGACTTAAACTTGGGGCCTGTGCCTCGACACGGTTGGATGTTGTTCCCGTGCTACATGACTGTGTTCAGGCTCCAACAACACTGGGGGCAAGGAGCGTTAGCTCTTTCCATCTTACAGAAAGGACACGTGAGGCCCAGAGAGGGTCAGTGGCTTGCCCAGAGACACACAGCTATCCAAACCGAAACGTAGGCCTCCTAATTCCCACCGTCCCTCTCCGTCCCAACAGGTCCTGCCAGGCCCGAACTCTGATGATTTCCTCAACTCCATCCTGGGTTCTGGAGAATCAGTGCCCAGCTCCCCGACCTGGTCTCCTGCGGCCAGTGACAGTGGCATCTCAGAAGATCTGCCCTCCGACCCCCAGGACACCCCTCCACACAGTGGGGTGGTTGCCACCCCGGCCAGCTGCCATAGCGCAGAGTCTGGCAAGGGGCCCTGCCCCTCCTACCATACTGGCCCTGCCTGCCCCACCAGGAACCTTGGGCCAGTGGCCCAAGGGTTTGAGGCTTCCGTTGCTATAGACCTGGGTGAGTCCTGAGTCTTTGCCAACTACCCTCACCTTCTCCCAGGCACTGTACACGCAAACCCATTTTCGGTACGCAGGCCTCTCACTGTTGTGGCCTCTCCCGTTGCGGAGCACAGGCTCCGGACGCGCAGGCTCAGCGGCCATGGCTCACGGGCCCAGCCGCTCTGCGGCATGTGGGATCTTCCCGGACCGGGGCACGAACCCGTGTCCCCTGCGTTGGCAGGTGGACTCTCAACCACTTCGCCACCAGGGAAGCCCGTGCAAACCCACCTTTTGAGATGGGTATTGGGATGCTGTCTGTCATGGGCCCGTTTTCCAGGTGGTTAAGAAATGAGTCAGAGCCGCAAAGGTGGGATGCGCCCCTGGCAGGCTGGTTCCTGCTGCAAGCATCATGCTGGCAACCTCATTTTTGTACCTTCCGTGCCTGGATCATAGTAGACGCTCAATGAAAGTGTGTGAGGTCACGGGATCCCAGGCCTTGGGGTGTTCCCCTTGGACCTGGAGAAAGGCCTGATGCAGAAGCCACCGCCAGCAGGGTATCCTTTGTCTCTTGAGCATTGCAATGGTATGGGAACGCTTATTAGTCCCTTTGGAGACTTGACAAAACTAAGGCTCAGAGAGGTTTAGTCCCTTGCCCAAGGTCACACAGCTCCACCTAGTCGGGATTAGAGCAAAGGGCTATTTGACTCTGAAGTCTGTGCTCTCCAGAGCAGCTCACCTACAGTTTGCCAGGTACCTGGTGGGAGGGAACCACAGGTGAATCAGACCTGGTCCTTTCTCCAAGGGAGAGATAAGGCCAGGCCAGCTGCAGATCCAGCCTATAATCCTGGGCAATAACAGCTGCTCCCTCCCAGGTTGACAGTGGGTCCCTGACAATGTCCTGATGAATCTGGGTTCCCATCTTATGGTGGAGGGGAGACTGAGGCACCAGGTCTTGGGGCCCCAAGCTGTACTTCAAATCCCTAGCACATTGGGGTCAATTCTGGGAGCTTTGCTGGAGGAGGGAAGTAGAAGCTGGGAGCTTAGGGGCCCCCCGCCTGACTCCCTCCCTGTCTCTGTCCCCATCTGCCCTGTCAGAAATGTGGAGCCCAGGCCTGTACGCCGGGGAGCAGGCTGAGCTGGCCAACTCACCCCCGCACTGCAACCTCACAGTGAAAGACCTCCTCCTCTCTGGCAGTGGCGGGGACTTGGTGAGCAGTCCCCACCCGACCCCTGGAGCATCAGAGGTGGGAGGGCACTGGGGTTCATGGGGCCCCAATACCCCCATTTTGGAGACTGGAAGACAGTCACAGACAGGGGCTGATAGTTGTCCAAGGTAAGTCCAAGTCACTTACTCTGACTTACACCCAGAGTAAGTCAGTGGGTCCCAGTCCTGAGTTCTCTGTCTCCTGGGCTGGGATACTTTCTACTATAGTAGTAGTATTAAAAAAAAAAAAAGGGCTAAAACTTACCAAGCATCTACTATAGGCCAGGCACTCTTCTAAATGCTCTTAATGTATCATCTTTTAATTCACAGCAACCCTGAAAACTGGGGCTCTTATCTTAATTCTACGTTTGAGGAAATGGGCACAGAGAGGTCCAGTAATTTGACCTAAGTCACACAGCTGCTGCAGGCTTAATCCCTGGGCTGGCCCATTGGGCCTACTGTGCCCATTGCACGCTGACTGAGGGCTGTCTATCTTGCCCTGGGGTTCGACTACAGGTAAACCAGACCTGAGAACCCAATCAGTACCTCCATTTCTCAGATGAGAAAGCCAATGCCCAGAGAGGTTAAGCCACAAACCCAAAGTCACACGGCAAGAAAGTGGCCGAGTCAGAATTTGAACTCTAATTTGCCTGATGCCCAAAGTTGTCCTGACAACCTCTAAGAAAGAGCAGAACACCCCTCTTGACTTGAGAGATGCGCGGTGAGCACCAGCTGTGTGCTCAGCCTCTGGGGACCTCATGGTCAAAAGGGGACAACTGACTGCTCATGGAAGTGTACCCATAAGGGAGAGAGGCTGGAGGGGCATTGCAGGTCCAGGAAGGCTTCCTGGAGGAGGCAGAACTTCAGCAGGTCTTGAAAGATAGGAAAGGTGAATGACTGCTCTGGAAATACTAACTGGCTTTTGTAAATGTGTCAAGTTTAATACCGTTGTTCTGTGTGTGAACAACGTTGGGAAGTGGAAGACCTTATCCCCATTTGGCAGATGAACATACTGAGGCTTGGATCCTGGAGAGAAAATGGTTGGGCTGATCCATGGCCTGGAATTCTAGGGAGTGGAATTTGATCCAGCGAATGTCAGGCTGCCCCAATCTCCACCTTTATTCCTGAGCCTCCCATTCCATGGTGTGACATTCCTAATACTTGGCTCTCTGATGACCCGATTCTTTCATTTTCAATGTTTCTATTTCATAATTTAAATTTAATTAAAAAAAATTTGAATAGGCAAATGCATTCACATAGTCCAAGTTCCAAAGGTACAAACAAGTAGACAGGAAGAAACACCCCTCACCCCCATTTCCTGGAGGCTCACTTAACCTGTGCCTTGTGTGTTGGATTTTCCCTTTGCTGTTGCAGAATGCACTGCAAGGAATGTTCAGAGCCCAGAGAAGTGCCTGGCATGTAGTAGGTGCTAAATACATAGCTGTCTAATGGCTACTTGTGAAACAAATGAAAAACTTGTATCTAAAGAGCAATTCCTGGAAGTGGAATTGCTGGGTCAGAGGGCTATGTGCTGGTTCTTTGGAGCCCTAGTGCCAGTGGGGACTCTACAGCAGATGGATCGATTGTTTCTCAGACCTGATGCCTCTTTCATTTCCCAGAGGCGGTCACTCTCCCTGCCCTCAAAGCAATTCTGCTGGTTTCCCCACAGCAACATCACCTGGCAGCCCCAAACCTGTTGCGCCTTGGGACCGAGCACAGCCAGGAGCTGGTGCTGACAGAGGATGAGAAGAAGCTGTTGGCCAAAGAAGGCATCACCCTGCCCACCCAGCTTCCCCTCACCAAGGTGAGTCAGTGGGACCCCTGGCTCTGGAGCTCGCCCCCTTTCCTGCAGCTACTTGCCCATGAGTCTCACCTTTGGGTCTCCCACACTAGAATGTTAGGACGTGTCTGTCACCAGAGCCAGAAAAATCATCCTCAAAGCCACCGCAGTGGGGGCTTTCTAGCTGGCCGCAGTCTCCACCCAGCCTGTTCACTCAATATCAGTATCTGAGTTTGCTTTTCCAATTGGAAGACCTCTCTTAGACTTGATAACTGGGCTCGGGAAAGGAGCTGTTCCCACAGATGGCCAGAAGATGGCGGGATTGCACCAGTGCACAAAATCCAGTTGCCAATTCGGGACTGGGTTTGGGAGCTGGGAAAACCTTCAGAACCCAGGACCCCTCTAGAGATTCTGCAAGAATTTCAGGGCAGAAAATCTGGTCTTCAAGTCATCATGGGTCTGCCCTCAAGTCCCTGAGTCTGGGATGGCTCCCTTGGGAGGATAATGGGGTGAAGTTGTGGGGTCTGGACAAGAGAGCGGACCGTCCAGACTGCCTCAGTCTGCTCCCCATGTCACTCTGCAGTATGAGGAGCGAGTGCTGAAGAAAATCCGCCGGAAAATTCGGAACAAACAGTCAGCCCAAGAAAGCCGGAAAAAGAAGAAGGAATATATTGATGGCCTGGAAACTCGGTAAGGCTGGGGTCCCGGGACACCACACTTAAGGGGGAAACTGAGGCCTGAGAGAGGGATGCAATGGAGCTAAGGTCACAGTTTTCAGGATCTGACAAAATTAGAGTTGTTTCCTTCTCTGGGAGAGACGATTTTTCACGTGAATTGCAAGGATGGAAAAATGCCTAGTAAGGTGGTACAGGGCTCAGGTTCGAGGCCCCTTAATCCCCTAGAAGATGTTGTGCCAAGAAGGGAGAAGGTATCATCCATCTTGTCCTGGCTCTTTGCCTGAAGATGGGACATTTACTTCCCTTGCTGAGCATCACTGATCCTCAGAGCTGTCATGGCTTCCTTTGGTGGGGGAGAAGAAAGGCAGAATTTCCTCAACTTGAGAACTGTGCACCCAGGACTTCCCTGTTGGCGCAGTGGTTAAGAATCCACCTGCCAATGCAGGAGACACAGGTTCAAGCCCTGGTCCGGGAAGATCCCACATGCCACGAAGCAGCTAAGCCCGTGCACCACAACTACTGAGCCTGTGCTCTAGAGCTTGTGAGCCACAACTATGGAGCCCACGGGCCACAGCTACTGAAGCCTGCGTGCCTAGAGCCCGTGCTCCGCAACAAAAGAAGCCACTACGATGAGAAACCTGTGCACCACAACGAAGAGTAGCCTCCACCTGACACAACTCGAGAAAACCCATGCGCAGCAACAAAGACACAATGCAACCAAAAATAAATCAATTAATTAAAAAAAAACAGAACTGTGCACCCCAGGATTTCCCTGGTAGTCCAGTGGCTAAGACAACACGTTCCCAATGCAGGGGGCCCAGGTTCGATCCCTGGTCGAGGAAATAGATCCCACATGCCACAACTAAGATCCACGTGCCGCAACTAAGACCTGGCGCAGCCAAATAAGTAAATAAATAAATATTAAAAAAGAACAAGAACTGTGCACCCCAATCTCATCCAATCGCCTCTCTCAACTCATTTAGGCTACTGAGGGATGGGCTCCTCTTTATTCTTTAATAGAAACCTAAAAACTTAGCTTGCTCACTTTTTAAACCAAAAGTGATTTAATTAAGTGTTACAGATTTGGGTTTTCTATTTCTTTTCTAGTCAATTCTGAGATGTCATATTCTTCTGGGAAGTTGTCCATTTCAAATTTACTGACATAAAATTGTTCATAGTTCTCTCCTATTATTTTTTTAAGTTCTGAATAATTTATAGTTGTGCCCTTTTTAATTATTCATGTTGTGTATTTGTGCCTTCTCTTGTTTTTTACCTTGGTCAATCTTGCCAGAAGTTTGTCTGTTTTATTATTCTTTTCAAAGAATGAATTTCTGGCTTTTCCTCCCACCCAGTTGTCTTTTTGTATTCTAGTTCCTTTATTTCTACTCTTAGCTTTATTGTGTCTTTAGTTGTGTTTTGTTTTGCTTTTGGTGGGGAAGATCTATTCTGTTGTTCTTTTGCTAACTGTTAAATGTGTATGTTCAGCTGGTTGAGCTGTAATAAGGTTATACATTTGGGGGGACTTCCCTGGTGGTCCAGTGGTTAAGACTCCATGCTTCCACTGCAGCAGGGCACAGGTTTGATCCCTAGTCAGAGAACTAAGATCCCGCATGCTGAGGGGCCAAAAAAAAAAGAAAAAGAAAAAAGGTTATATATTTTCCTCTCAGCACTGCTTTATCTGCATCTCATACATTTTGGTTTGTACCATTGTCATTACCATTTGGTCCCTAGGTCTTTCTTAATTTACACAGTGGATTCTTCTTTATCCCATGAGTTATTTAGAAGGAGGGCCTTTTAGTGGGAGAATTTATTCTCTTCCCTGGTTGTGATATGAGGACTAGCATATCCTCATGCCATGATTTGAGTGTTTTGTTTTTTTTAAAGATTTTTTGATGTGGACCATTTTTAAAGTTTTTATTGAATTTACTACAATATTGCTTCTGTTTTATGTTTTGGTTGGTTTTTTTTTTTTATCTTTTTTTTTTTTTTTTTTTTTTTTTGCTTCAAGGCATATGGGATCCTAGCTCCCAACCAGGGATTGAACCTACATCCCCTGCACTGGAAGGTGAAGTCTTAACCACTGGACTGCCAGGGAAGTCCCATGATTTGAGTGTTTTAATTCTACATCTGAGTGGTCTGGGCAAAGACAGCATTAACAGATGGATGCAGATGGGAAAGGTGGGGTTCCCGGACTGGACCCCAAAACCCTAGATGGAATGATCACATTGTCTTGTTCCTCAAATGTACTCTGCTAAGCCCCTAATCAACTTTACTTCATATCAGTGCCCGACTGCTCTATGAACTAGGTAACTGTATCTCCACTTTACAGATGAGGGGACTGAGGCCAGACAGCAGAGCGCCTCAAGGTCACAGGGAGGGTGAAGATTGTAACTTGGGTCTCCTTGGACTCAGTTGCCATGCTACTGTATCTTCTCAAAGCATCACTGCCTGAGTTTGGTGGTCCATTTCCAATCCTGGGGGCTCAGACCAGAAGAAAGCCCCCACACCAATGCAAAGATGGTACCTAGGAGCCAGGCAGAAGTGGGTTCAAATTCTGGCCTTGTTACAGACTTGCCAGGGTGACTTTGGATGAATGACTTACCCTCTCTGGGCTTCGGTTCCCTGCCTGTACAGTGGGGCCTCACAAAGAGATGTTAGTTTGACCTGTTGGTGACAGGCATATTCTGAATGTCACTGTGATGTTGCCTCTTCAGGATGTCAGCCTGCACTGCCCAGAACCAGGAACTTCAGAGGAAGGTCTTGCATCTTGAGAAGCAGAACCTGTGAGTATTGGTCAAACTGGGGCAGAGAACAGGAGGAGCTGACCCCAGAGTCCCTTGCAGGAGAGGTGGACATGGGGGGACAGGCTGTGTGACGGCAGGGCAGAGCAGGGGGTAAGGGCTCCACTTAGAAAGGGGGAAGCCTGCAGAGAAAAGGGGTTTTGGACTTGGGCCCTTGAAGGATGTATAAGAGTTCACTAAAGGGAAGATGCTGCCGGTAGAGGAAATGGCATATGAATGGCTAAAGGCTAGGAGTATGGTATGCTGGATAACTGCAGGTGATTCCATCTGTGGGTGCATTTACTTAGTCAATTTTTTGGGGGGTGTCATGGATGATGCCATTACAGGTGTTTGTGAAATAGCTTGTGTTAACACTTTAGTTGTGATGGGAGGAGGTGGTATTTCCTCCCCGCCGTCGTGGTCAACCTCCCGATTCACATTTTGAACTGTTGGATGTCTGCTCTGGTGGCAGAGAGGACTTTGTTGCATTCATTCAGCTTTGGGGAAGAAATGTATGCCGCTGTCAAGTTGTTGGGTGTTTTTTCAACCTTAAATCTTTTATCCCCCTGCATATATACATTCATCTTGTCACAAGGTCGGTGTTGCCTCCATAATTGAGTTAATACAGGCTAACTTTCCATCTTCTGTGATGTCCTGTTTGAAGTTTAAACAGCTTGATCTATTTTTTAAAAACCTATCAGCATATTCTTCATGTTGTGTGGACAGTGCTTGGTGCCTTATTCTTTCATAGAATCGTCTGTTGGAAAATAGTGAGGGATTGATTTTTTTTCCTAATAAATTTATTTATTTATTTGTTTATTTATTTTTGGCTGAGCTGGGTCTTCGTTGCTGCACGTGAGCTTTCTCTAGTTGCGGTGAGCGGAGGCTACTCTTCGTTGTGGTGTGCAGGCTTCTCATTGCAGTGGCTTCTCTTGCTGTGGAGCATGGGCTCTAGGCGCACGGGCTTCAGTAGTTGTGGCACGTGGGCTCAGTAGTTGTGGCTCGTGGGCTCTAGAGCGCAGGCTCAGTAGTTGTGGTGCACGGGCTTAGTTGCTCTATGGCATATGGGATCTTCCCGGATCAGGGCTTGAACTCGTGTCCCCTGCAGTGGCAGGCGGATTCTTAACCACTGAGCCACCAGGGAATTGATTGATTCTTACGGTGGTATTTAGAAGGGAATTTTAGTTCTTTTCTTTCTGTGCTATAATGTAGCTATGTTTAAACTTTCCAACCAGGTCGTATATTTTCTACTAACCTGTTTTTAACCTGAGGAAAATTCTTGAGCCATTGTTTCCAAGTAGCTTCCACTGAGTATTTGCTACATTGGCATACTTCTAGATCAAACTGTATGGCCCTACTTACTCAAATTTTATTTAGCATCTACTCTGTGCCAGGCATAGTTCTGGACACTGGGGCCCAAACAGTGAACAAAACAGACCCAGCCCCTCCACTTAAAGACTCACAGTCTACTGAGAAACAGACTCAAGACAAACAAAAATATATGAAAGATCATTCAAATAGTGATAGCCACTGGGAAGAAAAATAAACTAGGGTGAAGGGGCTAGGGAGTGAGGGGGGTGCCATTTTAGGCAGGGAGGTCAGATAAAGTGACATTTGAGATGAGACCCAACAGCTAAGAAAGAAGCAGCTACAAAAAGACCTGTGGGGGTGGGGCAGGGGAACAGTGTCCTTGGTACCCAGAGAACAGCCTGTGCAGAGGCCCTGGGGCAGGAATGCTTGTGCGTAGGAGGAACAGTGAGGGGCTGTGTGTCTGGAGCAGAGTGAGCGAGGGGGAGAGAGGGAGGAGGGGAGGGCAGGGAGGGGACGGGACTGGCTGTGCCAGGCCTTGTGGGCCTCGGGGAGGACTTGGGCTTTTACTTCCGAGGGAGATGGGAACTCTGGGAGGGTTGGGAGAAGTTGCCTCACATTTGAAAAAGTGTGGAGCATGAACTCTAGAGGAGGCAGGAGAAGCTTGGGGGGCCCAGAGGCTGGGGCCAGTGTCCAGGCGAGCAGTAATGGCAACCTGGATGGAGAAGGTGGGGTGGCAGAGAAGTGGGTGAGATGTTCAGTGATTTATTGAGGGAGATTCTGGAACTTTTAAGAGCAGTGGGGCCTTGAAGGATGGACGGGATTCAGACTTCAGCCAGGCTGGGGGACCCCAGGAATCACAGGGAGGCAGGTCAAGGCTATGTAGGGATCAAGCAAGTCTTCCTGTTTCCACTAAGGTCCCTCTTGGAGCAGCTGAAGAAACTCCAGGCCATCGTGGTCCAGTCCACCAGCAAGTCGGCTCAGACGGGCACCTGCATAGCGGTGAGTCCTGACCCCCAGCTCCAAGGGGCTTGTCAGCCTTGGCAGAGGGTCCTGTGGGGGAGGTGAGTGTGAGTAGGAGGACGGCCGGCCCTGAGCCCTAGCTCACGCGTGCTCCAGTCTTCTGGGCCTCAGTTTCCCTGCCTATGAGACGAGTGTGCTCAGGGGAGGGGGAGGGATGGGGTGACCCTGCCCCCATCTCCACCAGGTCCTGCTCTTCTCCTTCGCCCTCATCATCCTCCCCTCCATCAGCCCTTTCGCCTCCAACAAAGCTGAGAGCCCTGGAGACTTCGTGCCTGTACGAGGTAGGTGGACCAGGGGGTTGCTCCTCCCTCAAAAACCCTCTGGGCTGCCCCGTGGGCGCACTCCCCTTGGATCCCCAGCCCCCATACTGGGCCACTGGGGGAGGGGGAGGAGGCCCCCTTGCAACTGCTTCCTGAGGCTGGGGGCTAAAAGAAAGAAGGGACCCAGCCCCCCAGGCCATCCCTCACAACCCCCCAACCCTTGCTCAGTTTTCTCCAGAACTTTGCACAACGATGCTGCATCCCGTGTGGCTCCCAACACCGTGCCAGGCTCCGAAACCCCAGGACATGGGCCCAAGGCTGGCACACTTCAGGAAGGGTCTCCAAGCAGCCCTCAGGGGGAATGGGGATCCCGGGACCCGCCGGCTCCGGACAACTCGACGGAGGATCTGGACAACGGGACCCTGGTCCAGGGCAACTCCATGAAGGAGCTGGACCGGGCCGCCCTCCTAGACTGTGCCCGGCCTGAACAAGCACTTGGCCCAGGGCGCGTGGGGCTGGAGGTAGCAGTGGGGGAGCTGTGAGCACCACGGGTACGTGCCCCCACGCCCCTCTAGTCAGGTGTGCTACAGTGGACAGAGACAGGCACAGGGATCCGAGGTGAGGGAGAGACCCCGGCGATGGTGTCAGGATGGAGACGCACAGACTCACAGCTTCAGACCCAGGTACCCAGGCCCATGCAGAAACTGATGCTCAGACACAGACCATAAGGCCACAAAGCCTGAGAAATACACATACAGACCCAGGTGCAGAAGGAAACAGGAAGACAGACACAGACTGATCCACAGACCCAGAGAGATAGGCATACACCAGGCCTCGGTAACTCCCCGCTCAGGGACTCCTTCCTGCCCCCTGGAACACAGGGAGGAGGAAGCGGCCAAGTCTGCTGGGACCCTGGCCCTGGAGCACGGGCTGAGCTCTGAACTTCGGGGCCACCATGGCTCACAGCTGTTCCCTTTTTCTAAGACTGCTATGGTCCTTAATAAAGTATTTTGAGAGAACACGGCTGGCATGGAGGTGGAGTGGGGTGGGGGCTGAATTAGAATCTGGAGCTCCCCAACCCACAGAAGGAGGGACTAGGCCAACCTAGGATAGAGGAGTGAGGCAGGGGGTCCCTTGACTCCCAGGCTGGAGCGGTGACCAGAGAGGTGCCGGTGCGTGTTCAGCACCTTGGAGAGCGGCGGCGGGCGGAGAGCAGGGCGCAGCAGGAGGGCGAGGTAGCCCTGGCCCGCACCCCCCACACACACCCCCGACCCTTCCAGGGTATTCGCGGAAGGCCTGCGGCAGTTGCCTTCCTGGGGGGCCGGGCTGCCCACCCCGCTCGTTTTATGGATGAGGGCACTGAGGCGTCGGGAATGAAGGGACCTGCCCAAGGTCGCAGCTGGGGAGGACTGACCCCAGCTGCACCTGCGCTCTTCCTTTAACGCGTCACCCTGGCCCTGCCCACTTTGCACAGGTGCCCAGGGGTTGCAATTGAGATAAAAAAAACGCGGCCTCTCTCCTCAAGGGGCTCACAGCCTAGTAGCAGAGGGCACGTAATAAAGAATCCCGCAAGTGAGAATTACAAACTGAGGACTCAGCAAATATCTGCAGCCGGTAAGGCCCTCCTTCGCCCCCAGGCCTGGATTGCATGCCCAGGCACACATCCCAGGGGGTGAGGGGACCACACAACCCTGCCCCCAGGGACCAGGACCCAGGGCAAGGTTGTGGATGGCAAACACAGGCTCAGATGCAAGAAATTCTTTTATTGCATTGAAGGCTTTTCTGGAAGCCTGGAGGAAGCCAGGTGGACCCACCCTTCCTCCTCCAGCCCCAAAGGCAGTGTGAGCCTCTATTGTCTGTCCTGCCATGAAGTCTGGCTCCTAAATGATGGCCCTGCCTCCCTTCCCTCCTGGAGGGACTGTGAAGGCTGTCTGGGGGTAGGCAGGGGTTGGGGAGTGTGAGGGCCCAGGGGTCAGAGGAAACCACAGAGGGCCTGGCCACACCTCCCAGGAACATCCTGAGTCAGAGGCTGGAGCCTGGGGGTGGAGCAGGTACAGGGGGTGGGGGGGTGTCAGCTCCAAGGTCAGAGTCCAGGGGGGCTGCTCCTTCCCAGGCCCCCTCCAGAGGCCCCAAGCTAAAGGGAGGTGCAATGGAGGGCAAGTCTGCCCTGGGGCCTGGAGCCCAGCTCTCAGCGCCCTGAGGTCTCCCCACAAGGACAGAGACGAGTAACAAAGTGAGACCAGTAAGAAAAAAAAAAGAATCCATGGTTTCTACAAACAGCCCCGCCCTCCCCAGGCCCCCTGGTCAGCTGGGAACCACCTCGGTCTTCACTCTTTTGGGGGGCCTGCGTGGAGCAGGACTGTCCAGCCGCTCCCTTTTGGGGCTGGCGGGCCCGGAGCCGTCGTGCTGGGCACCAGGCTCAGCTGCAGGCTCCTGCTTGGGGCTGGCGGGCGCTGGGCTGTGGAGCTGGGCGGGGGCCTCCTCCTTGGGCTCCAGCTTGGGGGTGGGCGGGCGGGGCAGGGGTGGCAGCGCCCTCTCCAGCACGTGGGGGCCGTCCCAGGCTGGGATCTCCAGGCCCAGATGCTTCATGAGCCGGGTCATGACTTCATCTACATAGCCGTGGATACGCAGGTCTGCGTGGCGGTCCTGCGGGGGGCGGACCGGTCAGGCGGAGGGAGAAGGCTTGGGGGGGGCCTGGGGTGTCAGGGGTCAGGGGTGGGCTCCAGCACGTACGTGCTTGGTGGGCTGAAGGTTGACAATGACCAGCCGGCCTCCGTGGCGTTTGGTGGCAAGGGGCAGGTTCCCGCTGGGCCGGATTTGCAGGGAGGTGCCCAGCGTGATGGACAGGTCCGCGTTCCTGGGGCCAGGAGGTGGGATTAGCCTGAGCCCCTCGGCAAGGGTCTCTGTAGCCCTCCTCCTGCCCCACGAGGCTGGGGGCGGGACGTCTCCAACACACACGCCACCCCACCCTTGCTCAAATGCCATGGCTTCACTGCTCTGCTGATACGCCGGGGCCAGCCCTGGGAGGCCGGCTCACACAGCGCCCATCTCTGTCTGGGGGCCAGCTTGCCCCAGTTTCCAAGCTGCTCTGAATCCTGCCCGCCGCTTCCCTTCTGCCGGAGCCACCCCACCCCGTCGGCAGAAGTGGAGCTGCTGATGTCCCCACTTGGACCCCTGGGTTCCAGACCTGGCTCAGTCACTTCCTGGCTGGGCAGTGTGGACGGAGGTGTCAGCTTGCTCCAGCCTCGGTTTCCTCGTCTGTAAAATGGGCCCCGAGCAGCACCCACCCTGGGCTGTGGTGAGGATGGTGTGTGAGGCCTCTGGCCGGGGCCGGAGGTATGAGGGCTCAGTACACAGGAGCTGCCATTGTTATGGGGGAAGCGAAGCCCAGAGAGGGTGTGGGCCACCTCTTTCCTGATGTCCCCGGGGTTGCAGCTGGCTGTGTTTCTGCCCCTCCCCTACCCACCCCACCCTGGGCTCGGTGGGGGTCAGACCTGCTGGCCTCATCGGCCAGAGTGAGGTCCCGGTCAGGCAGGGAGTCTTCCCAGTCCAGGATAGTGTCTCTCAGCTCCCCCCTGTACGGAGAGCGGGGGAGTCAGCAGGGACACTGGCTGCCTCCCCTGGGGTCCCGGGCGTGGGGAGGGGCCGCTTACCTGCAGGCCCGCAGCCCCCTTGACTTGGCCACGGTGCAGAGCCGGCCGGTGGCCTTCAGGCCCATGCTGCCCACCACGGTGTCCCGGACGTACTGCCTGTGTCGGGAGAGGAAGGGGTCAGCTTCCTGCCCGCTCCCAGGTGCCTACCCTGCGGCCCCACCTGGGTGGCTCTTGCTTTTTGCAGGCAGCTGTTCTCCCAGGAAAGCGGGGGCCACATGACCAGAATCTAAGCATGAGGGGACATCCGGCAAACCCAGCACGGCAGGGGCAGAGGGGGCCTCCCACAAAACAGCTGGCCTGGCTGCTTCAAAAGGTCCACAGCTTGGAAAACAGAGAAAGGTCGGGAAGTGCTCCAGGTAAAGGAGACTGAAGAGATGGGACAGTGGCATGCAGAGTGCCGCCCTGGGTTGGACCCTGCACCAGGGGAAAAACAGCAACAATGGGAGGGAGCGCTGGGAACACAGATTGGGGAGAATAGTCGCGTCTGTGGTTTTTACATTTCCTGACTTTAGAAACTGCACCGCGGCTGTGGAAGAGAATACCGTGGCTTGTGGGAGATAAATGTCTAAGGGGTTTAAGGGGCAAAGGATAAGGAAATCTGCCCCTTGAACAGTAGAGCAAATCCAAACACAGAGAGAAGAGGAGAAACAAATTGTGGCGAAATGGTAACATTGATGAATCTAGGTCAGGGTCAGCAAACCATAGCCCTGAGGATCAAATCCGGCCCTCTGCTTCCCATTTTTGTAAATAAAGTTTTATTGGCACACGGCCATGCCCATTCCTTTAAGTGCTGTCTATAGCAGCTTTCACGCTACAAAGCTGATAGTCACGACAGAGACAGTCTGGCCCACAAAGCTGAAGATATTTACCATATGGCCCTGTACAGGAAAAAGTTGGGGATCCCCGGTCTAGGTCAAGTATGAGTTCATTGTATGGTTCTTGTGAGTTTTCCACCAGATTGAAGTTTTTCAAAATAAATTTAGAGAGAAAAAAAATTTGTTTTTAAAGTTGGGGCCCCATCTGTGCTCTGGTCTTAAGAGATTCCACCCGCAGGGGAGCCACACGCACCCGCCACGCCTGAGTTACTCACACCCTTAAGGCTGTTTGCCCAGCAGAGGGAGACACGCCCAGAGCCCTCCTGTTCCAGGAAGGCTCAGCCTTTACAGAGCCGGAAGAATGCCCCGTCACACCCTGTTATGGGCTGAGTGGTGGCTCCCAGGTATTTTGGAATAAGACCTTATTTGGAAGTAGGGCTGTTGCAGATGTACTGGCTGGGTTCAGATGAGGTCACATTTGTGTAGGGTGGCCCCTAACCCACGTGACTGATGTCCTTATAAGAAAAGGGGACACAGGGACTTCCCTGGTGGTCCAGTGGGTAAGACTCTGCGCTCCCAATGCAGGGGGCCCGGGTTCGATCTCTGGTTGGGGAACTAGATCCCGCATGCTGCAACTAAGAGCTTGCATGTGGCAACTAAAAAGATCCTGCATGCCACAACGAAAATCCTGCGTGCCACAACTAAAGCCATAAGTGAATATTAAAAAAAAAAAAAAAAAAAAAAGAGGAGGGGACACAGACACACAGGGACACGGAAACCATGAGGAGCTGGAAGAGGCAGGAAGGATCCTCCCTGACAGGGTTCAGGCAGAGCACAGCCATCCCAACACCTTGATTGTGGACTTCGAGCTTTCAGACCCATAAGACTATCAGTTTCCGTTGTTTTAAGTTACTCAGGTTGTGGCAGTTTGTAACAGCAGCTGCAGGAAATGAATACACCTCCCGGGAGGAAGATACGCCCCCAAGTCCCACCCTGGGAGGGTCACACCCTCGTCTCTGGAAACATCAGGTTCAACTCACAAGGCCCTTCTGCAGAGCCCGACCTGGGTCATCCACACCTTGGGCCCCCGCCCCTACCCTCCGTGGCACTCACGTCTTACACTTGACACATTCTTCTACAAACATGTTTCCGTGAAGCTCTGCCAGCTTGTCCCTGTGGGAGGAGAAGGAAGAGGCTTAGTGGAGGGGATCCAGAGGCCTCAGGGCTGGAATCCACCCCCCAGGACCAGGAAGAGGGGATCTCGATTCTCCAGACGTGCCCGCCTAGCAGACACTGACACTGGCAGCTGAGCACCAAGCACCTCTCCTGGCTGAATCGCCACAGTGGCCTTGAGAGGGAGGGGCTGCCATCAACACCCGTTTTCCAGATGAGGAAACTGAGGCTCGGAGAGAGGGGCAGCCTGCCCAAGGCTGAGCGGGGCTGGACGCGGGGTGCACCTGGGGAAGCCAGAGCGCACGTGCAGCCCGTCCACGTTCTGGCTGACCAGGAAGCGCAGGAGGCCCACGCGCTCCAGCTGCACCAGTGCCATGTGAGTCTTCGTGGGCCGCGCGTTCTCGAAGGTGGTGTCGAACTTGGGGGCCAGGCCCTGCTCCTCCATCGTCCAGACGCCATGGGGGCCCCTGAGGTGGCAGGCGGGAGAGACAGAGAGAGCTTAGGGATCAGGAAGACAGGGGACGGAAAAGGAGACAGAGAAACGGAGGCAGAGAAAGAGAGTCAGAGACAGACAAAGTGACACAGTCAAAGGAGGGGGTGGGGGAGGAAGGAGGGAGAACGTGGTACACAAGGGCAGAAATTAACTATTCAATCGCACCAACACTTACTGCTGCTGCACTGAGCCTGGCCCTGCGCTGGGTGATGCTGGGGCCCTAGGGGACCCAGGTCCTGCCCTCAAGGAGTCCTCCATCTTGTGGGGAGAGACACAGGTGGACACAGACTCTCCAGCTCTGTGGGGCTGGGGCAGAGGGAGGAACCTGAGGCTGGGCTGGCCCAGTAGAAGTGGTAAGGGCTCTTTGTGGAACTGTGGGAAGGCTTCCTGGAGGAGGCTGAGCTGTCTCTTGAACAGACAGGAAAGGGCCGGGCAGCTCAGACAGAAGAGGTAAGCAAAGGCCAGGGGGCTGGCAACAGCCTGTGAGTGGTCTGGGGACTGCAGGGGCTGCAGGGGCTGAGGTTGCAGAGCTGATCCAGGGCTAGGTTGGGAACAGCTTTGATTTCCAGCCTGAAGTGCTGAGAAATCTCCTGTGTGGCAATGGGGAGCCATGGCAGGTTATGGAAGGGGGGTGAGATTCACACCTTAAAATTCTACCATTCCTCCAAGAACGAGGAATCTGCTCTTCTGCTGTAAGAGTCTGCTCCGTGGGCCTGAGAGGCCTTAGAAAGAGAGCACAATTGTGATAGGCCTGCCCTACGGGGTAGGGTTGCAAACTCAGCACCTACAGGGGCCACTCGGAGGCCACCAGTTAGAGACCCCTGCTTTTCATCAATGAAACTCTTGTCTAACACAGGCTGCCTAACGTTAGACATTATCTGGCCTCACACCCTCACTTACAGGTGAGGAAACTGAGGTCCAGGTGGTTAAGCCACTTGTCCCACCAGAGGTCTGACAGAAAAATATTTGTAAGTGAGTATGGAGCTAATTGTCCTTGATATCAATTCTCCCCTTTTACTCTGGTAATAATAGAACCCCACTACTTAGCCTTGCAGTGAGCCTAGACGAAAGACTACATTTCCCAGCATCACTTGCAACTAGGTGTAGTCAGGTGACCAAGTTCTGGCCGGTGGAATGGAATGTTGGGTGTGATATAAAGGGACATTCTCCAAAGGAAGGGTCTTTCCCATCCCCAACACCCCAGGGAACTGACAGATCACCCCAGACTCAGCGGGAGGGAAGGCGGCAGGACGGGTTCCGATGGCCAGACATCTGTGAGCTCACAGGGAAGCCCTGCCTTGACTTCCCTCCATGCGCACGGACCTGAAGTCGGGGATGCCTGAGGCTGTGCTGATGCCCGCGCCCGTGTGGAACACCACGTTGGAGGACTGCCAGACCAGCTGTGCCAGCTCCCATACCTTCCGCTCCAACTCCTCAGGGGGGTCAAAGACCTGTTGGGTGGGAGAGAGTGGAAGGGAGCGAAACAGGAGGGAAGGGGGCAGGGCACAACCTTTAAAAGAATGACACAGGGCTTCCCTGGTGGCGCAGTGGTTAAGAATCCGCCTGCCAATGCAGGGGACATGGGTTCGAGCCCTGGCCCGGCAAGATCCCACATGCCGCGGAGCAACTAAGCCCGCGTGCCACGACTGCTGAGCCTGCGCTCTAGAGCTGGTGAGCCACAACTACTGAACCCGTGTGCCACAACTACTGAAGCCCGCACGCCTAGAGCCCGTGCTCCGCAACAGGGGAAGCCACCGCAATGAGAAGCCCTCGCACCACAACGAAGAGTGGCTCCCGCTCGCCGCAACTAGAGAAAGCCCGCGCGCAGCAACGAAGACCCAACGCAGCCAAAAATAAATAAATAAATAAAATAAATTTATTAAAAAAAAAAAATGACACAGCCGTAGGACATAACAAAAACTGGTCAAAGGTCCAAGATGGCGGAAGATTCGACTTCCAGTATACCTGGAGCCTCATTATACACTCATTGTAATACCTCAGCATATACTAAATGTATTAACACCCACAGGTGCCAGGACAGTTCAAAGGCTAACCATAAATGGCCAAAAAGTGGGCGGTGGCGCAATTCCTGGAAATCCCCACCCCTTCCCCGAAATAGCTGGAATAATTCTCCCACTCACTAGCCTATGAAATTACCCAGCCCATACAAACTAACCACGCTATATTTCGAGGCCTCTCACCTTCCGATGTGGCCCTAGGGCGGAGAAAGTGTCTGGTGCATGGTAGGTGCTTAATAAATGTTTGTGGAATAAAATGGAAACCAGGCAGGAGAGGAGTGGGGCTTCACACCACCTGGGAGCTCACTAATGCCTGACTCGGAAGGGATGCACTAGCCTTTGTGGGGTGGGGGCAATCTTCTCCCCCGTTTACAGAAGAGGAGAGGAGACCCAAAAGGAAGTTACCCCGCCAAGGTCTCAGTGTATGGTGGGGACTTCCTCTCAGCGTGGCTGGAGGGGTCTTTCTGACTTACATCCTCCAGGTTCCTCCCCAGCTCAAAACCCTTCCTCATCACCCTCAGGATGGTGTCAGCTCCCCAGCTTGGCACTTGAGGCCCATCTTGGCCTGGTTTTGGTAACCTCTCTGGTCTAATCTGTTCTCCAAGTTTGTTTATTCCCACCCCCGCGCCTTTGCCCCGGTAGTGCCTTCCGCCTGGAACTACAGCCCCTGGTCCCCCATCAGAACTTCAGGACTTCCCGACCTGGGTCCTAGCCTCAGTCCCAGCCTGACCGATCCGGAGCTGGGCGTGGTCGCGTCCCCAGGCGCGCTGGGGCGTCACTTCCCGCCCCCTCCTCACTGGGAAGTCCCTCCCATTGTCTAGCTTCAGTGTCTCCTGATACTCCCAGAATGCGCGCTGCCAGCCGGCCCCGCCCAGCCCACGTCCCCGACGACGGCCGTCGGGACACCCGGCCGCGCTCACCTCGGGGAGACCGCACTTGCCCTTGTCCGCGTACGGCGACAGCCCCGCCGCATAATTCACCGACATCCTCCAGGCCCCAACGGGAACAATAAAGTTTCCCTTGTTGCGGCCGCTTCCGCCGGAAACGGGGTGGGACGAGGAAGAAGGAGGAGCCGCCTTCTCATCCTCTGTACCCGGCCTCTTCTCCCCAAGGCGCATGCGGCTCGCGCTAACGCCTCAGTCGCCATATTAATTGCTGGCAAAGAGCAGCCAGCTTCCTACTGTGCTGGGGGTGTGGATGGTGGCGAGAATAGGGCTGTCCAGTGACCCGGGCTGGAAACTAGGGGACTGCCCACGTGAGAGTTCTCTAGTCACCTCTAAAATGAGGGGCGCAAGCGATCGGTTCCCTCTTTCCCCTTTTTACAAATGAGTAAACTGATGCGCCCCTTCCCCGCACCCCATCCCTCACAGGACAGGGCCTGAGAGAAGGGACTCAGGACTTATGCTTCGAGTCCAAGGTTTTTTCCCCTGCACATTTCATAAGTTTCTAAATTTACAAATGCAGGGTACCTGTGCATGTGTGCGGGGGCCTCAGGGGGTGGCAATTTGGGGCCTCACTAGGGAGGGTTACGGACGCCACTCTGAGTTATCTGAACGTTATCCAGGTGGATGATTATCACTCAGCAGGACAGGTCCCGACTTCGCCAAGAGGCTGGAGAAACTGCTCACAATCACCGGGGCTGGAGGCCTTGAGGACTCATTTAAGAAACGTATTGAGCACCTACTGTTTACTGGGGAGACGCTAGAGAACACAGGCAGCACCCTGTGACCGGGCGATGGTGACTTAGTGTGAGTGGGTTGTAATGAGGGCACTGGGCAATGAAGGAGCTCAGAGGAGGCGCCTGACCCAGCCTGGGGGCAAGCAGGAAGGCTTCCTGGAGGAAGGGATGTTGCAGCAAAGATCTGAACAGTGAGTACGATTGAGATGGGGAGAATCAGCCAGTTGGGGGTGACAGGAGGTACAGAAAGAGGGCTCCTGGCATAGGGACCGCAAGTACGAAGGCTGAGAAGAGAGGAAAAGGGTGGCTCATTCCAGAAACTGAAATCCGTCCAGCCGTGGTCGGGAAGAACATCGGTGTCTTCCCACCAGAGCCCCCTGGCCAACAGACAGCCCTGCTGCCAGCCTGTCTCCTCCCTCTGCTCATCCCCGGCCCCCTGGGGCAGCTGCCCGCTCAGAGCTGATCAGGTGTCAGAGCTGCGAGCTGGGAGCTGCTGGTGCGAGCTGGTGGCCCAGCTGGGAGCAGGTAACCAGAGCTGGCAGTGGACACAGTGGCCTGGTGCTGGAGTCACTGGAGCTGCAGGAGGTAGGAGGGGAAGGAGTTAAGGGAGGCCTGGGATGGAGGCTCCCCTTAGGGCCTCAGGCTCCTTGCCCCTGATCCCTGGCATGTGGGAGAAAGGAAAGGCTGGTGTGTGTCCCAGCTATGCTGAGGCACGCTGACACCCACACACACACTCATTCATGCGTGCACCTCCCACTTCCCAGCCTTTGTGCTGTCTAGGGTACGTACCATCTTTTTCTGCTGCTGCAGCTCAATATCCTGCCCAGCCATCAGGCCCTGTTCATATATCATCACCTCTTCCAGGAAGCGGTCCCTAGATGAGGGTACTTCCCCCTCCCCCAAGCCTGCGGATTCCCTCCTGCCCAGGCAACCTGCGGACTTCTCTCTTGGGTGTCAGTTACACCCTGCTCTGGGTGTGATTGAGCCCGTTAGACAGGAGTAAAGAAAAAGGGTGGGTGGAGTGGGTGGTGAGTGAATGGGTACATTGATTGAATGGGGTAAATTGAAGGGGTGAATGAAAGGATGGGCAGTAGATGGATGGGAGGGTGGATGAACAAGTGGATGGATGGGTGGGTGCGCTTTGGATGGATGCGTGGTAAGTAGATGGGTCAGTGGGTGGTGGATGAAGGATGGTTGGGTGGGTAGATGGTAGGTGGGTGTTGGCTGTATGGGTGGGTGCATAGGTGGATGGGTGCGTGGATAGTTGAGGTAGATAGGTGGTTGGATGAGTGGTTGGGTGGGTGGATGGGCAGGTGGATGGGATGGTGGGTGGGTGGTGGATGAAGGATGGTTGAAGGGTGCGTGGAGAGCCATGAGAAGATGAGCTGGGTGGATGAGTGGGTGCGTAGTGGCCAATGGGTGATTGGATGGGTGAGTGGATGGTGGGTGGATGGATCAGTGGATGGGCAGGTGGATGGTGGGCGGATGGTGGATAGAGCACTGTTGAAGGGTACGTGGAGAACCATGAGAACAAAAGTTGGGCGGATGGTGGACAGTGGGTGGATGTAGAAGTGCTTGGGTGGGAGGATGGATGCACAGGTGAGTGGATGGGTGGAAAGGTGATTTGGAGAATTCATAGGCAGGTGAGCAGGTAAAAGGACAGGTGAAGGATATGTCTTAACAGAAATCCCACTCAGACATAGGAAGGAATTCCTAGCCAGACACCTGGCAAAATGCCCCCTTGAGATCCCTGCCTGACCTCTATACCTGCACATGCACGAAACACAAAACAGGCTAAGCTGGACAGACATGCATGCACACACGTACCTTGTGCTCACACGTGCACACACATGCGTGCAGCCATCACCCAGGACCTCTGCCCACCTTGGGTGACTTGCCTCCGTGCTCTCACTCACACAGGAGCCAGGCTGGTGTAAGGGAACTTAGCTGCAAGGATTTTCTTTCTGACTTTCCAAGAAACATGCCTCTGTGCTAAGACGCCTCGGCTCTGGGCCTGGGCCCCCAGGAGACCCTAACTATTCAAGAAAACAGAATCAGTCCGGACACTTCCAGCCTCTGGAGCCAGGGGTGGGGCAGAGGAAGAGCTGGGGGAACCCAATTTGAGGAGTTAGAGTTCTGCCTACTAGTAAGAGGCAAAGCTGATCAGAACACCATGGGATTTTGGAACTGGGCTGTGAAGGATGAATAGGAGTTCACCAGAGAAGAAAAAAAAAAAGGCATCCTAGGTAGAAGTAACTGCACAGATAAAAGCCTGAAACCAGAAAAAGCCTGATCTACTTGGGCAACAGGGAATACTGGTGGGATACATTTATTGAGCACCTATGTTTGCCAGGCTGTATGCTAGGAACCTCACAGGAAACTGGCCACAATTTGGGTAAGAGGGGATTATTTCCTGCATTTTATGGAAGAGAGATGTAAAACACAGGACAAGTGATCTGCTGAAGGACACACAGCATTTAGAAGATAGGATAGGTTCATGTCCTGCTCTAGGGGCTGGGATGGCCAGGGGGGAGGAGGAAGTGGTACTTTTGAGGAGTGGGAGGTGGACGACTCTCCTGCCCACCAGGATTGATGTCCCTTACCCCCTGGCCTTCTGTAGGTGGCCTGGGGAGAGGAGAAACACCTGACACTGGCCATGAAGACCCTCCGGGCACGATTTAAGAAGACAGAGGTGAGTCTGAGGCCACTGAGATGCCTGACGTCCCCCAACTTCAGGCTCCTGTCCCCCAGGACCTGGCTGAAGATCCAGTGGGCCCTTGGACTGCTGTCCTCTGTCTGTCATCAGATTCTTTTGGCAGTATGACCAAGCCCCTCCCTGTTCAAAACTCTTCCATGGTTGCCCACCATCCACAGGTTCAAGTTTACCCTTTTAGCCTCCGGCCACCTCCCCTCCCTTTCCTCTCTACTGCCCCCTGCTGCCCTGATCTCCACATTACTTCCTGTTAAAGCTTTTCAGCCACCATGCCTTTGTCCAGGCTGTTCCCTCCACCTGCAATTCTCTTCCCCGTACTACTGTGCATCAGATCCTCCCCATCGCTCGCAATTTGTCTCCAAGAACATTTCTTCCGGAAAATCTCTATTCCCAGCTACAGTGACCACTTGCTTTTCTGGGGCCTCACTTTCTCGGGGACCCTGATTTCTTGCTTTTGAGTATTTATTCAGCAAATATTTGTATTGGGTGCTGTTCTAGGCACAAAGGACACAGCAGTGAACAGGGCAGACCGAAATCCCTGCCCTTGTGGAGCTGACAGCTGTGTTGGGGTGATGGATGCTAAACAAGATAAATAAGTGAAAAGGCATATTTTGTACCAGGGAGACAAAGAAAGGGAATTTAAAGCATCCTGAGCAGGGGAGATGGTTGCAGTTTTAAAGCAGGTTGTCCGGAAAGGCCTCACCAAGAAGCTGATATTAGAGTAAAGATCAGAAGGGAAAGGAGGAGGAAACCATGTGTGTATTTGCAGGAACTGCATTCCAGGCAGAGGGAACAGCCAGTGCAAAGGCCCTGAGGTGGGGTCTAGCTGGCTTCTCTTGCAGCTATATTTTGGGCTGTGAACTTCCAGAGACTGCGCTCCTTCCTCATTCATTACCCACTCCCTCCCGGCCCCACTAGTCCCTGCCAGTGTGCAGGCTGGTCCAGGGCACAGAGTGACAGAAGCTAAGAGAGCATTCACATGTAGAGTCTGGCAGCCAGCCTTCCTGAGCACTGGCCTCTGTCAGGCTAGACTTCCCAATTACAGCACAAAGAAACCAGGGTCTAGAGAGGTTAACTCACCTCTCCTGGTCACAGAGTAAAGTGGCAACAGGGAGATTCAAACCCACACGTGTCTGACTTTAGAGCCCTTGGTCTTTCTCCCATGACAGGGCCTTCCCATCCGGAAGGCCCAAGGCAATCAGGGAGGCTACGTGGAGGAGGTGGTGCTGGAGCAGAGCCTGGAAGGATGGGGAAGATTTAGTTAGACAAGTGAAGGCACACAGGGAGGGGGATGGGGACCAGTGTGAGCAAAGGTCTGGAGGCTGGGCAGAGCCTGGTTGATACAGGGACATAATGGGATGATGAAAAGGTTCTTTTGGCTGGAGGAGAGAATGTGAGGGGGAGCTGAGGCCCGAGAGGGCCCAGCCCAAGGAGTCCTTGAATGTCAAAAACGGGGCAGAGGAACAGCCTGGTTTTATTTTTTAATCAAAAAAAATTTTTTGGCCTTGCTGCACAGCATGCAGGATCTTAGTTCCCCAGCCAGGGATCGAACCCGTGGCCGCTGCTGTGGAAGAGCAGAGTCTTAACCACAGGACCGCCAGGGAAGTCCCAAGCCTGGTTTTAAAGTCACATGGCTCTGGGTTCGAATTCTTCCTCTGCCCCTGACTAGCTCAGTGACTTTGTGTATATCTCCACCATTCTCTGGCCTTCCAAAGTTTTCCCAACTGATTTTTATTTTATTTTATTTTTATTTTATTTATTTATTTTGGCTGTGCTGCGCGGCTTGTGGGATCTTAGTTCCCTGACCAGGGATCAAACCGGTGCCCCCTGCAGTGGAAGCTCAGAGTCCTAACCACTGGACCACCAGGGAATTCCCCCCTCAAAATGATTTTTAAATGTATTTTTATTATTTGTCAATTTTAACATTCCTTTCATTTTGTTTATTTTAACGTTTAAAATTTAAATTCAATGCCGTTGAACTCATTTTTATTTATTTCATCCCATTTTTGTTTTTATTTATTTGTTTTCAAACACTACAAGGAGATTTCCATGTGCTTTGCAGATGTCAGCTCCTTTAACCCTCATAACAATCATATGGGGTAGGAGCTTTTATCTCCACTTTATAAATGAGTAAACATGCCCAAAGAGGTTAAGGAATTTCCCCAACATCACACAGCTAGGAAATGAATGCCTGCCTTCTCCCTGGGCTGTGTTACTAGGAACACCTGTGTTACTAGGGCTGTGTTATTGGGCCTTGGTTGCTGGGAAACTTGCATTGATTGAAGTGAGAAGGAAGGAGAGGGAGAGGGGGAGGGAGAGAGAATGAAAGAGAGAGAGAGAGAGGGCACCAGAGCAAGGAATAAATTGTTTGTTAAGCCCTACAAAACGTGGCATGGGGTTAGCTTCATTCACTGCGAAACGATCCTAAAATTTTCATCCCGTTCGAAATTGGTTCCTAGTTAGTGTTCACATTTCCTGCTAAAGATTCTGGAGAAGTTGTAGCCAGTGGTAAACCAAACCACGGGATTGTTGAATTTCAAAAGCAGAGTCCTATTGAAATCCAATCCTTCAAAACGTTTGTGCCGCTAAAAAAAACAAAAACAAAAAAAACACCTAGGGGCTTCCCTGGTGGCACAGTGGTTGAGAACCTGCCTGCTAATGCAGGGGACACGGGTTCAAGCCCTGGTCTGGGAGGATCCCACATGCTGCGGAGCAACTAGGCCCGTGAGCCACAACTACTGAGCCTGCGTGTCTGGAGCTTGTACTCCGCAACAAGAGAGGCCGCGACAGTGAGAGGCCCGCACACTGCGATGAAGAGTGGCCCCCGCTTACCACAACTAGAGGAAGCCCTTGCACATAAACGAAGACCCAACACAGCCAAAAATAAATAAATTAATTAATTAATTAAAGTACCCTTAATTTAAAGAAAAAAACCCCCAAAAAACACCTAATTTGGGACGTGGGTGTGTTTTGATAGGTGCCTGGCACAGTGTCAAGATGAGGAGGGCAGGAATAGAAGGGTGTTAAAACCTCAGCCTGGGTGTGAGGGTCTCTGGGTGTGTCAGGGAGGGCGGGGGCAGCGAGCAGAGCCCGCCTGGGCTGGAGCGGGCACGGCAGATGGGAGGCCTGGGGGAGGAAGGAGAGGAGAAGCTGGTCCTCCACTCCCCCCCCAAAACCGCCCCCCACCCCCGTCAGTCCCTCTACCTGCCAGGCTCCAGTTTCTCTGCCAGACGCAGGAGTCAGGTTCAGCTTTTGTTCGGCTGCCCCGAGGGAAGAAAGCAAACACCCGCGACTGCAGTGGTCCGTCTCCACCTCCGTCTCCATCTCTCCGGACCTTCCATTTCCCATTCTCAGCACACAACCTGCCCGGCGCGCCCTCCCCGCTCCTTTCTGCTTCTCTCATGATACAGCCTGCTCTGCCAGGTCCCAGCAGAGCGCCCTACTTGCTCTGAGCCTTCTCGCACCCTCTCTGGGCCTCAGTTTTTCCATCCATAAGATGGGAGGGATTTCCCTGGTGGTCCAGTGGTTAAGACTCTGTGCTTCCAATGCAGGGAGCACGGATTTGGTCCCTTGTTCGGGGAACTAAGATCCCACATGACACGCGATGCCGCAAAAAGAAAAGAAAAGAAAAAAGATGGGAGTTAACTGGAGCCGGGAGCCTAGTCTTTGGATTCCCATCAACCTCCTGCCCTTATTTCAGGTTTTAGAAAAATCCTACATGGAAGAAGAGTGCGGATTTGTAGAAAATTTTAGAGATTCGTAAACTCCCGGTGCCTCAACACTTTTTGGAAAATCTGTCTGTCTCTCTGTCTCTCCCTCACTTTTATTCCCAGAGTCACTGTTTCTTTTTCTTTTTTTTTTCAGTTTGAACAAAGTAGTTTATTGCTATTAGATCAACACAGGCACTAGGGGATTGACTGAATTTTGTAGCTTGTAGTTTATTATTAGGATGCCCTGAAAAGTACTCTTGAAGTGAACAAATGTACATATAGATATATATTAGATATGTGACCTTATTTTAAATGAGTCACTATTTCTTTAATTCATTCAACAAACATTTATTCAGCACCTACTGTGGGCTGGAGATCAGGGCCGGCTTCACAGACACACACACACACACACACACACCCTGCCACTCAGAAGGACCCCATGTTTGGTTTCATACTCATTTCTCCCCATCTTGAAATTCTTCATAATTTTTCAACAAGGGGCCCTGCATTTTCATTTTGCACCGGGTCCTTCAAAGTCTATACCCGGTACCTGCTGGGGATCCAGCCGCAGTGACTAAGGGGGACAAAAATTCCTGCCTGTGCAGAGGTGAGATTCTGTGGAGAGATCAAGAGGAAACAATATTTTCAGAAAGGTACACAGGATGACGTCAGGTAGTGATAAGAACGATGAAGGAAAAATAACCCCCCACTAAGGGGTCAGAGTGACAAGGGGTGATCAGAGAAGGGCTCTCTGAAGAGGTGTCTTCCAGTGCAAAAGACAGTAAAGGAATCAGCGTTGTGGGCAGTGGAGGAAGGAGGGCATTCCGGGTGGAGGACACAGCAAGGGCAAAGGCCCGGAGGTGGGCAGAGCTGTCTGAGGACCAGAAAGGAGGTCACTGCAGCAGGATGTCACGGACCAGGGGAAAGGTAGGGGGAGATGAGCTCAGAGAGCTGGCAAGGAGGATTGTTTAGAGCAAAGCTAGGCACATTTTTCCTGTAAAGGGCCAGAAAGTAAACTTTTTTTTTTTTTTTTTGCCACGCCACACAGCTTGTGGGATCTTAGTTCCCTGAGCAGGGATTGAACCCCGGCCCTCGGCAGTGAAAGCATGGAGTCCTAACCATTGGACCACCGGGGAATTCCCATAGGCCATTTGAAAATGGATGGGCATAGCCCCATCCCAATAACACTTGTTTTATGGTCACTGGAATGAGAATTTCATATAATTTTCATGTGTCAGGAAGTACTACTCTTCTTTTGATTTTTTTTTTCCCCTGACCACTTATAAGTGTAAAAACCATTCTTAGCTCTTGAGCTGGACCAAACCAGGTGGGGATGGGGTGGGCTGGGATTTGCCACCCACCCCAGCCCTGGGGACCTCCGTTGGCAGTTGGACCGCTTGCCATAGAACCTCCTGGGCTCTGTGAGCAGTTAGCAGTTGATGCCGAGCAAAGTTGCTGGAGGCTTTTGAGCAGAAGAGAAAAATGCTCTGATGCAGGCTTTAGGAAGCTGTGGACCAGGGAGGGGAACAGAAGCAGGGAGGCCTGGGAGGAGGTGACCTCCAGATAGAATTGTGTTGGGGCTGGACCATGGGTGAGAAGGGGTCCCTGGACGTAGTTTACAGCTGGTGGGGTTGGCTGCTGGATTGGGTGTGGGGTGAGAGAGGAGTGAGATGATGCTAAGACTCGGCCTAAGCCCCTACCGGGACAGCGACGCCCTTGGCCCACTGCGGGGGGCTTCTGAGCTTGTCTAACATCCAGAAGGACAGGCTGAGGGCAGTTGGAAATCCGAGGCCTGAGCTGGGAGATCCATTTCAGTCTCCTCTCTGGACAAGCCTGAGAGGGTCACACCACCCCCCCTCGGTGTAAGAGGAGAGAGGAGCCCTTAACACCCTCCTTCCAACTCCCCAATTGCTTATCAGCAGATTCTCCATTTACCTGCCCCCACCTCTCCCTCCATCTGCCTAAAGGTGTCTAAGAATAATCACGGACAACAGCAGTGATCCTGCCTCCAGGTACACTGGGTGATACCTGGGACGTTTACGTTTTTCACATGGTGTGTGTGTGGGGGGGTGTTTCTGGACCAGGGGTGCCGCTCAACACCCCACAGAGTCCAGGATGGCCCCACCCCAGGGAATGACCAGGCCCCAAGTGTCAGCAGTGCCTCTGGGTGGAGGAACCCGGCTCTATAGTGTTCGTTCCATTATCTATCCCATGGTTAAAGAATTGAGGCCCAGAGAGGGAGAATGGCTGGCCCCGGGTCACACAGCAACTATACAATGGCCAAGCTGGGTTCAAAGCCCCAGTGCCTGTCAGCAGTCACTGCTCTTAAATTTGGGTTCCTGAAGGCCTGTCTCCTCACTCATCCCTTCTCTCCCCTGTAATCCCAATCTCCTCCCTTCTCCTGGTCCCTTCTCGAATTTGCATCCACAACACAGTGGACTATCCTGACTTTTGGAACCATTTGTGGCTCTCCTGACACCCCACACTCCTGGTTTCCCCCGCCTTCCCAGGACCCCTTCCTCCAGCTCCTATGCTAGCACCTCTCCTCCTCTGCCCCCATCCTTAAGTATGCACACCCCTGCCCCACCCCACGCCCCAGGTCCTGGACCAGGGCAGAGGCTACCGCTCTGGTCCAGGAGAGCAATTTATTTCATGATTTCTCCCAAACATGATCTTGTTCCTGCCACTCCCCAACTCCTGCCCATTCTTCAAGTTTCAGCTCAGATGTCCTTTCTTCCAGGAAGCCCTCCCTGACTCCCCAGATGATATCAAGAGTCCTCTCTGAGCTCCCAGCTCACCTGGGCTTCCCTCATAATAGCCCTGATCACCTTGGTTCATAAATCCATGGGTGTGTCTGTCTCCCCAGGGACCTCATTAATAGCAGGGACATCTGTCTTCGTCACCACTGAGTCCCAATGCCCAGTGCAGTGCCAGGCACCCTGTAGCACAAGTGGACTGAATGAATGAAATACACATGGCTCAGAGGGCTTGGCTTTGTGAGTCACACATTAACGGAGCAAACATTCACCAACTGCCCACCCCACCCTGGGGTGCCCACCCCACCCTGGCCTCTGCCAGGGAGGCCTCAGTGGGACCCTGCTCTCAAGGGGCTTCCAGTCTGAGAAAACCAGCAGAACACAGACCCTCCCAGCCCCTTGGAGTTAGAGCCAAAGGCTGTGTCCTCTCTGTCTTTCAGTGGTTTAACTGAGCACCTACTATGTCCTGCGTCCCTAGGATTCAGTATTAGATATGCACACAGCCCAACCACATCTTTCTTTGAATCCGTGTTTATGGCGCACTATGTTCCAGGCCCCATATATAGCATCTCATTTAGTCTTCCCAGTAACCCTCTGCAGTAGGTACTGTTTAATATGAAACCCATTTCCCGGATGAGGAAAGTGAAGTCCAAAGCAGGTAAGTATCTGGGCCGATCTTATAGATGGTAAATGCGGGTGTGTGGAGGGCAGGGGGCGAGGCGGGGGGGTGCCCTGGATTCAAATTCAGGTTTGTCAGACTGCAGAGCCCCGCTGGTGGATGATGAATGAATGAAAGAGTGAATGAATGAGTGAGGGAGAGCCCGGATAGCCCAGCGGCAGTGGAACCAGACCGGGAGTCACCTGAGACCACCCCCCCATCCCACACTCCCCCTCTTCCCCGCACCACCACCCCCCCCCCCCCCGGGGGGGGAGCGAACCGCGGGGGGGCCCGGGGAGACCGGGGGGCCCGGCCCCTTTTGCCCTCCGCCCCCGGGGGGCAAGAAGGTCAGGTCGGGCCACCGCGGGGCCCCCCCCCCAGAGCCCACCCCCCTTCCCTGGCACTCCCCCCCACCCGTAGGGGAGGGGCCTGGAGGGGGGCAGCAGGCGGGGCGCGCGGGGGAGGTTTGGCGCGGGGCTTGGCGGGACCGCGCGGGCCGGGCGGCCGAGCCCCGGCATCGCGGGCCCTTCCCTCTGGTCACCTCCCGGACCCCGGCCGCCCGGCCGCCCGGCGCCCTGGACACCATGAAGCAGCTGTGCCTTTGCGCCGCCGCCTCCTTCGCGGTAGGGCCGGGGGAAGGGGCGCGGGAGCGGGGCGGGCGCGGGCCCTTCCTCCCCTCCCCGTCCCGCCCCTCCCCGCCCCCTGACCTCGCAGAGCCTAGACCCTCCACCCTCAGACCCGCGAAGGATGATCAGGGAGGAGGGAGGGGGCGGGGCAGAGACTGGGGGGGATGGATGGGACATTTGTGGGGACAGTTTTGAGGACAGATGGGGACACAGGAGAATTTAGAGGGCATTTAGAGGGACAGTTTTGGGGAACAGTTTTGGATGGGATCATTTGTGGGGACAGTTTGGATGCTGTTTTGGGTGATCTTTTCTGGGAAAAGATATTGACATTTGGAGAACAATTTTGGAGGACATCTGAAAGATTTTAGGGGAGGACATTTTGGGGACAGATGATGGGGTTATTGGGGGGGTGATTTTGGAGAACATGTCAGGAACTTGGGGAAGACATTTTGGAATGCATTTCAGATATGGGGACATTTGGGAGACAATTGTGGCATCTCAGAGGCAGTCAAAGGATAGATGGCCGAGGGTGGTGCTGAGGGACATTGAAGCAACCTTTTTAGGGGTTCCTATGGGAAGACTTCGGAGGGTAGTTCAGAAAGGGATATGGTGAGGTGATATTGGAAAGGTGGCTTTCACTAAGGGCTGGGCTGGGAGCCTAGGTTTGGGGGACAACTTTTTGGAAAGATGCTGGGGGCTGATCTGGGCATGGTTTAATGGTACGATGGTGGAAGTGGTGTATGACAGCTGGACCTGGGGGCAGATGCTGGGGACCCAGGCTTGAGGGTTGCTGTCTCAGGCCCCCACCCAGGACCACTCCCCCCGGCAGCTGCGGCTCAGCCCCACTGACCTTGGCTCCTGCCCACCCTGCGGCCCCTGCCCCATCCCGAAGCCGGCAGCCAGAGGCAGGCGCCAGGCAAGTGCCCAGGCCGGGCGGTGAGAGCCCGGAGCCCCTGCTGGGGGAGTGGGGAGGGGCAGTGGCCGCCAGTCCCATGTTCCCCTGGGTGTGCCCCGCAGAGCCAGGACTGGGGCAAAAGTGACGAGCGGCTGCTGCAGGCCGTGGAGAACAATGATGCCGCACGGGTGGCCTCCCTCATTGCCCGCAAGGGGCTGGTGCCCACGAAGCTGGACCCCGAGGGCAAGTCCGCGTGAGTGCCCACGTCCTGGGGGTGTGATGGCTGAGGGGTGGCCACCCTGCAGCTGACCCCTGACCTCTGGCCTCCAGATTCCACCTGGCGGCCATGAGGGGTGCAGCCAGCTGTCTAGAGGTGATGCTGACACACGGCGCCAACGTTATGAGCACGGATGGGGCAGGTACTACCCGCCGGGCCCTGGGGGAGGGAAGAGGAACTCAGACCAGGTGCCCAGCCTGAGGGTCCAGCCAGGCCCTGCTTCATGGCCTCCATGTCCTGCTGAAAAAGGGGGGTTCTCTTCAGTGCCCCCAGGGAGGCACAGGGGCGAGTCAGGCTGTGGTACCCAAGGATGGAGACCATGGCCAGCAGCAAACAGAGTGAGTCAACTTGTGGATCAGGGAGAGCTGGGACTCAGGTAGTGGTTGAGTCAGAGGAAGTAATGGAAACAGAGGAGCATCTGAGCTTGAGGAGCATCTGGGGGCGTGAGAATAACAAGTACAGTTTTTTGGAGGGGAGTATCTGAAGTGCATGGAGTAGCTGGGCTCTAGAGTTAGCTGGAGCTCTGGGAGTAGCTGAGACAAAAGGAGAATCTAGGTGTGTGACTTAACTAGGGCCCTGAGGGATAACTGTGATAGAAGGCATGGCCAGAGGGAGTAGTTGGGACTCAGGGAATAGCTAGGCATGGGGCATAGCCACATCTGAAGCTTCAGGGCAACAAGTATAGGAGCCAGGATGTATGGGTACTGGGAATTTGTAGAGTATCAAAGAAAGCGGCATAGCTGGCACTTTGGTGTAGTTGAGCTTATAGAGTAGCTGGAGACCTGGGGAGTAGCTGGGGACCTGGGGAGTAAGCTGGTGACCTGGGGAGTAGCTGGGGACTGGGGGAGTAGCTGAGGACCTGGGGAGTAGCTGGGGACTGAGGGAGTAGCTGAGGACCTGGGGAGTAGCTGGGGACAGGAGTGCTTGAGGAGTGGATGGATGTGGAGTGTAGCTGGGATGAGATTGTCTGGGACACCTACTAGCTGAGGTTTGGAAAGCCTCTGGTCCCAGGGAGTAGCACAGTTTTGAGAAGTACCTGGGTTTGGGGACTTGTTAGAGTCATCACAAGTAGTTGACACAGGTTTGGGGGGGCAACTGGAAGTTCCCTGAGTATCTGAAGCTCTAGTACATTCTCTCTCCCTTTCAGGTTACAGCGCCCTCCACCTGGCCGCCAAGTATGGGCACCCTCAGTGCTTGAAGCAACTACTGCAGGTCGTGTCCTTTCCTGCCTCAGATACTTCCCAACCCCAGATACTCCCTTGCCCTGACTAGTCCTGAGTTCCAGGAATTCACTGAACCCCCAGTTACCCCCTGAATCCTTTGTATTCCTTGGCCCCTTTTACTCCTGAGTCCCAGCTACTCCTTGGACAACCAGATACTCCCTGAGTGTCCAGCTACTTCCCACACCCAAGTTATACTCCCAATACCAGCTATTTCCTGAGCCCAGCTTCTCCCCAAACCCCCGGCTGCCCCTGGGCTCCCAGCTAATCCCTCTTTCTCACCAATTTTCATAAAAGCCAAGAGAGTCATTTGGGGGCCTGTGAGAAGTGGGTTCCACAGAGCAGGTGGGTGGGAGGGGAGAAGGGGGGAGGCAAGGAGGCTGAAATACAGCAGAGCCCAAGGAGGGGCAGTTCCTAGAGAAATTAGGCAACAGGGATGGCTCCTAAACAGGGATGGCTCCACCTCCAATGACACGCCTCCCCCCCCAGGCATCCTGCGTGGTGGATACTGTGGACAGTAGTGGGTGGACGGCCCTGCATCACGCAGGTGGGTGCAGCCTGGCCTCGCCCTGGCCACCATGGCCCAGAGGGTGCTAGGCTTGGGAATTATTCTACCTAGGGCTCTGGGGACCTGCCTAGAACATTCTGCCTCCTTCCTCATGGAGCCGCTACTGTGTGCCAGGCACTGGGCTCTGCATTATCCTCTGACCCTTTGAGCCATGGACGATGACCATTGGACAGACAAGGGGATTGAGGCTTATCAGCAAGAAAGTGGGGAGGATCCAGGCCGTCTGACCCCGAAGCACAGCCTACTGTATGCTGGGCCTGGGTGAGGACGATCAGAGGGTGACCAGAGTATAGTTTGCTTCAAGGAACTCCTAGGGAATCTCAGGAAGGCCAAAGGTCCAGGCAACCTTCATAGTCATCAAATCCAAATTCCTTTCCCAAGGGAGGGAAGGGACCCACCCACCTGAGCCAGGGTCTGTCCACCGTGCCCATGACATTCGGGAATGTCTTTCACTTGATGACTCAAGAACCGTCTATCCTCTTGGGAGCGTGGAATACATTTGCTCTGGAGTTTTATTCACTGTTGAAACATTCCCTGCAGTTGGAGTACGCTGCCACCTAGTGGTGGCAAAGCCTTTGATCACGTTATGGAAGCTCCGTGGTTTTTTATTTTCAATAAATATTGAGTACCTGCTGTGTGCCAGGCTCGGTTCTAAGCGATGGGATTACAACAGCAAACAAAACCCCATAAGTCCTTGGGCACACAGCAGGTAATCACATAGAGTTTGATGATTTTTTTTTTTAGCTTTTTTTCTTATTTTATCTTCTTGGCCATGCTGCACAGCACGTGGGATCTTAGTTCCCTCACCAGGGATCGAACCCGCGCCCCCTGCAGTGGAATTGTGGAGTCTTAACCACTGGACCGCCAGGGAAATCCAAGAGTTTAATGGTTTTCCAGCAACACTTCCTTGCACAAAGCCCTTCCTTCCCTCTTTGAGGCTCTGGACATAACACACCTTGTCCTACTTCCTTGATGACCAAGTCCTTCCAAGCTCCTCCCTGCCTCAGGGTCCATGTCCATGCAGTGACCTCTACCCTCCCCCTTTCACCATCAAAACTCAAGCTCAGATCAAACCCCAAGAAGCCTGCCCAACCTCAGCGGAGGTCTGATCTCTCTAGTAAATATTAACACTCTTCGTATGAGGGTTTGGTATATAGTCGGTACACAATAAATGCTGGTTGAATCAAAAGGGGTTAAGTACATGAAAATCAGTGAAACGTTCCACCCTAAGAGGGACCCACAGTGGAATGTGGAAGGAGCTTGGGACTGGGAATTAGAAGACCTGGGTCCTCCTCCTGGCTCTTTCCCTGACCCCCTGGGTGACCGTGGGCCTGGCTGGGCCTCAGTTTCTTCATCTGTAGAATAGGAGTCATATCTTTGTCACTGATCTTCTGGGGGAGGTGGAAGTTTCTCATGAAATAAAGGATAAGAATCACACTCAGGCAGAAGGCCCCCAGAAAATATCAAAGCCATGCCCTTCCTACCCACCCTTCTCTCTTTTTCCAGCGGCTGGCGGCTGCATCTCCTGCTCAGAAATGCTCTGCTCCTTCAAGGCACATCTGAATCCCCGAGATCGAGTGAGTCTTTGGGATCTTGTGGGGAAAGATACTGCATTTGAGGCATGCTGCCACCAAGTGGCAGCATCCCAGGCACCCTTTGAAAAGTATGAAGATTTGGAGGGAAGCTTGGGGGCCCTCATAGGCTTCCCCACCTCCCAGAGTCATTCTCTCATGCCTTGTCTCATCCCTCTCCCAACCCCCTCCCCCAGCTGGGTACAACACCCCTCATCATAGCAGCTCAGATGTGTCACACAGATCTGTGCCGCCTCCTCCTGCAGCAAGGGGCTGCCGCAAATGACCAGGACCTTCAGGGCAGGTGAGCATCTCCCCTCTCAGCCAGTCCATTGTGTGCTGTGTGACTTAGGCAAGTCTCTTAACCTCTCTGGGTGTGGGATCTAGTTGTCCTCCTCCCCTTACCCACCCTGGGTGTTGAGGAGGGTGTGGTGGTTTGAAAATGTCCTCACCCCCTCAGTAGCCTCCTCTTCTGGTAGGACGGCCCTGATGCTGGCCTGTGAGGGAGCCAGCCCCGAAACAGTGGAGGTGCTGCTGCAGGGTGGGGCCCAGCCGGGCATCACTGATGCGCTGGGCCAGGACGCTGCTCACTACGGCGCCCTGGCAGGGGACAAACTCATCCTACACCTCCTGCAGGAGGCCGCCCAGCGCCCCACACCACCCAGCGGTATGCAAACCCCACCTCTGAACAATTTTGAGCACCCTCCTCCATCTTCTAGGTAATTTCTTGTCATCCCTTTCTCTCCCTCCCTACTGTGGATAGTTTCAAGGTATCCCTATTTGTATTATAGGAGGTTTCATTGCTCCCGTCACACTACTCAGGACAGTTTTGAGGAACCCCAGAGCTTTTAGAATAGCCTAGGGGTCAACTCTGTTTTCCTGGGTCATCCATATTCTTGGATGTTTACCTTTCCTAAGAATTGGCCCTTCCACTTGCCCCATCCTGGAGATGCCACTGTTCTCTCTTTTTGAGAGTTTCAAGGCCCCTCCTATTAGTATTCTGTCAAAATGGTTGATTCCTACCTTAAAAGTCCTGATTCTGGGGGGAATTGGGAGCCCTCTCAAGTCCCCTGGGCTCACTAATGCCCTTCCTAGGGCTAGGAATGGAATCCCTAGAACAGTGCCTGACCCTGCTTCCCTCTCTCCCCTGCCCTCCCAGAGGATGACTCAGGCGAGGCATCATCTCAGGTATGGATCCCTAAGCAGCAAACAAGTCCCTCTCCCTGTGCACACACTACCTTCCCCCTTGCCCCAGGCTCCCTGGGAAGAGAAGGAAGAGATGGACCCTTGACTCAGGGTTAATACCTGGAAGGACCAGGTTGGGGAAGAATGCTACCTTCGGGGTATGCTGCCACCAAGTGGCAGCAGCACCCACAGCATAACTCTCAAGACTCAGTGAGAACACTGGGGGGATGGGGCCAAATCATGGGGCTAGGGTGGGATGGTAGAGGGAACTGAGATGGGTGAGGGCTGGTGCAGTCAGTGAAGGAATCAGGTCTGGCCTCTTTCTCTCTTCCGGCACTACAGCATCTCAGCTCCATAGGGAAAGAATTGTAAACAATTGGGTCTAGCTGGGGAAAGTGCCAGGGCATGGAGAGGGGCAGAGGGTAAAACATAAGATTTAGAGCTCTCAGGAGATGTGGTCTTGCCCCCTTTTATGCTGGGATAAGTGAGGACCAGCGAGAGGCAGGGACTCACTCGAGATCACACAGGAAGTGAGGGCACAGTTGGGGCTGGTGACAGAGAGTGGGTTGGCTGTGTTGGTTTATTTGGGTGGGAGGCTGGCATGTCCCCCATGTACCCCCTCTACCCCTCCCCCCAGAACTCTGTGTCCAGCCATGAAAAGCAAGGGGCCCCCAAGAAGCGAAAGGCACCTCAGCCCCCTGCCAATATCCCGATGCCGGTGAGAGATGCCCTGGCCTTGGGGGGAGGCATGGAGGGACTCCAGGCAGGATGGGGAGAAAGCTCTGGCTCAGGTACGGGAGGGTACAGTCCTTGGGCATCACGTAAAGGTGGTGGGTTCCCGGGGTCGGGGGACAGGATGATCAAGATGCCTATGAGGAGATCGTGCGGCTGCGACAGGAGAGGGGCCGCCTGCTGCAGAAGATCCGGGGCCTGGAGCAGAACCAGGAACGGAAGAAGCAGGAGGTGAGGGGCCTCAGAGACATGGGCCTTGGGCTAAGCCTGCAGCAGGTACCATTTTGGGGGTACCCTACCTCTTCTCCCTCTCCATACACACGGGCCTCCTCAGTGTTCCTCCAACACTCCAGGCACGGTGCTGCCCTCGGGCCTTTGCATGTGCTGTGGCCTCTGCCAGAAACACCTTTTCCCAGATGTCCCTATGACTCCCTCTCTCATCTCCTTCAGGTCTTTGCTCAAAGACACCTCCCCTACCCAAATTATTTAAAATTGTTACACCCCGACTCACTTCACAGTTCCCTTTATTTTTATTCAAAGCACTTACTGCTATTGGATGTACCATATATTTTATTCATATTCACCCATTCGACTGTAAGCCCACGAGGGCAGACATGGTTGATGGTGCCTGGCTCACAGTAGATGCTTCATAAGTATTTACTGGATGGATGAATATTTGAGTAAGTGAGTGAATGAATAAATAAACGAATTAGTGGCCTTAAAGCGGGTCTGGCACAAAATAGGCCAGAGGACATCTGTGGTTGGGATGGAGGGCCACTGAGCAGGAGGTAGGCCAGGGAGGACCCCCAGCCCAGATCCAAGCCCAGGCCCCTTTCTTCCGTCAGCTGCCAGAGGCGGAGGCCAGCTCCCTCCACAGCCTGGAGAGACAGGTAGGGTGGAAGGTGGGGGGAAGCTGGATGGCCAGCTGCCCAGTGTTTTCCCCAGAGGCCCACTGAGCCCCCCGCCCCCCACTGCCTCCCTGCAGGTGCAAGAGCTACAGCAGCTGCTGGCAGAGAGGCAGGAGGAGAAGGAGAGTCTAGGACGGGAGGTGGAAAGTTTGCAGAGCAGGCTGTCCCTGCTGGAGGTGGGCCCAGCGGGGAACAGGGCAGGGGTGGGGCTTCTAGGGGCGGGGCCACCAGGGGCGGGGCCACCAGGGGGAAGGGCCTCTCTTCTGCTGCAGCTGCATGATAGCCACACTAATACACATAGTCTCACACACATGCAAACACAGAACAGACAAACGTACAAACACAGGTACACATAATAGACACTTTTAAAAACACAGGATCACACATGCTGACATACGTGCAGAGATGAACAGCCACGCTTGTATATATGTGGTCTTACACATACAACAGGCAAACACACAACAAACACATCTGTGGGTGTATAATCACACATGCACAACAAATACTTGGGCACACACAGCAGATATTTCTCATTCAATCACACACCGAGGCAACACACCCACAAATACATGTACACACACAAGTATTTCTCACAATACATAATTACACAAACGTAGATACATGTACACAACCATGTTCACACACATGCACACATACAGAAACACAGAACGGTCACACACCACAGACTAAAATACAAGTGCAAAATCACACACAGTCACGGGGACTCACATAGGAGAGACGGGGGCCACTGTGCACGCCCACACATGCACACACATGCTCACCGCCGACCCACAGACCCTGAACCACTGTTGCAGGTACTCGCACACAGGCAGACAGCCGTGGCCCCACACAGAATTGCAGACACACCCTTTCAAGGACTCACTCCCATCCCTCTCTTGGTCCCCTGTGACCAGGTGGCACGTACACCCCTAGTTGTTGGGGTTATGGACACAAACTTGGGGGAGACATGGGGGCTGGAGGGAGGGCAAGACCCCGAGCCGGACCCTGATCACCCCCCCCACCAGAATGAGAGGGAGAACACCAGCTATGATGTGGCCACCCTGCAGGACGAGGAGGGTGAGCTGCCCGACTTCACAGGTGAGCTCCCACCTGCCCTCCCCCACCCGTTGTGTCTGGGGCCCCAGGAATTGGAGCCTTGACCCATAGGCATTGAGAGAGGTTGCATCTGGGAGGGAGCTTGGCCCGCCCCGTTAGTTATTCCACTCCCCAAAGTCGGCCTGCCCAGGGACCCTGGGGCCTGACTCTGTGTCCCCTGCCAGGGGCTGAGGCGCTGCTCTCCAAGCACCTAAGCCCATCGGCCCAGGATCTCTTGGCCTCGCTGCAGGAGCAGGTGGCCACGCTCACCAGACAGAACCAGGAACTGATGGAGAAGGTCCAGGTGGGGAAACCGAGGCCTGGGAGGGTTGGGTGGGGACAGACCTGAGGACCTGAGGGGCTGTTCCCCGGGGGGTTGGGCGGGCACGTGGCTGAGTCTGTGGATAGGGAAAGTGGCATGGCTGCCCTGTGCCCCCCATGGCCACTTCAGCTCTTGCCTGGCTGCCCTGCCCCCGCCAGATCCTGGAGCACTTCGAGAAGGATGAGATGGAGGCTGACAGTCTGGCCGAGGTCATCCCCCTGGCGCTGTACGACTCTCTCCGGGCTGAGTTTGACCAGCTCCGCAGGCAGCATGCCAAGGCCCTGCAGGCGCTGGGGCAGCAGGAAGCACAGGAGGGCCCTGGAGAAGAGGAGGCAGCCCCTAGGGAGGGCAACGGCCCGGGAGCCAAGGCCGCCAGAAACGGGCCAGTGGAAGCAGAGCTTAACGGCACTGCAGCTCCGGAAACCAGAGTTAATGGAGCCGAGAGCACAGATGAGGAGGCTGCGGGAGTAGAAACCACGGAAGCCAGAGCTTTGGAAGCAGCATCCATGGTGGCGGAGGCCACGGAAACAAGACCCACGGACGCTGAGGCCACGGAAACAGAGGGTGTCGGCACCGAGCGCTTGGAAACAAAGGCCGCAGGGGCTGAGGTCACAGAAACGAAAACTCTAGAAGAAGGAGGAAACCCAGAAACAGAGGCCACGGGAGCAGAGTCCACAAATATGAAAACAGAGGAACCAGAATGGAAGGCCAGTGGAACAGGTGCTGTGCAGGAAGAGCTCACAGGCACAGGGACCATGAAAACGGAGGCCATGGGAGTGGAGGCCACGACCCCGAGGGTCACCACAGGCCCCGCCTTGCACCCCAGTGCTGCCGAGCTGGAGGCGGCCCACGGCAAGTGTGAGCCCGCGGAGGCCGAGGGTGGTGGGGCTGGCGGGGTCAGCAGCGGTGACACAGGCCAGCTGCGGGCCGCCCTGGAGCAGGCCCGGGAGGACCTCCGAGACCGGGACTGCCGCCTCCGGGAGATGGAAGCGGCCTCGGCCCGGCTGGACGAGGCCCAGGCCGGCCGGCTGTTGGCCGAGGAGGAGGCTCGGGGCCTGCGGGCAGAGCTGGCCCAGCGGGAGGAGTTGCGGCTGGAGCTGAGCCGGGAGGTGCAGGCCCTACGGGAGCAGCTGGCTACGGCCGCAGCCGCCGGGGAGCAGCAGCGGGCTGCGGCCGTCAAGCTGGGCCAGGCGCGGGACGTGGCTGAGGCCCGGGCTTCTGAGCTGGCCGCGGCCTGCGAGGAGGCTCGGCGGGGCCTGGCGGAATTGCGTGAGGCCTCCGAGGTGCTCCACCAGTCAGTGGTGCCAGCCTCGGAGCATCACCGGCTGCAGGAGGAGGCCCTGGAGTTGCGGGGACGGGCGGCCAGCCTGGAGCAGGAGGTGGTGGCCACGGGCAAGGAGGCCGCCCGTCTGCGGGCAGAGCTGGAGCGCGAGCGTGTGGGCAGCGTGGCCCGCCTGGAGCACGAGCGCATCGTGGATGCCCTGCAGGCCGACGTGGCCCGGCTGCAGGGGCAGCTGGAGGAGCTGGGGCGACGCCACGAGAAGACCAGCGCCGAGGTCTTCCAGGTGAGCGTGGTGGGATCCTCATCGGGCACAGCCAGTAGCCAGTTGGTGGTCTGTTCTGACCCCACAGCCATGCGATGTTTCGACCCCATCGATTTCAGTCCTGCAGAGACTTGACGCTGCGATATATCCAGGTGGACCTTTGACCCTGCAGCCATTCTGACCTCCTGGGTGTTTCAACTGGTGTTTTCTTTTTAAAAACCTTTTGGTCATTTTGACCCCATCATTGTTTCTAATGGTTAGCCCTTTTTGCCATCTTCCTTTTTTGTTTTTGTTTTTGCGGTACGCGGGCCTCTCACTGTTGTGGCCTCTCCCGTTGCGGAGCACAGGCTCCAGATGCGCAGGCTCAGTGGCCATGGCTCACGGGCCTAGCCGCTCCGCGGCATGTGGGATCCTCCCGGACCGGGGCACGAACCCGCGTCCCCTGCATCGGCAGGCGGACTCTCAACCGCTGTGCCACCAGGGAAGCCCGCCATCTTCCTTTTTATCTATCTATTTATTTATTTATTTATTTTTGGCTGTGTTGGGTCTTTGTTGCTGCATGCGGGCTTTCTCTAGTTGCGGCGAGAGGGGGCTACTCTGCGTTGTGGTGCGTAGGCTTCTCATTGCGGTGGCTTCTCATTGTGCACCACGGGCTCTAGGCGTGTGGGCTCAGTAGCTGTGGCTCGTGGGCTCTGAGCGCAGACTCAGTAGCTGTGGCACACAGGCTTAGCTGCTCCGTGGCATGTGGGATCCTCCCAGACCAGGGCACGAACCTGTGTCCCCTGCATTGGCAGGTGGATTCTTAACCACTGTGCCACGGGGGATGTCCCCGGCACGTGGGATCTTCGTTGCGGTGCACGGGCTCAGTAGTTGCGGCGCACGGGCTCTCTAGTTGTGACACGCGGGCTCTAGAGCATGCGGGCCTAGTTGCCCCACAGCATGTGGGATCTTAGCTCCCTGACCAGGGATCGAACCCACACCCCTTGCAGTGGAGGAAGGAGGATTCTAAACCACTGGACAACCAGGGAAGTCCTGAAGGTGGATCTTTTGACCCCATCTCTTTTCTTAAATACACACACACACACACACACACACACACACACACACATCCCGCAAAGAAACCTAGCAACTGTTTTTAACAAATGTGTGAATAAAAAGCCACATTTGTTAGTTGTCATCAGGAAAGCGTTTTTCTCTCCATGCCTCTGTTTACTCACCTGTATAATGGAGCTAATAATAGTTCTTAGTCCTCACATGAGAATTAAATGGTTTAATTTTACTTAGGACAGTGATGGTACAAGTGATTAATAATTGCAGCCAGGATTACTGTTTTTCCAAGAACATTCTCTTCTATTTTTTTTTTTTTTTTTTTTGGCTGCACTGCTTTCACGGATCTTAGTTCCCCGACCAGGGATCTAACCTGTGCCCCATGCAGTGGAAGCGTGGAGTCTTAACCACTGGACCGCCAGGGAAGCCCTATTTTCTGAATTTTACCTTCCTTCATGATCACTTCTTTTGTGGGTAAATTTTGCAAGTCTGATTTGATTCAGACTTAGTTGTTGTTTTTTTTAATTGTTAAGGTGTAGTCAGTCTGTACTAAGTGGAACGTCTAATTATTATCCATTTTCCCTGACCTTTTATTTCTTTTAAGGCCAGTGATCCCCCCAGGATCAATTTTTGCAAATCTAACACTGCTCCAATCTTGATATTTTTGTGAAAATGCAGTCATCAATTTTGGGGCATTTGTTTGCTTTTCGTCCAGACTCTTCTGTTTTTCCTTCATTTCGTAAGAAATCTACAAACCTTCACACCACTGGCAGAGAAAAGAACATTGGCTATATTGTAATAATGATAATAACGTTCATTATGTAATAATAACACTAAAAACAACATCACAAACTTGAAGATAGCACTTACTGTGTGCCAAGCACCATTCTAAGTGTATTCCATGTATTTTCTCATTTTATCCTCACAATCACCCTGTGATGTGGAGGCTCTTATTATCCTCATTTTACATATAAGCAAATTGAGACACAGAGAGCTTATGTCACTTGTCTAAGGACACACAGCTTGGCAGAGTCAGAATGTGCATCGTGCCCAAAGAAATCCAGAACTTCCCTGAATCAAATTCCTTGAGGCCAAACGGGCTTGAATAGCCTCAGACCAAAATAGAAGGGTCAGAATCTTTGGTGTCCAGGCATCTTTGGGGTCCAGACGTCCTCAGGGTCACACATGGGTTTGGGCCGCAGGTGCAGCGGGAGGCGCTATTCATGAAGAGTGAACGGCATGCGGCTGAGGCCCAGCTGGCCACCGCAGAGCAGCAGCTGCGGGGGCTACGTACTGAGGCCGAGCGGGCACGCCAGGCCCAGAGCCGTGCCCAGGAGGCCCTGGAGAGCGCCAAGGAGAAGGACAAGAAGGTGGGTCCCCTTTTCTTGTGCTCATTCAGGGGGCCCCCCACTCAACAGAGGTTGGAGGGAATCTAAGAATGTCGCAACTGAAAGAGGCTTGGGAAATCAGCCCATTTTCCAGATGAGCAAACAGAGGCTCCAAGAGGCAAACTGAGTGTCTTGAAGTCACACAGCACCTCACTAGACAGTGGATGTGACCCCCAGAGCCCCAGGTGCTTTAGCACACAGAGAAACCCAGCCCCAACCTGCTGTGTGACCCTGGGCAAGTCACTTGACCTCTCTGAGCCCCAGTTTCCACCTCTGTAAAATGAAGATAAAATTGCGGTACGGATTATGGTTTATTTGTAGCAGTGTTCCTCCCCCTCAGCACTAGTGACATTTGGGGCTAGGTTATTCTTTGTGGGGGACCATCCCGGGCACTGAGGGGTATGGAGCAGCATTCGTGGCCCCTACGCACTCGATATCAGGAGCACCCCCAGTGGTGACAAACACAGATATTGCCTGGCATCCCCGGGAGGCAGGATCTCCCCTGGTTGAGAACCTCTGATCTATAGAAATAACAATAAAGCCCAGCATTTATTGAGTGCCTGCTGTTTGCTGACACAGTTTAAACTTAATCACAGCAGCCTACCAAGGTGAGAAGTGTGATTCTCTTTACAGATGAGGAAACTGAGATTCAGAGGGTTTAAGTCATCTTCCCAAGATCTCCAGCAGGGAAAGGGTAGAGAAGGACCCAAACCCTGGCCTGTCTGACCCAGCCCCACCAGGCCAGGCTGCTTTTGGCCCTCCTGTTCTGTCTGTCTCCACTTTCACTTCCCGGGACTCCAAGATCCACAAGGTTTTTCTGTAAAGGGCCAGACGGTCAATGTTTTTGGCCTTACTTGGCCAGGGCACTCAGCTCTGCCGTTGATGCAGGAGCTGTAGACCCTGTGACAATGAATGGGCTTGGCCGTGCGCCAGTAACATTTTACGTTTGGCCATGGAAATGTGAATTTGGTTTCATTTGCACATGTCGTGAAATGTCATTCTTCTTCGGACTTCTTCCCCCTCAACCATTTAACATGTGGAAACCATTCTTAGCCGATGGGCCGGACTCAGCCTGCAGGGCAGAGTTTGCTAACCTCTAGGATGCAACTTTCCCTCCAAGGCCTGTCCTTTGCCTGGAAAGGTCGCAGGCCCCCAGCCCCGGGCTCAGGATGCTAGCTGACCCTCCCCTGATCCCACTTCAGATCACAGAGCTCTCCAAGGAAGTCTTCAGTCTTAAGGAGGCACTGAAGGACCAGCCGGGAGCCCCAGGCTCCTCGGAGGTGGAGGCCCTTCGCGGCCAGGTGAAGGCTCTACGGGAGCAGCTGGAGGTGAGAGCCTCGCCCACCCGCTGGGCACAGGGCTCCCCGGAGGGTGACGGGCAGGCAGGAGGTTGGGCACATGGGCCAGGTGTGGAAGGAAAACAGTTCAGTATTTTAGCAAGCAGCGCAGTCACGCCGGCGCCTCCCATCAAACTAGGGGCTCGGGGTGCCAAGGGGGCTTTCTGGCATATCTTGGAGGGCGTTCTGCTTTTCTGAGCACCCTCCCCACACCCACAGGAAGCTGCCAGGGACCACAGTGCAGTGGTGGCCTTGTATAGGAGCCACCTCCTCTACGCCATTCAGGTGAGTCACCCTGGCTTTGGGTGCGCCACTGCTGCTCCCTGGGCCTCAATGTCCCCATCTGTACAATGGGACGCTGGTCGAGGGAAGAGGTTCATGGCCTCTGGGGCGGGGGGTCAGGGAGGGGAATGGAGAAGCTGGGTGGGGGGCGGTGGGGAACGCCCAGGCTCTCTCCGCTTCTCTCCACCTCCCGCCCCAGGGTCAGATGGATGAAGATGTACAGCGGATTCTGAGTCAGATCTTGCAGATGCAAAGACTCCAGGCCCAGGGCCGCTGAGGTCAGAGCACTGCCCTCCGCCTTCCAGGCCCTGAGTCGGGGCTGCCAGACTCACGCGCTGACCATCCGCACTTGGAGACCAGCCTGGGCTCCTTCCCAACGATCCCTCACTGCCTCCACGGCCCCACTGGTCCCCGCATGCGCTGGTCAGTCTAGACCCGGGCCCTGACCGTGTACCCTTCCCTGCGCCGGAGACTTTGTGAGTCCCTTCCCTCATGTCTGGCCTTATCATCGGACGCCACCCCAGGAATAAAAGCTCACGGAGAAGAGGATGAGAGCATCGCGTGGCCTGCTTGCTGGGCTCCCACTGCAAAGCGGGGAAGGGGCGGCCCAGAGCAGGGATTGGGGATTAGGGTGAGGAGAGCAAGGCAGGACTCAGTCCCCGAGAGGAACACTATGTTACTGTGTTACTGCAATATCATTTTTCTTTCTTATTTTGGCCACGCCACGCAGCATCTTAGTTCCCAGACCAGGGGTTGAACCGCGCCTCCTGCCTTGGATGCGCAAAGTCGTAACCACTGGACTGCCAGGGAATTCCCCAGTTACTGCACTATTTTTAAAAGTCAGAAGGGGTTCCCAAAAGTTCATGATGAACAAAATATGCAGATGTCAAATGAAGACAGCATCTGAGGCTGCACGACTTACCTCACTGCCCTCACCCTAAACCCGGCCCTGGTGGGGGTGTCCCACACCCTCCCACGGCCTCTTTGCCCCTGGGCCAACCCCCTGAAATCCCCTGGGGGTTCCTGGCTCTTTCCAGCTCCGTGTCCAGCCTGTTCCCCAGGTTTCCTCAGCATCCAGCAGTGGCTCTGCCTGTCCCCGGGCATCCCAGGCCCTTGGAGAACGTCCACGGTTCGGGGCTACCTTCCCAGAGCCTGGGTTTCTGCCTCTCTGTGGCCTGGAGCGTGGAATGTGGCTGGCGGGGGTGGGGGTCCCCATCTTTGTGGTTGATGAGTGATGGGCATCTTCTGTCGGCGCCTGCTACTCTCTGTTCCTCCCCGCCCTGGCCTCTCTCTGTCTTTCTCCCTGTCATCATGGCCCTCCCCGGCGTGCCTCCTCCTCGCTGCAGCCGGAAGGAAGGCTCTTCTGGGAAAGGCCACAGGGTCACCACTTCTCCCTTTCGTGGCCTCCTCCTTCTGCCCCCACCTTTGGGGCCTTCCGCACCCGAGACTGGGGGTGGTCGGGGAAGGGACTGGGGGCTCCTCCTCCGGAGCCCCATGAACCAGGCAGTGAGTCAGAAGGGGAAGGGGAAGTAGGGGGCCTCGACTGGGGGCTGGGCTTTCCCCTGGGTGGGACCTGAGTCCCTTGCCTGGCCGAGGGTGCTCCCTGCCCTAGCCTCTGAAAGCAGATCCCGCCTGAGCCATGGCCCCAAGACTTGTCCTCACCCTCACCTTCTGGGTGGGTTGCTCACTTTGCTGCGGGAGAGAAGGTACGTGGGGACCCGGGGAGGATAGGGGGAGCCAGGGCAGAGGGACACTCTCTGAGGACTGGACTTTGTCTGCCGTGGAACATCCTGGGTGGGGTGGGAGCTCACACACCTTCTGTATGACCACTGATGGGAGGGGGTTACCATCCCATTGCACGGGTGGGGGAAACTGAGGCACAGAGAGGGCAAGAGCTACCCCAAAGGGACCGGGAAGTGGCAGCCACAGCCTGGAGGAAGGGAGGGTGGGAGAGAAAGAAATTTTAATTGTATCCATTCATTTCGTGTGATTCAAAACAAAACCATCACAAAGAGGGGGTCCGGTAAAGCATCTCCCTCCCCCCAGAAATCCCCACCAACCCTAGGTCCCCTCTGTGGGGACCTTCAACCTCAGTTTCCCCATCTGGAAAATGGGCTAATAGTTCCTGCTTTGGTGGGTTGTAGTGAGAGTGAGAGGTGATGTAGGTGCCTTTCATTCATGTACTCATTTATTCCACAAACCTCTATTAGGCTCCTAATGTGTGCCCAGCACTGGCTGGCAGTGAGGTGGGGGCCAAGCCACGGTAGGACTTTGATGGTCCTGGGTGAATCAGAAGCTCATGCTCTCCCTCTCTCTCCGGGCCCCCCAGTAGCTGTCACCCAGCCCAGGGTGCGGTGCCAGGCCTCCAGGTACCCGATCGCAGTGGATTGCTCCTGGACCCTGCCGCCCGCTCCAAACTCCTCCAGGCCCACGTCCTTCATTGCCACATACAGGTCAGAGAGCCTGGAGGGCTTCCTGGGGATTTTACATCTGGGCTGACCCCCTAGGATCAGGGCAGCTGGGGACTTAGTGAGAGCCTGAACCCCTCAGAATTCTAGAGCACCACCAACCCTTAGAAATATACTCCCTAGGGCTTCCCTGGTGGTGCAGTGGTTGAGAGTCCGCCTGCCGATGCAGGGCACGCGGGTTCGTGCCCCGGTCCGGGAAGATCCCACATGCCGTGGAGCGGCTAGGCCCGTGAGCCATGGCTGCTGAGCCTGCGCGTCCGGAGCCTGTGCTCCGCAGCAGGAGAGGCCACAACAGTGAGAGGCCCGCATACCGCAAAAAAAAAGAGAAATATACTCCCTAAAATACGTACTGCGAGCCACATGTGGAGGGTAAAATTTTCTAGAAGCCACATTTAAAAAAGAAAAAGAAATGGGTGACATTGGCTTTAATATTTTATTTAAATAGTATCTAAATATTCCAAATGTTTATCATTTAATATGATCGAATGCAATGTACTTTAACATGCTTATATACGATTCATATATTTAAACTTATACTAGAAATTGATTTCATAGCATTTAATAGTATTTAAAGTATTCAACATGTAATCAATACTTTAAAAATTAATGAGAAATTTTGCATTCGGTCTTGTTATACTAAGTCATGGAATTCCATGTGTGCTTTACACGTGTCACACTTCAATTCAGATGCTAAACATTCAATCAGAAATTCTTTTTTAAAAACAAATTTATTTATTAATTTTGGCTGCTTTGGGTCTTCCCGTTGCTGCCCACCGGCTTTCCCTAGTGGTGAGCGGGGGCTACTCTTCATTGTGGTGAGCGGGCTTCCCATTGCAATGGCTTCCCTTGTTGTGGAGCATGGGCTCTAGGTGCATGGTCTTCAGTAGTTGTGGCATGCAGCCTCAGTAGTTGTGGCACACGGGCTTAGTTGCTCCGTGGCATGTGGGATCTTCCCGGACCAGGGCTCGAACCCGCGTCCCCTGCATTGGCAGATGGATTCTTAACCACTGCGCCACCAGGGAAGTCCCCCAATCGGATATTCTTGATCTCTGATTAGATTTCATAACATTTGTGTTTGGAAAAGTAGATTCACACACCTGAGTTGTTCTGAGGAACTTTCCCACACTTTCTGATAGGTGGAAACTTTTCATTCAGATTAGATGAAATAAATCAAAAAGTCCCTCTCAGTTGCGCTAGCCGCGCTTCATATCCACAGGGCAGAAGCAGAACGTTTTGGATGCTGTGGAAGTTTCTGTGGACGGTGCTGAGCTCCAGCCTCTAGAGTCTGAAATCTTGGGGTGTCAGAACTCGAGAGAGCTGGAATCTTATTATTTCGGATTCCGGAATCCGTGAATCATAGACCTGGGAATGTTGGAATTCTAAGGCTGGAATGTTGACGTTCCAGAAAGCTTTATTTATTTATTTAAAAAACTATTATTATTATTACTTGGCTGTGCTGGGTCTTTGCTGTGGCATGCGGGTTCTTCTTTGCTGTGGTGCACAGGCTTCTCTCTAGTTATGGCACATGGGCTCCAGAGCACGCAGGCTCAGTTGTGGCGCGTGGGCTTAGTTGCCCCGTGGCATGTGGGATCTTAGTTCCCCGACCAGGGATCGAACCTGCGTCCCCTGCATTGGAAGGCGGATTCTTAACCACGGGACCGCCAGGGAAGTCCCCCAGAAAGTGTTAGAATCCAAACCCTAGCATCTCCCTGTGGGGTTTTACCCCCGACCCTGGGTCCCCCAGGCTCTGTGATGTTGGAGTGAGGGGTCCCTAGGATCACACAGCCAAGAGCAGGACTCCTCACCTGCCGTCCCTACTTGGGGTCCAGGACACAGGGGGCCAGCAGGAAGTGCTGGGACCCTCACAGCACACTCGGTGTCCAGGCTTGGCGTGGCAGCCCATGGGGAGAGCTGGCCCTGCCTCCAGCAGACACCAGAGGCCACCAGCTGTATCATCCCTGACATCCAGATGTTCTCCATGGTGCCCTATGTGCTCAACATCACGGCTGTCCACCCCCGGGGCGTCAGCAGCAGCTTCGTGCCGTTCGTCCCAGAGCACATCAGTGAGTAGGGGTAGCGGTGGGGGTGTGGAGGGTCCCCCTTCTGCTCCTCCCACACACACACACGCCCACCTCCCACCTGTCAGGATGAGATCCTGTCCATCTCTCACGGATCCTGTGGGCTCCATCTTCACAATTCAGCAAGAATCCGCCCACTTCTCCCCTCTCCTGAGCCCCTACTTGGTGCAACCTGCATCACCGCCCACCTAGACCAGTGGCAGCCCCTCCATCCTGGTCCCCTATTGCTGCCCTCACCCCCATCTGTCCTCACAGCAGCCACCAGAGGGCGCCTGTGAGCACTCAAGTCAAGTCCCATCTTGGGCTCCTGCCCTCTTGCCTGCAGTCTGTCCTCCCCGCAGCAGCCAGCAGAGGGTGCCTGTGAGCACTCCAGTCGGGTCCCCCCTTGGGCTCTTGCCCTCCTTCCCACAATCTGTCCTCCCCACAGCAGCCACCAGAGGGCGCCTGTGAGCACCTGAGTCAGGTCCCATTGTTGCCCTGCCTACAGCCCTCCAGGGCTCCCACCATCTGTTTCTGTCCCCTCCCTGCCCTCCCCTCCTCCCTCTCCCCCTCTCACTCACTCTGCTCCAGCCACATGGGCCTCCTCGCTGTTCTTCCAACACACCAGGCACAGTCCTGCTCCAGGACCTTTACATGTGCTGTTCCCCCTGCCCGCAAGGCTCTTCCCCCAGGTCTCCACACTGTTCACTCCCTCACCTCCTTTACCTCTCAACTCAGATGTCATCTCCTCAGTGAGTCCTCCCTAAGCATTTTTTTTAAATTGCAAACCATCATACATTGCTGGCGGTTATTAGAAAACAGACTGGCAGTCCCTCAAAGAGCTAAACATGTTACCATGTAATCCAGCAATTCCAATTCTAGGTATATATCTAAAAGAAAATGGAAAGCACGTTTGCAGAAAAAAACTTGTGCATGAATGTTCATAGCAGCATTATCCATAATAGGCAGAAATTAGAAACGACACAAATACTCATTAACCGATGAATGGATACACAAAACGTGTCCATCCCCACAATGGAATATTATTCAACCATAAAAAGGAGAGAAGCCCTGACACTCGCTACCACATGGATGGACCCTGAGAACACAATGCTCAGTGAGAGAAGCCAGACACAGAAGGACACACAGTGTGTGATTCCGTTGATGGGAAATGTCCAGAACCGGCAAATCCACAGACACAGAGAGTGGGTTTGTGGTTGTCAGGGGCTTGGGAGGGAGGAATGGGGGGCTGACTGCTCACGGGGATGGGGCTTCTTTTGGGGAGATGGAATGTTCCGGATTAAATGGTGGTGATGGTTGCGTGACACTGTGAATATACTAAAACCACTGAACTGTACACTTCCAAAGGGTGAATTCTCTGGTATGTGAGTTATGTCTCCAAAAACATTGCAACTCACTACCCTCCTTGCACTCCTGACCTTTCTTCCCTCCTTTTTATGACCTTCGGATCTGCCTTTGTGTCTTATCTTCTTCCCGGGGGGATTGAGCTCCAAGGTGACAGGACTACTGTGTCCCTAGTATCCAGAACATCCCTGGACACTCAGCAGACCCTCAATTAATATTTATTGGTTGGTTGGTTGAATGAATGTGCCCTCCGCTGACCCTGTCTCCTGCTTGTCCGTCAGTCAAACCGGACCCTCCAGAAGGTGTGCGCCTGAGCCCCCTCCCTGGGCAGCGGCTCTGGGTGCAATGGGAACCCCCCCGGTCCTGGCCCTTCCCAGAGATCTTCTCACTCAAGTACCGGATCCGCTACAAGCGCCACGGAGCTGCCCGCTTCCGCCAGGTGAGGAGGGTGAGGTGACGGGGAGGGCAGTTCCCGGGTAGACGGAAGAGCATGTGCAAAGGTACAGTGGGGTGTGGGTCACAGCTTGGGGTGCTGGTGTGCGACGTGAACGCAGCCCAGCAGTTCCACTCCTGGGCATCTACCCAAAAGAATTGAAAACAGGGCCTCGAACAATTACTTGTACACAAATGTTCACAGCAGCACCACTCACAATGGTCAAAAGGTGGAAATAACACAAGTGCCCATCAACGGATGATGGATAAACACAACGTGGTCCTTCCACACACGGGAACATCACTCAGCCATGAAAAGGAGAGAAGCCCTGACACTCGCTACAACGTGGATGGGCCCTTGAGAACACGATGCTCAGTGAGAGAAGCCAGACACAGGAGGACACACTGTGTGTGATTCTATGGATGGGAAATGTCCAGAACAGGCAAATTCACAGAGACAGAGATTGGATTAGTGGTTGTCAGGGGCTGGGGGAGGGAGAGGGGGTGACTGTTAATGGGGATGGGTCTTCTTTCTGGGGGGATGGAATGTTCTGCAACTAGATAGTGGTGATGGTTGCCCAACACTGTGAATGTACTAAATGCCACTAGATTATTCACCTTGGAATGGTTAATTTTACGTCATGTGAATTTCACCTCAATTGAGAGCACCAATATATTGTTTTACATTCTTAAAAAATAAAGGCAGGTATCAGTCAGTGAGCATATGGGCAGGGCAGTTGTGTCCTGGGCAGCCTTGGATGCTGAGCTGAGGAGCTGAGTCTTTGCAGGGTTTAGGCTTTTGCAATCCTGTCCCTTAGAACCTTCTGCAACAGTAGAAATGTTCCACATCCACACTGTCCAAGACGGTAGCCTCGGGCCGCATGTGGCTGCCAAGCGGTTGCAACCTGGTGAGGAGTCGAGGAATGGGCTTTTAAAGTTGATGTAGTATTCATTAATTTAATTTTGTAAATGCTTGCAATTTTAAAATTGAGACAGAGTTTACATGCCACGAAGCTCTCTGTTTTAAAGTGCACAGGCCAGTAACTTTGGTGTATTCGCAAGATTGTGCAATGATAATTAATCTAAATTTAAAACGTAAAGCGTCACATCCGGCTGCCCTATGGGACAGCTTGTGCAGAGGAAGGAGGGACATAGTCAGACCTGCTATTGGGAAGCTGCTGATGGTGGCTGACATGGGACGTGCCAAGGATGAGGGGGACCCCGATGTTGGAGGGAGAGTGTGGAGTGGCGGGGACAGAGGGGACAGGGCAGAGAACCAGAAAGGTGGAGCTGAGAGGGTGTCTCATGGGTGCCCAGGGATTTTAATCTGTGGAGGTGCCTGAGTGAGGACATGGAAAGGTCAAGGCCATCGAAAGAAGAATTTATTACATTTCCCCAGAAAAGAGGACACATCACGCCACGCAGGGCCATGTGGGCAACTTTGGGACATCAGGAGGCTGAAGTGGGAGCCAGGGGAGAGCCCAGGCCAGAGGTGGATTGGGGTTTCCTCGGGGAAGGCTAGGCGGGGCAGGTGAACAGCTTAGGGTAAGCAAGTTTGAATAATTCCAGTGGGCTCTGGGCTGCAGGGTGGTCTCTAGTTGCTTGGCATCTGGCCCTGGGGTGATTTAGGGCAGGGTGGGGATATGGGCTGGTGTGTGACCAGTACAGAGAGGGGATGGATGGGGGTGTGGACTCGGTGTGGATTGGTTTTTATATGAAAGGCATGCTCCTGGTCGACCAAGAATTGGCTGGCCAGGGAGGGGCAGGCTCTCCCTGCTCAGCAAGATGTTTAAGATGTCCGAAGATGTACAGGGGCCGCAGAGGGCATGCCGATGAGGATTGCCATTGGTGCCTGAGTCTTGGAGCAGCAGCCCGAACATGGGGACGGAAGGCTTGATCACATAGCTTCCTTGTTTCCACTGACCCAGACCGCCTTCTGCTTTCAGGTGGGACCAATTGAAGGCACATCCTTCACCCTCAAGGCTGTGAGGGCCCAAGCCAAGTACTGCATCCAGGTGGCTGCTCTGGACCTCACTGACTATGGGGAATCAAGCGCCTGGAGTCTCCCCGCCGTTGCCTCTGTGACCCTGGGCAAGTAGTGGGGGTTCCCTGCACCCCCGAAGAGGGGCTGTGCCCTTGACATCCACCTAAGTGTGGATGGGACCTGACTGGCCTGGGTTCACTGCTGCCGAGTTGCTGGGCAACCTTGGACAAGTGACTTTGCCTCTCTGAGCCTCAGTTTCTCAGTCTGTGAAATGGGGATGTACTGCCTGCCTCCTTTGACACAGTGCAATGTTTTGTGAACTGTGAATATGAGATTTTTAAAATTGTTTAATTAGAAAAGGATCATTGTCACTAGAATGAGGACTCTTCCTTCTTTTAACAGATCCACATGAGACCCTGTGAGGAGAGGACAGACCAGGACACACACACACAGTGCATCCCCACTGCCACACACGGGGTCAGGGCTGGACCAGAGAAAGAGACGGGGCTGGGGGAGTCAGGGCAGGGGTGGTGGGTGTTCCACCTGGGATGGAATGATGAATCCATTCAGTTCAGTTCAGTTTGGTTCACCTCAAAAGCTGCCCAGATGTGAGCCCCACTGTGGGTGGACACCAATGGGACATGAGTTTGTCTGGGAAGCTCTGAGGAGGGGAAAACACAGCCAGGCTCTGAAGGATTTTCTCAATCCAGGAGCTTCTCGGTGCATTTCACTCAGGTCTCAATTCCAAGGTCACCTCCTCCAAGAAGCCTTCCCTGACCACCTCATCTAGGGCAAGCAGAATAAAGACCCCCCCCCAAAGATATCCATGTCCTAATCCCCAGAACCTGTGAATGTGATACCTTACACAGCACAAGGGACTTTGCAGATGTGATTAATTTAACGATCTTGAGGAGCCTTAAAGATTGAGGATATTTCATTAAGTTAATGAAAATGGGGACTTCCCTGGTGGTGCAGTGGTTAAGACTCCATGCTCCCAATGCAGGGGGCCCAGGTTCGATCCCTGGTCAGAGAACTAGATCCCACATGCCTGCTGCAACTAAGAGTTTGCATGCCACAGGTAAGGAGCCAGCAAGCCACAACTAAGGAGCCCGCCTGCCACAACTAAGACCTGTTGCAACCAAATAAATAAATATATTTTTTAAAGTTAATGAAAATGAAGTAGGTTATATTGTATTATCCAGGTGGCCCCAAGGTAATCACAAGTGACCTTATAAAAGGGAAGCAGGAGGGTCAGAGGGAGACAGAGAAGGTGATGTGACAGTGGTAGCAGAGGTCAGAGTGATCCAGGACCACGAGCCATGGAACTCTGGCAGCCTCTAGAAGTTGGAAAAGACAAGGAAATGGATTCTCTCCTGAAGCCTCCTGAAGGAACCTGCCACCCATTTTAGACTTCTGACCTCCAAAACTCTAATAAATGTGTTGTTTAAAAATATTGAGCTTGTGGTAATTTGTTACAGCAGCCATAGGACACTCATACATCTCAAGTAGCCCCTTCTCATCACTTTCCATATGTCTCCCTGTTTTATTATCTTCAGATCATTTACCAGGACCCGAAAGGGTTTTTGTGTGTGTTTATTGTGACATCAGTCCCACCAGACAGACTGTGATCTCCATGAGGGCAGAAATCTTACGTCTTACTCTCTGATGTGTCCCCAGTGACTGAGCACGTCTTTGACACAGAACAAACATTTGTAAAAGGAAGGGAGGAGGCTAGGGAAGGAACGACCTCTTTAGAGGGACAACTCAGAGGCAAACAACGGGGGGGACATCTGGGAGCGAATGTTTGTAGGGGGAGGTAGGTTTGGAGCCTGGTCTTTGAGTCTCTAACTGTGACTCAAGATAAACTTGGGTGTGGGGGGGCGTCCAGGGTGCTTCCTTGTAGAGCTGTGTGGATCGTAAGAACTGCCCCAGTCCTCAGGTGAGCGCTAGGGACACGGGAACGATGTGTAGGTTCCCGGAGCCCAACACACAAGGTAAGCGCTCAACGCTGAGTTCTACGTTTGCTGAATAAAAGAACAAACCACAGGGAACGTAGCTACCAGCAGCCACGTCGCGTGACGACGAAATTTTAACCAGTCGCTGCTCACCTCTAGAGGGCGCAGCGCCTCCTCCTCGGAACTTCAAATCCACACCGACGCCGGAACCCTTTGCTGCGCCCTTACCGAGGTTGCAACTGGGGAGGGAATACAGACGGACTCGACTGTTGACAGGCGGGGATCTGAACCAATGAAAAGGCAAGCTGTGTACTCAGCAGCCAATAACAGCGGCTGAAGGAAGTGACGGAAGCGGAAATACAAGGATAGATGGTCGGGGAAGTTCGACAAGCACTCAGCCTAATCAGTATTCTCGTGGTCGTGAGAAGAGTAGGAGGTAAAGATGTCGGAGCGAAAAGTTTTAAACGTAAGTATTGGGCAACTAGGGTTTTCGACCTGGGGCGGGACATCTCGGAGCTCGGGCCGAGGAGGGCTACTTATACTCTCCTATTAGGGCCTTTGCTTTCTTCCCCAACGGCCTTCTGCAGGGCGGGGCTCTCTAGAACCCTCCTAATCACCTTCTGCGGGGGGTGGGCCTTCACTAAGCCTTCCTCTCGAGGCTGGGGTGTACCCAGTCACCTGTGGGGGCGGAGCTTAGGCTATTTACCCACTCACTTCTGATAGGATTTTCTGAAAGGAAATATCCAGTCACTCCCGTTGGGGGCGGAGCTTCCTTAGGATATTGGTATTCTCACTTTACATTCTCATCTTCAGGAGGCGTGGCTCTGTTAAGTGTCTCCCCGCTTGGGGTTCTAGCCAATCGTGTTCCTTGGAGGGATTAGGCTTTGCTAAGCTCTTCTGCTCTGCTGGCAGGGACCCTTCCAATTGCCTCAACTTCTCCCAGTTCTGTTGGGGAAAACTGGGACTCTTGGGGTGTGGAGCTGGTCTCTGAAAGGCAGGATTCAGCTTCTGGAGAAGAGCGCTCCGGAATTCTGAGTCCCTGTTCCCCGCCCTTCAGCAGGGTGTGTGCTCCCAGGAAGGGGGTGAGCTCCCCAGCCTGGGAGTGTGTAAGCCTAAGATGTCTGGACGGAGTAGAGAGGAGACCTCTCCAGACTGGTGGCTTGGAGCCCAGGATGATGTCTCTTACAGTGACTCAGTGCTCTAATCTCTTAAACACCTATATTAGGAATTCAGCCCCAGCCAGACCCAGTGCAGTGTGCCGGACTTCGAGTCCGTGAAAGTCCTTCCATCTCGAGGATCCAACTGGCAGCCCAGCTATTTCCATAACTTGCTGGTAGATACTTCTGTGTGCCAGGCACAGCTCTATATGCCTTGTTCATCAGGTCTTCTCAGGGGGACAGGTTATCCCTTCTTCAGATGAGGAAACTGAGGCCCAGAGAGGTTATGTAATAGCCAGAGAATAGAGGAATCAAACCCAGACACCCCTCCCCACCAGCTCTGTAACTGATGCTCCTAATCACTGTACCACAGTTTCCCCAGAGCTGTGTCCCTGGGTCTGAATCCTGGATCTGCTGCTCACACTGTGTGACCCTGAGTAGCTGAAACCACCAGAACTCAGTTTCCTCCTCTGTGAAATGGGTACACCATTCTCTGTCTCATAGAGTCTTTGCAAGAATTCCATGAGGCAGGGGACATAAAGCTCTCTGTGTACTACATGGAGCCTAGTAAGTGCTCAAAATGCAAAGTGCTTTATTTTCTGATTATCGTATGTAGTTCTCTTTCATAATCCAAACTCTCCTTCCCCACATCTCCCATCTCAGGCTTCTGTGCAGAAAGAGTTAATGCAACAGGCTTGAGGCTGCTGCCTTAGAAAGCCTGGCTTGCAATGCTGGACTTTGGCTGGTATCCGGGAACCTGAATTTTGGGATGGTTCCCAATGTTCTCTGAAAAGAATGGCTCCTTGGGGTTAAACTGTTAGTACAAACAGTGTGGTTTATGCTGAGCACCTGCTCCCCTCCGGGAGTCTAAGAGTCTGGAATCGTCATACGTGCCGGGCAGAGGTGCCTACACAGCAGCCCCCAATGAAAACCCTGGGTGCTGGGTCTTCCTGAGCTTCCCTGGGGGACATTTCACACACGTTGTCACAATATATCACTGGGAGAATTGACTCCATCAGGAGAAGTCTCTGGAAGCTTGTGTCCGGTCTCCCTGGGCCCCTCCCCACATGCCTTTTCCCTTGGCTCGTTTTTCTCTGTATCCCTTTGCTGTAATGAATAGTAGCCATGAGGACAAGTGTATGCAAGTCCTAGGAGTCCTCTCACCAAATCCTCAAACGTGAGAGTGGTCTTGGGGACCCAGACACAGCTCCCCAGAGCCCCTTCCCTCTGCCCCCAGACTGCCCCTGCGTCTGAAAGCAGCTCCCCTGACCCTTCCTTCTTCCCCACAGAAATACTACCCACCCGACTTCGACCCTTCAAAAATCCCAAAGCTCAAGCTTCCTAAAGACCGGCAGTATGTGGTGCGGCTGATGGCCCCCTTCAACATGAGGTGAGCGACCCCGCGGGGCCCCTGCACTGGTCGTGGTGGACAGACCCAGTGCCCGGCACCCACAGAGAGCGTCCCGTCCCCAGTGCTCAGACCAGGTCGTCGGTCCTGGCTCAGGCGTGGACCCAGTGAGCGAGTGACCGTGCCAGACCTCACCCTCCTGCCGTTCAGGACTAATCTCCCTGATGTCTCAGAGCTCCCAGCTGGTACCTGTGTCGAGATCTCAGTCACTGGTAGTAAGAGTGAGCACACGAGACAAGGTCCTGTACGTACATTCACTTCCTCCAGCAGTCCTGTCCGTTCCCGCCCCAGGGCCTTTGCACAAGCTGTTGCCGCTGCCTGGAACACTTTTCTTTCTGCTCTCACATGGCTGGCTCTTCTTTTTTTCTTTTTTGGCTGAGTTGGGTCTTCGTTGTGGTACGTGGGCTTCTCATTGTGGTGGCTTCTCTTGCTGAGCACGGGCTCAAGGTGTGCGGGCTTCAGTAGTTGTGGCTCGCGGGCTCTAGAGCGCAGGCTCAGTAGTTGTGGCGCCCGGGCTTAGTTGCTCCATGGCATGTGGGATCTTCCTGGGCCAGGGCTCGAACCCGTGTTCCCGCATTGGCAGGCAGATTCTTAACCACTGCGCCACCAGGGAAGCCCTGGGTGGCTCTTTTTCACCCTTCAAGACTTGGCTTAGATCTTACCCCCTCAGAGAGGCCCTCCGGATCCCCCTCCCAACCCCCTCCATCCTTCCCTCCCCATCACAGTTCCCAGGCCTCGTCCTTTATACCGCTTCGGAATTATTGTACCTCACCACAATTTTTCACATCTTAGCACATCTGAAACGAAGTGGTAATCAAAGCCACCTTTGTTAGTGAAATTCAGCCCGTGTTTACGTATTCTTTTCTCTCTCCCCTTCCTTCATTCGTTTTCCCTCAGCAGTCACTTACTGGGTACCTGCTGTGCACCAGGGCCTTGGCTGGGTGCCAGGGACACTGTGGGCATCAAGACTTGCCCCCCCCCCCCGCCGGGACTTCCCTGGTAGCACAGTGGTTAAGAATCTACCTACCAATGCAGGGGACACAGGTTCGAGCCCTGGTCCGGGAAGATCCCACATGCCACAGAGCAACTAAGCCCATGTGCCACAGCTACTGAGCCCATGTGCCACAACTACTGAAGCCCACGTGCCTAGAGCCCGTGCTCCGCAACAAGAGAAGCCACCGCAGTGAGAAGCCCGAGCACCACAATGAAGAGTAGGCCACACTCGCCGCAGCTAGAGAAAGCCCGCACGCAGCAACGAAGACCCAACGCAGCCAAAAATTTTTAAAATAAATAAATAAATAAATAAGACTTGACCCCCTGGAGCCACCTGGTGGGGAGTAGAGATAATACATAAGGGCTCAGGCGTATTCACAAAAGGCGCATGTAGGACACATAGATGGTCATGAGAGAGAGAGACAGAGACAGAGAGACAGACTGGACGGTGGCCGGGGAGGGAGGGCGCTTCGCTGGGTGGTCAGGCAAACATCAGAAGAAATGCCAGCAGAACTGGGATCTGAGGAATGGAAGGTGTCACGGGCTATGGGAGTTGCAAGGGCGAAGGCCCGGAGGTGGGACCGAGCTGGGGTGTTTGTAGGGACAGCCAGGAGGCCAGGGAGCACAGGATCTGAGCAGGAGGGGCCGCGGGAGGGCAGGGTGCGCGAGCTCTACCTTGCTTCTTGTGGCATCCCTCCTGGTGGAATCCGCACTTTGGAGGTCAGGATGCCCCATGAATTCCAGGCTTGCTTCCAGGAATGGGTGATAGGCGAGTCTCACCTAGTCTGGGTAGTCTGGGTGCTTCCCAAGAAGGCAACACTTCAGCCGAGACCCAGATATTAGTGAGAAGAGTATGCCGTCTAAGGGAATCAGTACACACAGTGGGGCAGTCTTCTTGCGGGGTGGGGAGCTTCCCGTCCCTGGAGGTATGCAAGCAGCCATCTGCCAGAATGCTAAAGCGTCCTACCAGTAAGAATCAGGGTACCGAGATGGCTTGAGTCCCTGTCCTGCCCCACAGGTGTAAGACATGTGGAGAATATATCTACAAGGGCAAGAAGTTCAACGCCCGCAAAGAGACAGTGCAGAATGAGTCCTACCTGGGCCTGCCCATCTTCCGCTTCTACATCAAGTGCACGCGCTGCCTGGCAGAGATCACCTTCAAGGTAGGCGGTCAGCCAGGCTGGTCCTTCCTCCCCTGGGGGTCAGTGCTCCTGTCCTCTCCCTCCAGGGAAATCCCATTTCACCTTCTCCACAGGAGACAGCAAAGGTTTGGGGAATAGTTCACAGCAGTGTTGTTTATAAAGGCAAAAAACCAGAAGCAACCTAAATGTATGGTGATGGGATTCAAGGGACAAACTACTGTACAGTGGAATCTTGCACAGCCAGTAGCAGCCACGTTTTTACTTTGTTACTCTAAGGGTGGTATTAGAGATTTGAGGAAAGGATGAAGAGAACATATAGTTTTCTCTTCACATACTTTTGTACTGTTTGAGCATTTTTTTTGCTAGGGACTTTTTTCCTTTGGTTAAAAAACAAGATTTGGTTAAAATAAGTACATTAAAAAATGATATATTTTAATTACTTTTTTAACAACAGCTTTCTGAGATACGATTTGTATGCCATGCAGTTCTCCCTTTTAATTTTAATTTTAAATTGTATAATTCAGTGGTTTATACTCCTAACGTACCAAGCTGTCTTCTCTAATTCCAGGATGTTCTCTTCACCCCAAAGTTAAGCCCCAACCCTGTCAGCAGTCACTCCCCATCCCTCTCCCCAGCCCCTGTCAACCACGAATCCACTTCCTGTGTCTGTGGATTGCCTGTTACGGACATTTCTTTATCAGTGGAATCACTCTGTAGCCTTTTGTGTCTGGCATCTCTCACTGAGCATCACGTTTTCAGAGTCCATCAGTGTTGTAGCATGTATCAGTGCTTTACTCCTTTTCAGAGCTGAATAATATTCCACTGTATGGATGGGCCACATTTTCTTTATCCATTTGCCAGCTGATGGGCATATGGGTTGTCTCCAGAAAATGGTTTTTTTTACCTGAATTATGAAGGATGTATATATTTAGATATTAATGAATACGTATGAATTTTTTTTAAGATTAGAGAAACTATGGCAAAATGTTATAAATCGGCCTTTATAGTGAAGAATTTCAAATAACTAGGATTGCATATATGTGTGTATGTATATATATGTGTGTGTGTGTGTGTGTGTGTATGTGTGTGTGTGTATGTGAGCATATGGTAAAAACAGAACCCCCACAGTAGTGCAGGATTAACACTGGAAAATTTGTTTACTGCTCCCCTCTGCCCAGCCAGCCCCCATGCATAGAGACATTTATAACAGTTTCTTGTATGGCTTTCAAAAAATGTGCTCTGCATACACATGCACACACAGGGATCACTCTCTTCCTTGCTCTTTCTTTTTAAATAGTAAGCTTCTTATTTTGGAATACTTTTAGATTTACAGAGAAGTTGCAAATATAGCACAGAGAGTTCCCATCTGCCTCTCACCAGCTTCCCCTCCTGTTAACGTCTTCCATTTCCACAGTGCATCCGCCACAGTAAGAAACCAACACTGGATCATTACTGTTAGCCAAATTCCAGACATGATATGGATTTCAATCTTTCTACTAATATCACCTTTCTGTTCCAGGGTCTCATCCAGGATACCATGTTATATTTTTGCTTCTCCGTTTTATAAACGCAAATAGGAGCATGCTCTGTACATACTTGATATGTAATTCATAATTAAGGGGAGAAGGTCAAGTGTGTGCACACACGCATGCACACACACAGACACACACACACCAGAAAAGATATGTGCAGAGGTCCAGAGACTTCTATTTGCAAACATGTGGAAGGTGAAGGGCAGGAGGGAGGGAGTGGGCAGGTGGAGAAGGGTCTGCAGGTCTATGCTCGGGAGTTCAGTGATTCTGCAAAAGGGGACAGGAGCACTAGAAAGAAAGAACTGTACTCGCCAAAGCCATAAGGCAAGAAAAAGAAAGATTTGGTATTAAGAGGAGTGAAACACAGAGAGAAGGTGTCCCAGGCTGCTGGCTGCTGTTCAGCAGAAGCTCTTGATGCTCAGAGATGTAGGAGCTGATGTCTGCCCATCCTCCCTCCCAGACAGACCCCGAAAACACAGACTACACCATGGAGCATGGAGCCACGCGGAACTTCCAGGCTGAGAAGCTCCTGGAGGAGGAGGAGAAGAGGGTGCAGAAGGAGCGGGAGGACGAGGAGCTGAACAACCCCATGAAGGTGAGTGCGCGCAGGTGCGTGCGTGCGTGTGTGTGTGTCAACTCTAAGATGTTCCCAGAGCCCTGACTCCTGGTCACACACCTCATCCAGTCCCAAGACTGTGCATACAAGGATCCTATTCCTATGACTGAGTTATGTTAGGTTAAACTATGGCACAGTCGCCCTTGTAAGAGGGAGATTATCCAGATGGTCCCCTTAATACCTGTCTAGGGTCAGAGACAGAGGACGTCAGAGACATGAAGGACTGACACTGTGGAAGTGGCCACGTGGCAGGGAACAGCAGGCAGCCCCTAGGAGCTGAGAACAGCCCCTAGTCAACAGCCAGTAAGAAGGCAGGGACCTCAGTCCCACAACCACAAGGAACTGAATTCTCCAGCAGCCTGAGTGAGCTCAGAAGAGGGCCCTGGGCCCTTGATCTCAGCCTAGCAAGACTGCCAGGGAACCCAGCTGTGTCGGCCCAGACTCCCAACCCACAGAAACCAGGAGACAATGAATTCGTGTTGTTTTAAGCCACTGGGCTGGTGGCAAATTGTGGCACAGCAAGAGAAAACTAACAGGGAGTCAGGAAGTTGGACTTCGGAACGCCAGGTGCTTCCTGCAGCCAGCTGCCCCGCAGTTTTCTAAGGAGGTTCCCATTAGGCGAGTTTGGATTAAGACTAGAAATAGAGAAGGAAACGTTCTCTTGACCATATCCTGGCTGTGTGACCTTGGCCAAGGCACTTGGCCTCTCTGTGTCTCAGCATCCTCATCTGTAAAATGAGATGAGAATTGTGTCCCCCTCGTACACTTGTGGTGAGGGTTAAATGAGTTCATACACATAAAACTCTTAGAACACAGCTTGGCACATAGTAATTCATAAATATTGATACTCCTTTTGTTATCCCTTAAAGAAGTTATTTTCATCTTTAACTGGACAGTTTTTTTTCGTCTTTCTCATAAATAGTAGGAAGTCCATGTTCTCCTCTGTCTCCTCCCACCCCCATAATTCCCATCTCTTCCTGGACCCTCACGCCTCTGCCAGCTGTGTTTTCTGGTCAAGCCACGTCAGATCTGATCCGATGTTTTCAGCAGCCGTGCGGAGCAGCAGGGAGGGAAATAGGCCTTCGAGGCAGTCTGCTGTATTCCTGGAGCTCCCTCAGTGCTGTCCATGTGCTGCTCTAGTTACTGCTACACTGGCCAGCACGGGGTTATTACCCTGGTACTGGTTAGCTGTCCTTGTGTAACAAATCGACTCAAAACTTTGCAACTTCCAGCATTTATTATCCCACAGTTTCTGAGGGTCAGGAATCCAGGAGCAGCTTTGCTAGATGGCTCTGTGGGTCCCTCCCAAGATCACAGTCAAGCTGTCTGCCGGGGCTGCCTCATCTGATGGCTCAGCTGGGGCTGGAGGAGCCACTTCCAGGGTGGCCCCCTCACGTGGCCATTCCCTGGAGGCCTCATGTCCTGTCCACATGGGCCTCTCCACAGCGCTGCTTGAGCCTCCTCACAACATGGGGGCTTCTCCCCCTCCCCCAGCGAGAGTCCCAGAGAGAACAAGGAGGAGCCCCGGGCCTTTCATGACCTGTCTCGGAAGGGACACACCGTCATTGGTCCTGTTGTGTTCATCAGAAGCGAGTTACTACAACAGCCCACCCTCACAGGGAGGGGAGTTAGGCTCCACCTCTGGAAGGGAGGAGCGTGAAAGAATTTGTGGACGTATTTTCAAACCACCACAACTGCCATTTCCCAGAGGGTTAGTTCAACAGGGTCACATAGCCAGGAAGCAGCCAAGGCAGGATTCATTCCCAGCCCCGCCTGGCTCCAAAGCCACCTCTCTGAGACCTGGCGGGGCCGACCTCACCTCTCTGAGCCTCAGTTCCTTTGTCTGTAAAGTGGGAGTTATTGTGAAGATTAAACGAGATTATGTCTGGAAACATCTTAGCCTGGAGCCTGGCACACACCAGTTGCTCAGATCATCTTTTTTTTAAATCTTTATTACTTTTGCTTAGTGACGGAGCCAGGCTGGAAGTCCAGGCCACCTGGCTCCACCGTTGACCAGCCGCGTGGTCTTGGGCAGTCACTTCCCCTCCCTGAGCCTCAGTGTTCCGAGCCGTGAAATGGGTACAGCTGTGGGACCGGGTGCTGTGGATCGAGGCCCCAGGGTGGGCGGGTCTCCCCTTGCCCATGGTGACCCCAGAGGCCACGCAGGCCGCGTGGAGGGGTGGAATCCCAGCTCACACAGCCCTGCGTCTGCACACCTGCCAGGTGCTGGAGAACAGAACCAAGGACTCCAAGCTGGAGATGGAGGTTCTGGAGAACCTGCAGGAGCTCAAGGACCTGAACCAGCGGCAGGCGCACGTGGACTTCGAGGCCATGCTGCGGCAGCACCGCCTGTCGGAGGAGGAGCAGCGGAAGCACGAGCAGGCGGAGGATGAGCGGGAGGCGGCGTGAGTCCCGGGGCGCCTGCCCCCCTGCAGCCTCTACAGGGTCCTTCCCTCTGCCTGGAATGCCCCCTTCCAGACCTTTCCACAGCTCCCTCGTGCGTCACTATCTCAGGGAGGCCTTCCCTGCATCTCCCTCCCCATCTCACTTTGTGTCTCATGGCGTCTGTGTCGGGGCCCCCAGGATCACCCCCAGGTTTGATGAGTTAATTACAGTGAAAAGTTACAGGGAAAAATCAGCAGAAGGAAAAGGCAGGTGGGGCAGAGTTGGAGGACTGGGCGCAGACTTTCAGAGGCCTCTCCCGGTGGAGTCCCACAGGACAGGCTTAATCCCCCCAGATGAGACATGACAGCAGAGGGAGGGGCGCTCCCTGGGGAGGCCCACGAGACCCAGCCCGGGGTTCTCACTGGGGGCTGGTCACGCAGGCACCTTGGCCCGGCACGGCCAAGACCCCAAACCCAGGAGGAGAGCAGATGCCCGTGCAGACCCCGTGTCTGCACAGTGTCGGGACAAGGAGCCCCCCATCAGTGAGGGTGACAGGAGCCCCCAAGTCCAGATCCAGATGCCCCCCCAAGGGCTGGCCTGGTGAGCCAACCTTTCTGAGGATCTGGCCTGAGGCCTGCTGTGTTCATGCTTCTGCCTGGCACCTCCCACTCTCTGGAACCTTCTTGCTGATTTGCCCCTTTCCTGATTTATTATCTATCTCCCCTCATCTAAAGTCTGAACAGGGACTTGCTCTGACCTCTGCATCCATGGCCTGGAACACGGTCAGGCACATACCAGCTGCTGTTGGGTTGGCATAAATAACAGTGAGAGGAGTCTGCATTTAGCGAGCCCCTTCTTGGTGCCAGGCACTGTTCTGAGTTTGGCTCTGTCGTTATGGTGGTCAAGAGAACTGAGGTTCAAGGAGCTCCCAGCACAGCCCTGACTGAGGCCCCCCAGCTGGGGTTCAAACCCAGAATGGTTCTGGCTTCCAGGCACTTAACTACCCCACTGGGCTCAGTGGACAAAGAACTTTTTTTTTTTTTTTAAATTATTTAATTTATTTATTTTTGGCTGTATTGGGTCGGGTCTTCGTTGCTGCGTGCAGGCTTTCTCTAGTTGCGGTGAGCAGGGGCTACTCTTTGTTGCAGTGCCTGGGCTTCTCATTGCAGTGGCTTCTCTTGTGGAGCATGGGCTCTAGGCACACAGGCTTCAGTAGTTGCAGCACACGGGCTCAGCAGTTGTGTCTCGTGAGCTCTAGAGCGCAGGCTCAGTAGTTGTGGTGCATGGGCTTAGTTGCTCCGTAGCATGTGGGATCTTCCTGGGCCAGGGCTCAAACCCACGTCCCCTGCATTGGCAGGCGGACTCCCAACTGCTGCGCCACCAGGGAAGCCCCTGGACAAAGAATTTTATTTTAAAGTTATTTGTGCATCCGCATCCCCCACTCAGTGAGATCAGGACGGGGCAGCCAGGCAGCGCACCTCAGTGTGTGTGTGTGGAGGGGTCCTGGCCATTGTCCCACAACAGAGCACTTTCCCAAGTGCCACTTTCCTTCCCGCAGGGCCTTAGTGGAAGAATCTAGGAAACGAAGACTCCTGGAAGACTCCGATTCAGAGGAGGATGCTGCCCCCACCCAGCCCCAGCAGGCCCTCCTGCCCAACCCCACCGCCATCCTGGACGAGGTGAGTGCGGCCTGTCTGCATCTCCACATGCTCTCAGGTGAAGCAGGGACAGAGTAAGCCAGAGGTTGGCTTAACTTTGTCTTGAAAGGCCAGTCTGGGTCGTAAGTGGTCAACTCCACATCATAGCACTAAACATAGCACTAAACTTGCTACGTAGATAGTACATGAATAAGTGGGCGTGGCCGGGTGCCAATAAAACTTTATTTACAAAAACAGGTGACAGGCCTCCGGGACTGTAGTTTTCCACCCCTGCTTCAGCTGCAGAAACAGGGAGACTCCCCACACTTAGAGACATCAGGCAGACGTTTATTTCTCAGTCACTTCACAGTCCTGGGCTGGACTCATAGGCAGCCCTGCTCCATGCAGTCACTCAGGGATCCAGGCTCCTCCCATCTCCTGGTTCTGCCCCATCCTAGAACATGGATGCCAACTCCGCGGTCACAGCTGGCTCAGAGCACCCTGGGGTTCCAGCTGCAGGAAGGCAGAGCATGTGTGGAGGACCACCAGCCAGCGCCTGGAGGCCCAGGTTCAGATGCAGCCCACCTCCATTCCCCCCGAGTCCCAGTGGCCGGGCATAGTCACATGGCCTCATCCTGCCTTTGCAAGGGAGGCTGGGAGCTGCCTCCTCTAGCTGCCCTTGCTGGCAGAAAGAAAGAAGAGCGTTTGGGGAGGGAGCTAGCCTTTTCCGCCACAGATGTCTTATCCAAGGTGGTCAAGTCCACTCTGGTTTGTTAATTGAAGGAGGGGGTTAAAGTGGGAAATCATAAATAGCACAGACACCCCCAGAAACTTATTATTTTAATTCAAAACATGTTCCTGGTCTGTATTAGTTAAATACAAGTCCAGCCACTGGACAGGACCCAAGTGACAGCCACTTCAACTACATGGAAGTTACTTTTCTCTCGAATAACAGTTGTGCGGGGCTGTGCAGAACAGAGAAGGTGGACCCTGGTGTCCGGGTCCTCATTGTCCTGCCGTCCCAAGGATGATGCCCTCATTGCAAGGCAGCTCAGTGCCACGTCTGCATCCCAGCCAGTGGAAAGAGGTGGGGACAAGGGAGGAGGACATTGAGGGTAACTATACCCTTGATTGAGTACATCCTTCTGCTCACACCCCATTGGTCAGAACTGAACCACCTGACCACATCCTGCTGCAAAGGAGGCTGGGAAATGTAGTCTTTCACTGAGGCAGCCATGTTCCAGCTGAGAATTCTGTAAGTGTCTGAAGAGAGCGGGTTTGGGGGTCGCGTACTCTCACTCTCACCCATTAACCTTTTGACATAGAACCAAGGTGTTTTCCTTGAGGCTGTATCCCTGATCAGAGTTCTCACGCTGTCTCTCTTGCATAAACCAGCCTCAGAATTCATGGTCTAAAGTTTCCTCTTCTTTTTTTCTTTCAAGTGGAACAAGAGATTGAAGGTACTTTCAAAGCAGTCTGGCCTTGTATGATTTCCCCCCAGTCTTTTTTTTTTTTTTTTTTTTTTAATAAATTTAGTTAGTTAGTTAGTTAGTTTTGGCTGCGTTGGGTCTTCGCTGCTGCTGTGCTGGCTTTCTCTAGTACCAGCGAGCAGGGGCTACTCTTTGTTGTGGTGCCCAGGCTTCTCATTGCGGTGGCTTCTCTTGTTGCAGAGCATGGGCTCTAGGCGTGTGGGCTTCAGTAGTTGCAGCACGCAGGCTCAGTAGTTGTGGTTCGCAGCCTCCGTAGTTGCAGCGCATGGGCTCAGTAGTTGTGGCTCGTGGACTCTAGAGCACAGGCTCAGTAGTTGTGGCGCACGGGCTTAGCTGTTCTGAGGCATGTGGGATCTTCCTGGACCAGGGCTCGAACCCATGTCCCCTGCATTGGCAGGCGGATTCTTAACCACTGCGCCACCAGGGAAGCCCACCTGCCAGTCTCTTACAGTTACCTTGCTCGTAGCTAATTTGATGGTGGACTTCTTGTATTTTGCTTTATACAGACTTCACTATAACTCTTACGGAAGCATCTCTCTTTCACCCCTCTGTTCCCTGGGTTTAGTTTAATGGGGACATGGAATGGCGTTTGATGAAAGGTGAAGGGTAGCAGCTAGCTCCGCCAGTCAGTTCAGTGGTGCCAGATGAGCAAGCTTCGGCTGGGACTGCCGGTCTCTCCCTGTGCCCCCAGCGGACGGCCTCTGTCTCGGTTACCACACACAGGGGATGCAGTGAGGCCGCTGTGTCCTCCTCCTGCCCCCACTCCCCGCCCCAACTGTGCCAGCCCCCTCGGATGGGCCAGGCTCAGTCCTGCCTCCCATCTCTGCTTGCTGACCTCAGCACTGCGTTCTGACCTCGGCTCTGCTGGCCCCCGATCAGCAGTAGCTGTCCCCCCGACGCTGTCACACCACCCTAACTTCTTTCTTTCACATCACTGATCAAGACAATGGTGTCTGGGGACTTCCCTGGCAGTCCAGTGGTTAAGACTTCCTATTCCCAATGCAGGGGGCACAGGTTTGATCCCTGGTCGGGGAACTGAGATCCCTCATGCCATGCAGCCAAAAAAAGAAAAAGACGAAGGTGTCCTGAGCATCTACTCGCTCATCCACCCTCTTCCTCCCCAGATGGTGAGCTCTGTGCGGGCAGCCCCCTGCCATCATGCTCCCCCTGCACCCTCAGCTCCCAGCTCCGACAGGGCCTTCTGCATCTAGTGGTTTCCAGTTCCTCTATTTAAACATCAAACAGATAAAAGGGGTCTCTTCTGGTGCGACTGAAGAGCTGGAGGTGGGGCTGAGCCCCTCTCTGCCTCCCGCTAACTGGTCCCCAAAGTGGGTGCCCCCATCTTCTGTCATTCCCTCAAACATGTTGATTGAGCACCTACTACAGACCCAGCAGTGAACAAGGCAGGACCCCGCAGCTTGGTTGCGGAGGCAGTTAATAAGGCAGTGGAGGCCACTGCGGGCACAGACATGCAGCACGCACTTGAGCTTGAAATGTGAGGAAAGGCTTCCCAGGGGAGCAGATACTTGAGATGGGTATTGGAGGATGAGTAGGAGTTCACCAAGTGAACTAGAAGCAGAAGGGGCATTCCAGGTGGAGGGAATGGCATGGGTAAAGGCGTGGAGGTGAGCGGTCACAATGTGATTTAGGAAGTGTAAGCGCAGGGTGTGGGGGGCACAGAGGAGTTTCGAGCAGGAGAGAGTTGGTCAGCACAGCAGGGGGAGTGGGAATGGTAAAGATCCTGGCTCAGCTGGGGACTAGGAACTGGGCTGCCAGAGAAGGAGCAGGATCTGGGACAGACCCCCCAGTCACACCTGCTCCCTGCTACCCCCGCCACAAACTGTAGGCCCCAAAAGCCAAGAGGAAGGCAGAGAGCTGGGAGCGCAGTGTGGGCACCTTTGGCAGCAGTCCCCAGCTGTCTGGCCTGGTTGTGGTGAAGAAAACAGACCTGGGCCGCAGCATCCAGCGAGGAGGAGTCCTGCCCGCCCCAGGTAGGTTCCTGCAGTCCCTTAGCTTCATGCAGTGCCAAGGGTGGCCACCAGGTGGCAACAGCACCCCCGGTGCTGTTCCGGTGCGGGGTGAGGTGTGCCCCCAACCAGGGGTAAGGGGAGAAGGGCTACAGTTCCCTTTTTTTCTTGTAATTACAAAAGGAGCAAGTGCTTGCTTTTAAAACCCAAGTCAGATAGAGGCGTGTAGGACAAATTGTCCGCACCTCAGTGGTTGTGCCGCTGATGCTCTGTGTGTGTGGCTCCTCGGACCCTCGGGAGATGGAGAATTAGGGTGAGGTCGGCCCGATGAGGTGGAAAGAGCAGGCTTCCAGGGCAGGGATCCTGGGTGCAGATCCCTCTGCTTCCACGTGCTTGTTCTGTGGCCTTGGTCGAGGGCCCTCAACCCTGGTCCTCAGCTTCCTGTCCTGGAAGCTGCTCGTGACAACAGGACCAACCTCGTAGGGCCTCGTAGGGTTTGGGGGCTGATTCCATGAGCTGCTCCATGTCGGGCGCCTGCAGTAGATCCTGGCACCCAGCGAGCCTTGCGGATACACGAGCCATTGTTATCAGAACAGTTATTACCCCATTTATCAGATGAGGAGACTGAGGCCCAGAGACGTGAAGCTGTTTGCCCAAAGCCACACAGCCAGGGTGGGTGGTGGAGCCAGGGTCTGCCCCTCTTTGTCACTTGGGACTTGGAGTGTTTCCGTTTTCTGTGTTGCACCCCTGGCATGGGCACCTCTGCCCACCTAGATCAGCTTTCAGAAGCAGAGCTGCTGGGTCAAGGGGTGTGCGGTTTAAACCGTGATGGGTCTGCCAGGCACTTTCCACAAAGGCTGCAAACAAGCAGGAATGGCCGAGCCCACCTGGAACTGTCCCGAGGTGGGCTGCCGGGACGAGGAGGCACAGTGGGCTAGCTCTCGCCTCTCCCCCAGATGCAATGAAGAACGGCCAGGTGGCTGGCCCTGCGCCCCAGACGTCTGGCACCTCCTCCCTGAGCCAGCTGGGTGTGTATTCTGACAGCGAGGACAGCAGTGGCAGCAACTGAGCCCTGCCCCCAGGCCCTTCCCCAGGTCAAGATCACACAGCCAGCTCCAGCCCATGGTCGGGGCAGGAGGCCCTGGGACCAACCGGAGTCACCACTGGACAAGCACAAATGACCTCCAAGGCTGGCGGGGTCAGCAATGGCTTCAGCTGAGGGACTCAGTTTCTCTCCCGTTCCCCCACCTTCCCCCCTCTGGAGCTCGGGGTCCCCAGCTCACATGGCGACATCCCCGGAGCAGCTTCTGGCAGGCCTTCGAGGTTGTCGCAGCTGACATCCCGAGATGCTCTGGGCACGTGGGTGAGCCCACCCACCAGTGGTTGGCTCCATCCCCGCCACAGAACCATCTGGAACCCATGAAAGGAACCTGCTGATCTGGCCTGGGGGTACCTTCTCTCTGCCAGCATCTGAGGAGGGGGCTGCAGAAGCACGCAACCTAGCCAGTCCTGGACTCTTGACTCAGAAACTGTGAGATAATAAATGTTCCTTGTTTCATACACTCGGGGGATAATTTGTGAAGCAGCAGTGGAAAGCTGATATGGTCATGTAACCAGCAAGTCTGATTCCAATGCTCATGTTCTTTCAAGGTTGCCAGATTCCAGCTTGTGTGATCTCCTCCTGCTGCAGTATTTTCTAGTTGAAGGTCCTGTGCCCCCGCCAGACTGCTTCACAACTTGATCAGCCCCCATCTCTGGTCTCCCACCCCTCCCGGGGTCACAGCCGTTAGCCCTCCTCTCACACACAGACACACACACACAGAGATTGTCATCTGGCATTTGATAATGAGGCTTTGTGTTTTTCACTGTCAGAGTTTAGGGGATGAAATGCCACCACTTTGGGGATTCGCTTTCCTACGGTGATTTCCTTGCTTAGGGACAGCACAACGAGGTGAACTGGGGTCCAGCCAGGGCTTCTGATGAGGGCTTGGGGGTCTTGTACTACAGCTCCATGGCTGCGAAGACAGGACCTGGGTGGGTCTGATTCCAAAGCCCTGACAGGGACTCCCCTGGCGGTCTGGTGGTTAAGACTCCACGCTTCCACCGCAAGGGGCGCGGGATTGATCCTTGGTCGGGAAACTAAGATCCCACGTGCCTCTCGGCGTGACCAAAAAAAAAAAAAAGCCCTGACGGTGGGGACTGAAGCCGGCCCACACTGGCAGCTAGTGAGAACTGATGCCTCGTGCATCTCTTCCCAGTTTTGCACCCAGCAGCATCATATTTATGGCTTAAAATTGGCCACCACGGAGTGTTTACACCATGGAAATCGGCAGATGCTGCAAACCAGTTCCCCACGCCAGAGCCAGTTGTGAAGCCCGTACCAGCACACCACTGCCTGTTTTTCCCCCAACTCAGCATCCTGCAGACAGTGCCCTGGACATGGGCCATTCAGAGACTCTGGGTTAAAATGTCATCCAGGGAATTCCCCAGCGGTCCAGTGGTTAGGACTCGGCGCTATCACTGCTGAGGGCCTGTGTTCAATCCCTGGTGGGGGGACTAAGATCCCGAAAGCTGCTCGGCACAGCCTAAAAATAAAAAATAAAAAGTAAAGAAGTCACCCAGCTTAAGTAGTTGTGAAAAGAAATTGGGGGGCTGGGGCCTCTCTGCTTCATTTCAATTCATTCTTTCAGACGGTTTCCTGAACTGCCATTGCTCTTAATCCACCACAATTTTTGCCACGTACGTGCACCATCCGTTGCTATTATTTACTTATCATTATTGTTAACCTGACTCCGTTCTAAAACATGGGTTACCAAACTCTGATCCACAGGCCAAAGGTGGCCTGTGGCCTGTTTTTGTAGATAAAGTTTTATTGGCACACCTACACACCCATTTGTGTGCATATCACCCATGGCTGCCTTTGCTCTCCAGTGGCAGAGGTGAGTGATTAAAACAGCAATTCTGTGATCTGCAAAGCCAAAATATTTACTCATATATCAAAATAAGACGTAAACAAATGATACTAGGGGTGGCGCTAATGTTGCAATTAAAGCAGGGTAGGGTAGTTCTGATGGGAGTACCTTAGGAGGTGTGCGTACTGCTTGTGGCTCTCTGTATTAGTTACCTAGTGCTGTGTAACAAGTGATCCCCAAATCTAGCAGCTTAAAACAACAGGAATCTGGATGTGGCTTCACTGGGTTCTCGGCTTCAGGGTCTGTTACAGCTGCGGTTGAGATGTTGGCTGCGGCTGGGGTCTCACTGGAAGGCCCGACAGGGGTAGGATCTGCGTCAAGCTCACCCACGTGGTTGTTGGCAGAATTCACTTACTCATGGACCCTTAGCCAGAGGCCACACTCAGTTCCTTGCCTGCATGGACTGGCTTCATGAGAGTCTGCTAGAAGTGACGGCCCATCACTGTTGCAGTGTTCCGCGGTTAGAAGCAAGCCACAGATTCCTCCCACGTTCCAGGGGAGGGGCTTACCTTGGTGTGACAACCAGGAGGTTGGGGTCATAGGAGCCACCTGCGGGTCTACCTGCAGACCCCCCTGCACAGTGAGCTTTGCAAGGGTCCGTGTGTTGATGAGTGTGTCCCCAGCACCTAAGACCAGCTAGGCACTTAGTAGGTGCTCAATTAATGTATGTAGCCTGAGTGGGTATCTCCCCATTCACGGATGAGGAAATTGAGGCCCAGGGAGCCGCACGCTTCTGCCCACTCTCTGCCACCCTCCCCTTTCCTCCACACTATACTGGAATTGTTTCTTAAATTCTTATTTTCCCCGCAGGCTTTTACGCTTTGCTCTCCCACCCGTGTCTTGGGAACAGTTTGTCTCCTGGTCCCCAATTTTCTTGCAGGGGTTCCCAGGGCCGAGCAGGCAGAGGGACAGCGCAGCAACACTTTGGGCAGGGGGTCTGTTGTGTGTGCTGACCCTCCAGGGCCTCAGCCTGCATGCCCCCTCACTCCCTGCCCTGAGCCCACCACCCCGAGATCCACACCCCCTTTTTGCTCTCTGGAGCCTGCCCTTCCCTGCTCGCTGCCAACAGTCCCCGTCCCCCACGAGTTCCATGTCTGTCATCTGGTCCTTGGGAGCTGTCAGGCCTCATCCAGAATCTCCTCCATCAACTCCCCTGGGGGCTGCCTGGCTGCCGGAGCACATCAGAGGGACTGGGGGGGATAGTCTCCCCTATGCTGGAACCCCCTCCCTCCTGAGCCTGGGCTTCACAAAGGAGACAAGGGGCCGCTCCTGCTTCCCAAGCTCTCGCTGAGGGCCAAGCGCTGCCCCAAGCTCCCTCCATGCCAGGGCTCTGCCACCCATGCCCTCGGGCACATGCTCCCTTACCCACCGCCCCATTTTACAGATGGCAGGAGGCTCCTTGGCCAAGGGCTCAGAGTGGGTGAGGGGCTGGACCTGGCTTTGAAACTGTGAGGCTCCAAGGCTACACCTTCGATCACCACGCCCTATAGACTGGGAGCTTCCAGGGAATGGTCTGTGCTTCCCCCATCAGGTTGGGGCCCTGGAAGGCCAGTGTTAGACTGGGAGCCCTTGAAAGCAAGCACATATTTCCTGTGTCAGACTGGGTACTTCGAAGGTCAGTCTTATGCCTCCTCCATCAGACTGGAAGCTCCTAAGTTCAGAGCCGTGCCTCTCCCTTCAGACTGGGAGCCTATTAACGCTTGCACACATCTCCTCCGTCAGACTGGGGGCTTCTGAGGGCAGGACCATGTCTCTCCCATCAGACTGTGAGCTGAAGGCAGGGCTGTGTCCAGGAGCTTCTGAGAGCAGAGGTCGTCTCTCCTATCAGACTAGGAGCTCCTAAATCAGGGCCATGTCTCCTCCATCAGATCAGGAGGTTATAGGTCCCACCATGGGTCATCCCCACTTGGTCCCCTCCTGTCCTGGTGCCTTGGCTCCCATCCCCCCTGCAGACATGGGGATCCGTGAGATGAGAGCAGGCGCAGCCCCCAGCAAGGGACCCCCTCTGGCTTCTTTCTGAGGTCCCATCCACCCTAAGCATATATTGAGCACTTACTGTATGCCATACAAGAAAATACTATTCAGGGGCTTCCCTGGTGGTGCAGTGGTTAAGAATCCGCCTGCCAATGCAGGGGACACGGGTTTGAGCCCTGGTCCGGGAAGATCCCACATGCCGCGGAGTAACTAAGCCCGTGCGCCACAAGTACTGAGCCTGCGCACTAGAACCTGTGAGCCACAACTACTGAGCCCACGTGCCACAACTACTGAAGCCCATGCGCCTAGAGCCTGTGCTGCACAACAAGAGGAGCCACCGCAATGAGAAGCCCGCGCACCACAACGAAGAGTAGCCCCCGCCTGCCGCAACTAGAGAAAGCCCGTGCGCAGCAACGAAGACACAATGCAGCCAAAAATAAATAAGTAAAAAATAAATACATTTATTTAAAAAAAAATTTTTTTAAGGCACCCAAAACAGTGCCAGGCAGTAAGCGCTCAACAAAGGTTAGCTGTTCCATTTCATAGATGGGAAAACAGGCCAGGTCACTTACTCAAGTTCAGGTGGGCTGGGATTCCAGAAACCCAGCGCTACCCGGGAGGAGACCTTGATGGAGGAGACCCTGATAGACCGTCTTTCAGACCCTGAATGCTGGGGAAAAAGAGGCCCCATCAGCCCAGGACCTCCAGACCACTCACCTCCTTGCCTTTGTCCATGCAGTGCCTGCCTCCTGGCTTTGCTCTCTTGCTCCCTCCTCCCCCAATCAGAAAGGCAAAACCCAAGGGGTTACTGGCTATTCAAGGTCATACCACTGCAGGGCCGCCAGACCTCCAGCCTGGCTCTAACCCTCGTCCACCATCTCCCGCCGCGCCTCAAGCCCCCTCCCTGCTCCTGCAGTGGGAGTGGGGGCAGCCCCAGGAGAACCCAGCTCAAAAGCGCAGGAAAGTCAAACGCCGTTTGATTCTGCCTCCAGGGCCTCTAATTGCTATTCCTGACACAGACCGGAATTAGAAGGCCCCTTTCAAATATTTATACCTTAGACATCGCGTATTTATCTGACAGGGAGAGGACTCGGATTTGATGAGATCTGTCAACAGCTCATCCCCGAGCCGGGTATTGCCTTGCGGCTGACAAAAAAACAGGACAATTACTTGCCGTGCTCCCTGGGCAGTCCCCAGGGATGCTGCCTTATCGCTGATCAGAGAGGACGGGGTGGGGTGGGGTCTGTGTGAGTGCTCTTCGGGGGTGGAGGACCGAGTTCAACAGGTTCGTGTGGAGGCCAACTCAGCCAAAGCAGGAAAGAGGAGGGGAGGACATACGGACACCCCTGCTGCCGTGAGGGGCCTTGCCTCATCGGCTCTGGACCTCAGTTTTCCCATCTGGAAAATGGGGCTAACAGTGGAGGGGAGATGGAGAACCTCTGATTCCACGAAGAGACCTGATGGGGGTCGAATGCCATCCCAAGCCAGGCCATATCACAGCATCCAGGCAGAAATGAGCTGTGGGGTGTGTCTCCCCTCTCTGTGCCTCAGTTTCCCCATCAGGAAAAAAATGTCACATCCTCCTGATGATCCTTCCTCCAACTCTCTGAGTTTTTCCTATTAGAAACCCCATTTTTCAAATCAGGAAAGCAAAGCGTGGCCTGCATAGACATTGCCCAGGCCCCACTATTATTCTTTGCGGGGGGCGGAGTGGGGGAGAGCTCACAACAGTGTCAGCTCTGACTTGTGTCTGGTCTTGCCTCCCCTCCAAGCCACACCCACCCTAGGGGGCTTGGAGAAGGGAATCTGAGGTTCCATCCTTCCTGACTACCCCTCTCTTACTCTTTCTATTAGGGGTCACTGAGCAAGCCCCCTTATGGGGAAAGAAAAAAAATGTGTTTGCTTTGGAACTGGCCAGCAGCTCCCTTTGCCTCTCTTACTCCCCCCAAATCCGTTAGTGTCCTCGCCCCCTGACAGCTGCAGCTGCCAACAGGCAGCCAGGCCAGGCGAGACACCTCTCATTTCTGTCCCCCTCCCGGCCTCCACCCCCAGAAACCACAAAGGGACAGATGCCGAAGGCACACTCCAGGCACAGATACCATCTCCTTTCCCCTGGCCAGCTGCCCCAAACCCCTTCCCCCATCCTGCAATTAGTCCCCTGGGGAGAGGGGACAGAGAAGAGCCCTCTTGGGGGAGGGAAGCCAGAACCCCGTCCCTTCCGTTGCAAACCCCCCTTCCTTCGGCTGCCTCAATATCCATTTTAGCCGGTGACCTCTGGAACAATTTCCACAACCCCAATCTCCTGGTCAGTTTCGCCGCCAGACCCTGGTTCAATTTCGACCCTCAATAGTGGTCACGCTCACCCCCTCTGCTGGTCAATTTCATCCCTGCTCGCGGTCAAGTCCAGCCCTCCATTTCCCGGCCAATTTCCACCTCCCCTCCCTCTCCCCCTTCCCCATCTCAACACCTCTCGCTCTCCGGAGCAAGGTCAGCCCCTGTGGGTTTCCACCTCCCGTGCTCCTCGCTCGCTCCTGCCAGCCTCGGTCCTCCGGGTCACTGTCCAGCCGCCGCGGCCTCGGCCCCCGCGACTCCCGCCCCGCATCCCCCCTCCCTCCCCGGGCAGATGCTCCCCTCCCTCCCCAGAACAGCTGAAGGTCTCAGTCACCTCCGAGGGGAGCGCAGGGGGAGGGGAGGGGAGGGGGCGGGGAAGCCTTGACGTCGCTGCCCGGGACCCGGCCCGGTACTGGTAGGGGCTGGGGCGTCCGTCTGAGAGCCCCCTCCCCAAAGTCCCACCTCCCGGGCGCGCGCCGGCGGCTGCGGCTAAAGTCTCTCCGAAAGCGTGAAGGGGGATTGGAGATTTTATTTTCCTTTGTGCCCGCGACTGGGGCCGGATCGAGGCGGCCGGGCCGGGGGCCGCGGGATTGGGGCTCCCCCCGGAGAGGCGAGGAGCGCAACAAAGGATGCGCCGCACCGGGGTCACCGTCCCCGCGGCCCAACTTTGCGCGCGGCGCCCGAGTCCCCGGGGAGCCTGCCCGCTGCGCTGAGAACCCAGGCGTCCGGGCTGAGCCAGAGCTTGGGGGCGTCCGCAGGCGGCGCTTTCCCCGCCCCCGGCCCCCAGGAAGGGATCCCGGAGGCAACGGGTGGCCGAGCCGTGCAAGGAGAGCGCGCTGCCCGCGGAAACTCCGCGGATGCCCCTCGCTCTGGCTGGACGACCCCGCGCTCCGCGTTCAGGGCCCTACGGGGCGCCCCCTTCCCCCGCCGTCCTTCCACAGCCGGGCTAAGGTGCGCTTTTGCTTCTCCTCCCCCTTCCCCCCTCCTCTGTCTCCTCCTTCCCCCCCCCCCCACTTTTCCCCCTCCTCTGAGCCCAGCCAAGGGTCACACCTGATCTTTCTCCTCCTCCCTTCCTCCCTTCCTTCTCCCCCTGCTCCTCCCTGGGGACTCTGCCGAGGAAGGGGGCCCAGAAGAGGGCATGTGGGTCCTCTTCTGACAGTGGCCAGGTTTGGGGTGACACTCGCTCAATGGCCAAGTGGCTACGAGACTACCTGAGCTTTGGCGGTCGGAGGCCCCCTCCGCAGCCGCCCACCCCCGACTACACGGACAGCGACATCCTGCGGGCCTACCGGGAACAGAAGGATCTGGACTTTGAGGACCCCTATGAGGATGCAGATGGCCGCCTAGAGACCGACTCCGCGGGGCCCGGGGACTCCAAGGGCCCTGGAGACGCCAAGTACGACTCTCCAAAGCATCGGCTCATCAAGGTGGAGGCAGTTGACATGGCCAGAGCCAAGGTCTTGCTGGGCAGCCCCCGGGAAGAGGTGCGTGGCTAAGGCCCAGAGGTTGGGTGGCCCCAGGAGACTGGGTGGGGCGGCCAGGCTAGGTTTCCCCAGGACTTTGGGGAGTGTGTTTTATGTGTTACCCCAGGGAAAGACCAGGGCACCAGCCGGACACTCCCCAATCCTCCATCCGCTTCGTGGAGTTTGATATCTGCCCCTTTTCACTGCACAGCGCTGGTTGTCCTCCTCCCTCTCTGACTGGCTTTGTGCCCCTGTCCTCCTGCTTCCTGATTCCCCCCTTCTGGATCCCTCCGCACAGCTTCCCTTCCTCTTAGCAGCTGAAGGGATCTTCCTTAAACAGATCTGAGTGAGTCAGTTTCCTGCGGTCACTTAAACATCCTCACCACTACTCTCCACCCTTCCTCTCTTATTACTCCCATTTTACAGAAGTGGAAACTGAGGCTCACAGAAGAGAAGCGACTGGCCCAAGGTCACATGGCTCTAGCTTGTTAGAACTTGAACCCAAACCTGCCTCCAATGCCCATGCTTTTTTTTTTTTTTTCAGTACTTTTCCTAGAGGATCAGGGGGTCCACCCCAAACCCTCAGTGGAAAGACAGAGAAGGCTTCAAAGAGGGTTACGGTAGGCTGTGTCAGGTAGTGGTTAATGGCACAGAGAAAGGTAGGAGGAAGCAGGGACTCGGGGAAGCAGACAACCAAGGATCAAGCACTGCTTCTTACTTATCAGCTGTGTGACCTTGAGCAAGTCACTTGCCCTCTCTATGCCTTGGTTTTCTCATCTGTAAAATGGGGATAAGGTACTTACTGAGTGTTGGTGCTACAAGTAAATATATGTGAAGCCTTTAGAACAGTACTGGCACCTAATCATTAAAATGATTGAAGGAGGGAGGTAGGGATCTGTGTCGGGGAGAATCAGAACAGCACAGAGGAAGAGAGCAAGGGAAGCTCTATCTGCAAACACTCGCGGGTGGAAGAGGAAACTACTTGCTTGGAGGGGATGTATCAGATGACACAGAGACAGCAGGCAAGAGGTGTAGTATTGCCCAGCAGGGGTATTCAGAGCTAGGCTTGGTCCCCCTGAGCCCTTGACTCCCTCGCATTCCTTTCTGTCTCCAGTTGGAGGTCGACACCGAGTACTCGGACCCTTTTGATGCCCAACCTCACCCGTCACCCCCGGATGACGGCTACATGGAGCCCTACGATGCCCAGCGAGTCATGAGCGGTGAGTGGTCAGAGCTTGGGGGAAGGTGACAGGGTCCCAGGTGGGAGTGGGAGCTGACCAGTGTCCTTGGCCTCCCAGAACTGCCATACAGGAGGGTGCAGCTGTATGACACTCCCTATGAGGAGCAGGACCAAGATCTGGGAGATGGGCCTCCTTCAGGGTGGAAACCTCGGCAGAGCCGGCTGCCCCAGGAGGATGAACGGCCAGCAGACGAGTATGACCAGCCCTGGGAGTGGAAGAAAGACCACATCTCCAAGGCATTTGCAGGTGCTTCTCTGAGCCTGACCTCTGAATGCCTGTGTCCCTCTATTTCCTGCTCTGGTCACATCCCCTGTTTCAACTTACAGAGTAAATCCCCATCACCTGTCACTTTGGTAGTTTGTTAATTCTCACTAAAGTGTGAATGACTGATAGTCATAATCTTCCCAGGAGAATCTGTAACTTCCTTGGAAACTGAAACCCCATTTATTTATTTATTTATTTATTTATGCTGCACCGCGTGGTTTGCGGGATTTTAGTTCCCCAACCAGGGATTGAACCCAGGCCCTCGGCAGTGAAAGTGCAGAGTCCTAGCCACTGGACTGCCAGGGAATTCCCCTTTTAGAGTGCAATGGAACCTACTCATTCTGCTCAGTATAGTGCAGGAATAGGCTTTGATGTCACACTAGATCTGGGTTTGTGTCACTTGGGCAAATCCCTTTATCTCCCTGAGTCTCAGTTCCCTTACCTGTAAAATGGGGATCATTCTAGTACCTATCGAATAGGGTACTTGTAAATTGAGTTCTAAAGTGCTCAATTACACAGGAGCCGTTGTGGAAGAAGGTAGCATTTCCTGGAGTCGATTCGTAACTGAGTTGGGTAAGCTTGGATAAGTCTCTGAACCTCAGTTTCCTCTTCTGTAAAGAGGGAATAATAAGGTCAGCTTTAAGAAATAAAATAACTTGGAATTCCCTAGCAGTCCAGTGTTTAAGACTTCGTTCTTCCATTGCAGGGGGCACGGGTTCGATCCCTGGTCGGGGAACTAAGATCCCACATGCTGCATGGTGCGGCCAAAAAATATATATATAGGAAAAAAATAACTTGGACCAGGAAGAGTTGTGCGTACCCAAATCTGCCCCAGAAGTTGTATGACTGTGAGGGAAATTGGAGCTCAGTGCCTCAGCCTACCTGTCTGTATATTGAGGGTGGTTTTCTAGCTCTATGAGTTGGCCAAAATCAGGCAGAACTTCCCACCTACCCCTCTAGCCACACCCCCTGCTCTCTGATTTATCACTCAGGGAACTGCCCACCCTTCCATGCCACCAGATTCAAGAATGACCACACCCCTTTCTTCTGAAGGCTAATTGGTTGCTCGCGTACCAATCCCGCCCCAGCCTTAAGCCCAACCCCGCCTCTTCTGGGTTCTGATAGGTTGCCCTAAGCTGGCACCGCCTTCCTACTGAAATTCCACTGGCTTGCCCCCACCCCACCCTCTTGAGATAGGCGGGACTTAACCATTTTCTCTTTAAACCTTCTTCAGTGCAGTTTGACGGTCCAGAGTGGGAAAGAACCTCAGGCTCAGCCAAGGAACTCCGGAGACTCCCGCCCCGAAGCCCCCAGCCTGCAGAGCGCGTGGACCCGGCCCTGCCTCTGGAAAAACAGCCGTGAGTGGGGAAGTTGAAGATGGAGTTGAATCCCTCCCTGCCCCACACCAGCCACAGATTCCTCGGGCCAGGGGGGCTGGAGGAAATTTCACTCATTCACTTCATTCATTTCTTCAACTAATCTTCGCTGGGTGACAGCGCCTGCTGTGGGCCAGACACTCAGCTCGGTGCAAAGCAGAATTAGGTGGCGTCTCCATTCCCTCCGGCGTCAGATTCTGGGTTCAAATCCCTTCTCTATCTTTTGGCTGTGTGGCCTTGGGCAAGTCACTTAACCTCTCCAAACCTTGGGCTCAACACCTCCAAGAGAGTGTCTGCCTCACACAGAATAAAAGGGGATTTCCTCCCTTCCCTTGAGTGGGGTTTATAAGCCTGAGAGCAAAGAGACATCTTTCTCACCCCCAGGAGATCTTGTGGTGAAAGTGGGAGAAGCAGGATTTTGAAGGGGTCCCAACTTTAGGCTGGGGTGAAGCTCACAAGCTGGGAGAGTCTGGGTGTTCTCTGTGTCTCTCCAATCTAGGAGCTTCTCAGGGAACTCCCCGAGCCCCCAGAGCCCAGCCCTGTGAGTACCAGGGTGTGTTTATCACAGTCATTCCCAAACCTCTTAGGTGGGCCATACAGAACTGCCTAATTAACCCAAGAACAAGGTATTTTCTTCCAATACAAACAACTGTTTGGTGCTCATCTGTCTTTGACACTTTGCTCCCACTGCTAGCTTCTCTTTGAGCACATTAAAGAAAAATATTATGTAACAAATGGTACAGGTGGGTTGGGGATACAGGATGTGGTGAATCTCATGAAAGTGATATGCAAGTGATTCGAGTTGGGGGATTAGGGAGGGGTTGAGGACACTTGGAGGCCCAGCTGAGGGAGGCTGTAAAAATCAAGGTCGGGGTATGTGCTGAATTGGAAGGAGCAGCTCCAGGTTGACCTGGGTTCAGCTCCCTCCCAGGGAGAACCTTGTCTGCCTGAAAACCAGGCTCCTCTTGAGAAATCCAAGGGAATTTGTCTCACTTGTTTGCCTGGACGTCACAAGTCCTTGAAAGAGCTGTGCCTGCATCCAGCCCCAGGACGTGTTGGAAAGGGGGACTGCCCTTCAGGAGACCTGTCCCCACCCCCTAGGTGGTTTCACGGCCTGCTGAGCCGGGCAGATGCCGAGAACCTCCTGTCGCTCTGCAAGGAAGGCAGCTACCTCGTGCGGCTCAGCGAGACCAGCCCCCAAGACTGCTCCCTATCCCTCAGGTGAGACCGCAGCCCCCTGGAGGGACAGAGGGTCTCAGGACTGCATGCTTTCCGGAGCAGAGGGCTGTGTCTCCAGCAGCCAGTGGGCGGGACTTCCAGGGCTGATGGACAGAGCTTTCAGGCCAGGGGGTGGGGCTTATGGGATCCATGGGTGGGGCTTCTAGGCCAGGGGGTGGGGCTTCTAGAGAGGCCACTGGCTTGGTTCCGACTGAGAATGAACTCCCTGTCACTGGAGGTACGCAAGAAGATGGAGAGGAAGCCATACCGTAGATCTAGGGCTTGAGTGAGATGGGGAACAAGGGACCCTAGACTGAGGGTAACCCTAGTGAGGAGCCCAGGACAGGTAGCACAAGGTGTCAAGAGGTTTGGAGAGAAAGTGCCTTCTGTGTTCCTGGGGAGGGATCTCCACCTGGTAGGAGCTCCAGCCTGTCTTGATAGGGGACAAGCTCGGAAGGCATCCCCGCAGTGTGGAACTAGCCAAGAGCTTGACGCCAAGTGGCTGTTAATCAGAAATATTAGGGGATGCCAGCGTCGGGCTCCTGGGGGCCATGAGGGGGTGGCTTTAGGGTTGGAGAGTGTGGGCGGGTCTGGAGTGCTGGGTACCCACTCTGACTCCTGTCTCCAGGAGCAGCCAGGGCTTCCTGCATCTGAAGTTTGCTCGGATCCGAGAGAACCAGTTCGTGCTGGGTCAGCACAGCGGCCCCTTCCCCAGCGTGCCGGAGCTGGTGCTCCATTATAGCTCCCGCCCACTGCCCGTGCAGGGCGCTGAGCATCTGGCCCTGCTGTACCCCGTGGTCTCACAGACCCCCTGACTGAGCCTCAGCACCCCGCCCTGGGCTGTGAGGACCCAGATCAGTGGCTGCAAACGGTGGAGGTCTTTACAGTCCTGGAGAAGGCTGGATGGAGAGAACCCCCCCCCCCGCCCCTCCAGGATCTGGGTCTTCATCAGAGCCGCCCTGCTCAGCCTCCTTCAGGGTTCTAGGGATTAGAATTGTGTCTCGAAGCCCTCCTCTTGCCTGGAAAATAAATAAGTTATTGTGTGTTTCAAGTGTCCTTTCTGGGAGGTGGGGATCTCAGCCCCTCAGAAGGAAAAGGGGAGGCAGACCCTTGGAGGGGGAAGAGCATCCCCAGCTCCTTGTTTTGGGGATGGAGCTGGGGTTGGAGCCTGAATGGCTCACAGGGAGGGACCAGAATCCAGAGAGCTGGAGACAGGCAGGGAGAGAGAGGCATGGAGGCAGATAAAATTCCGGAGACAGTGGATGGAGACCAGCAGATTAAAAAGATGGAGAAACGGAGGGGGCGAGGCTCTCAGGCCAGCCCTGCCCCCACCCTGCCCCTCCTCCTTATCCGGGGGGGGCGGGCGGGCGGGCCAGGGCTGATGCTGCAGAAAGGACATCTGTCCCCATGGAAACAGCAGAAGTGGGGGAGGGGAGCCAGGCCCAGCTGGTGTCACTTCAAGGTGACAGTCGGGCAGGAGACCCCGGGGGCTGATAAATGCCAGGAAGCCCCGATCCCCCCCCCCCCGCACCCAACTCCAAGCCTGCCTGGGGGAGAGATACCAGCTGGGGAGGGGGTGCGTCCAGCTCCGAGCACTGTTTTGAAGCCAGGGGCATCACTTCTCTCTGCTAATTGGACATGTCTCTCCAAGGATAAGAGGTGGAAGGCTTGCGAGTCATCAAAGAGCCCCCTCACCACAGTGGTCCTCTGAGACCCCCCTGATGACTCCTCAGATCTCTTTAGCACTCCCAAATTGCCACAAATTCTGGCTTGGTTTCTTCATGAGCCTTTATTGGGTGTTCTTTGGGCAAGGGAGAAATCCAGCCTCATAGAAATGAGGAGGGGGCGTGTTTCAGGATGAACTGCTGGACTTCGTGATCCTCTTGGAATAAGTCACATCTTTACGTAGCTGCTGGGGGGGTGTCCTCTGTGGGTCTCTGGGGGTTCTGATTCGTCTTCCCACTTCAAAGAATCCTCTTGGCCTGGGCCAGGAGGGACTCCAACTGCAGAGGTGGGGTGACTGGGCCTGGGGCTGGAGGAAGATTTGGGAGCCAGAGGCCGCTTGGGGGTGGGGGCCAGGGGAAAGAGATCGAATAGAAGCTTTGGCCCTTCTGATTCTTGCTGGAGATGTCCAGCATCTTCCCCTACACAGGCCATGCCTCACTCTTTCTTGGGGCCCTCCGGGGCTGGTATAAGGCATTGATGTAGAGTGGATTCCCTGCATTGGAAGGAGGGGGGTATGACACAAAGAGGGAAGAATCACTTAAGAGAGCCTGGCCCTCTCCAGCCCACTTTCTGGAGGCTTTGTCTATGCCTCTGAAAAACATGGGTGTAGGGGCCAGCCTTCCCCATCTATTCCCCTTCTCTGCCTCCCAGCCTCACCCTCGCTCCTTCCAAAAGGGGCAGGTATCAAAGTCAGAAGGGTCTGCGTTCCATCCTTGTCAAGAAGCTGCAGTTCCCGCATCCGCCACGCGGGGGCGGGGTCGCCAGTGGATGGCGGTGCTCGTGGGAACCGTCCGCCCTCCGAGCGGCTACCTGCGCGGTTCCTTACCTGCGTCTGTGTTCCGGCAGCGGCGGCGGCCCCAGATCCAGGCGCCCAGAGCGAAAGCGGCCACGGCCACCGCTCCAGTCACCAGCAGTGCGAAGGAGAGCCCTGGGAAGGCGGTGGTGGTTTGTGGGCGGTCTGACTGGGGGCGGGGCACGGGGGCGGGGCACGGGGGCGGGGTGGGGCGGGGCTGGAGGAGGGACACGTGGACGGAACTCACCTGAGAAGCTCCGGTTCAGTAGCCAGCCATCTGCCAAGAAGAAACCTACGTCTCAGGGGAGCTCACCTTCGAGTCCAGCTTCCTGCACCTCTTCAGGGTAAGAGCCCCTCTACCCCGTGTGGGACCTCAGGGTTCTTGCCCCTGCCATGCTGTGTGAGTTCAGGCAGGGATTTGCTCTGAACCTGTTTCCTCTTTTGAAAAAAGGATACTAATCATTCCTATCTTAATGGGTTATTGTGAAGTAAATGCCAACGGGATTTTCTCATCATGAGCTCCATCTTCCCCACCATGAGCTGCACCACCCTTGTCATGAGCCCCATTGCTGCCATAATAGGCTCCACCGTTCCCATCACAAGCCTTATCATCCCCACCCTTAGTCCCATCACCCTGAACATGAGCTCCATCATCCTCATTTTGAGCTCCACCATCTTCACCAGGAACTTTGCCAACACCACCATGAGCTCCATCATCCTGATCATGGGATCTATGGTCCTCATGGCTCCTGTTTTTTGAGCGTCTACACTGTGTCAATCCCAAGAAAACTGAGCCTCAGATAGCCTGAGTCACTTGCCTGGAGTCACACATCCAGGCAACAGCTGGGCCATGCTTTGAACAAAGGTGTTTCTCCCCTCAGCTTCCCTCTCCCTTCCCTGTTTCAGAAAGAAAGGAAAGGAAAAAAACCAAACCAAAACAAACAAACAAAAACTTACACGGGCCTGAATTTTTGAGTCTTGCTGAATAATCAGTATCATAGACACAATAATAACCACTTATGTTTACTGAGGACTTACTATGTTCCAGACCCTGCAATAAACTCTTTAGATATAATCACTTTAAATTCACCTAATCTGATGAGGAAAGCACTATTAGCTGAATTTTGATGACTAAGGAAACAGGCACAGAAGGGTCAAGTCACTTGCCCAAGGTCACACAGCAAGTGAATGGCAGAATGGGGATGTGCTTTCAGGTCTGTATAACTGACATGAACCCCAGCCAAAGGTGCCTTCTCCTGTGACTAAGGCGAGACCCAGAGCCCCCAACCCCTTCATCATGGAGGTTCTAAAGTTGGCAGTGGTCCCAGGGTTCCAAGCAGCTGTTCAGGGATGGGAAAGCCAGCTGTGGGGAGCTGGACCTGTGCCCGCTCACTCTCGCTCCCTCACAGCTGCCAACAGCTCACAGCCTGGTGCCTCTGCTACCCTGCCTCTGCTAATTGGTAATTGGCCCCCTCGTCACTGGAGGGGTGGGGGGCAGGCAGGACAGCCATAACACACCGCCCCAGAGGCAGGCAGCGGGTGGGTCCTGCCAGCTGGAGACAAATGGGCGTCTCTTGGGCCTGGGAGCCCGGGTGGTGCTTCATTCTGCCTGATACGGGCCAGACATATGCCCAAGGCCCTTGGGAACCGCCGAGAGAGAGCAGGACCCCATCGGGTCAACCTGAGTCTCCGGCCCCTATGGTTTGGCCTATAATGGGGTGTCATGAAGAGTGGGGGAAACGCATGAGGTGGGCTCTGGAGAAAGCTGGCTGCATCCCCGGCTTGTGTGTGTGGTTGGATGTGTCTTGGTCCTTGCTGGGCCTCAGCTTTATCCTCTGTAAAGTGAGGCAGGTGGCTTAGCTGATCGGGAAAGTGGCTTCCAGCCTTGAGAGTCCATGGCTTTCTTTTTCGTTTATTTGTTTGGCCGCGCCACACGGTTTGTGGGATCTTAGTTCCCCGACTCACCAGGGGTCGAACCCGTGCCCGCTGCAGTGGAAGCATGGAATCCTAACGCCTGGACCCCGAGGGAATTCCTGAGAGTCAATGGTTTTCAATTCTGGATTCTGGAATTCTAGAATTTTCTGCTCCTACACACTTTGTGATGCAAAATTCTAAGAGTCTCTCTGGGACTCCCCTTGTGGTCCAGTGGTTAAGAATCCATCCTGCAATGCAGGAGACACCAGTTCGATCCCTGTTCAGGGAGCTAGGATCCCACGGGTCGCAGGGCAACTAAGCCCATGCGGCACAACTAGAGAGCCTGAGTGCTGCAACTGGGACTTAACACGGCCAAAATGTAAATAAATAAACATTTAGAAAAAAATTCTAAGAGTTTCTCTTTTTAAAGTAAGATCAGTTTCCCTGGTGGTGCAGTGGTTAAGAATTCACCTGCCAGTGCAGGGGACACAGGTTCGAGCCCTGGTCCGGGAAGATCCCACATGCTGCAGAGCAACTAAGCCCATATGCCACAACTACTGAGCCTGTGCTCTAGAGCCTGCAAGCCACAACTAGTGAGCCCTCGAGCCACAACTACTGAAGCCCGCATGCCTAGAGCCCCTGCTCCGCAACAAGAGAAGCCACCACAATGATAAGCCCACGCACCACAGGGAAGAGTAGCCCCCGCTCGGGGCAACTAGAGAAAGCCTGTGCAAGCAACAAAGACCCAACACAGCCAAAAATAAATAAATAAATAAATAGATTAATTAATTAATTAATATTAAAAATAAGTTAATAAATAAAGTATTTAAGACTACAACTCTAAGATTCTAGAATCTTCCGTTCCTTTATTTCAGTGTTTCTCAACTTTTTTCATTATCACTCCCCTAAGTAGACACTCTAAGAACCTTAATTTGTTCCCCGATGAAATGTTAATACCACAGACATTCTGTAACTCTGTTTATGGGCTGTCTGCATATTGATGCTTTGTACATAAAAAGAGTAAGATTTTCTTTGCTCCCAAGAACAAATTTTTGCCTCCTTAGGAGTGACAGTCCCATGCAGAACATATGCTGTAATTCTCAGAGCTTAGAATTTATGTCCCTAGGATTCTAGAACTGCAAGATTCTTTTTTTTTTTTTTTTTTTTTTTTTTCCGGTACGCGGGCCTCTCACTGTTGTGGCCTCTCCCGTTGCGGAGCACGGGCTCCAGATGCGCAGGCTCAGTGGCCATGGCTCACGGGCCTAGCCGCTCCGCGGCATGTGGGATCTTCCCGGACTGGGGCACGAACCCGCGTCCCCTGCATCAGCAGGCGGACTCTCAACCCCTGCGCCACCAGGGAAGCCCTAGAACTGCAAGATTCTATCTTGTGGTTTGAGATTCTGGAATTGTGCTCGGTACAATAGAAATGTGTCCATATGTTGACCAAAAGACAAGTTCTAGATTGTTCACAGCAGCCTTATTCAAAATAGCCAGAACCCAGAAGCTGCCCAAATGGTCATCAGTAGGAAATTGGAATGATTGGTGGTGATGGAGGCCGCTCTGCAGCAAGGATGAGCCACTGCTCCACACACCAACATGGAGGAATCTTCCAGACATCATGTTGAGTGAAAGATGTCGGAGAGAGAATATACTCTGTGAGTCCATTTAAGTAAAATATGAAACCAGTTAAAATAGATTTATGCTGTTAGAGGTCAGGATGGTGGGGTGGGCATGAGGATGGCATCTATGAGGAAGCAGATATGTGTGTTGAGCATGGTGCTGGGTACCCAAGTGTGTTCAGGTTGTAAGAATCCATTGCTGTGGTTTGTATACATCCCTCTAAAATTCATATGTTGAATCCTAACCCCCAATATGATGGTAACTGGAGGTCGGGGCCTTTGGGAGGTGATTAGATCATGAGGGTAGAGCCTTCATGAATGGGATCAGTGCTCTTATAAAAGGGACCCCAGGGGACTTCCCTGATGGTCCAGTGGTTAAGACTCCATGCTTCCAGTGCAGGGGGCGCAAGTTCGATCCCTGGTTGGGGAACTAAAATCCCACATGCCATGCGGCACGCCCAAAAAAAAAGGACCCCAGAGAGCCCCCCGGCTTCTTCCACGTGAGGACATAGCTAGAAGGTGCAAGCTATGAAACACGAAGAGGGTTCTCACCAGAACAAAACCTTGCTGGTGCTTTGATCTTGGATTTCCAGCCTCCAGAATTCTGAGAAATAAATCTGTGGTTTATTTAAAAACACTACCCAGTCTGTAGTGTTTTGTTATAGCAGCGGCCAAACAGACTAAGACATCCATTGAGCTGGCCACTTACAGTGTGTGCATTTCTCTGTTTGTAGGATGTACTTGAATAGCGTGTTTTATGGGATTGTTTTGAATCAGAATCCAGAATTATATATATTCAAGGGTTATTATTATTGTGATATCTTGGAACAGGGCTCAGCAAATATGGCCCATTGCCTGTTTTTTTCAATAAAGTTTTATTGGCATCCAGGCCCGCCCATTCCTGTAGGTATGCCTCTGGTGACTTTCATGCTGCAACGGCAGAGTGGAGTCGTTGCAACAGAGGCTGCCTAGTTTACAAACTTCTTGCATCTGCAGACTTTCTGTTCCTAGGAATCTGATTTGGAGAATTTATGTTTCTAGGAGTTTGAGATTCTACAGTTTTAAGATTTCTGGAAGTTCCAAGTCCCCAGCTTGCCCGCACATGCTCTCATACCTGTCTCCACCAGGAGCTGTGTCCCACTGCCCTGGGCCTCCTCCAAGTCAGGGATCTCCACGGTCGCCCAGCACACGTAGAGCCCACCGTCATTGAGGCTCACGTGGTCCAGCTGCAGGGTGAGATTGCCAGGCGGCTGCCAGGAGAGCCGTCCCCCAGGCCCGCAGACAACCATGGTGAGACTGCCGTTGATGATGCGTGTCTGGCACAAGTTGTCACCATCCTTGGTCCATTCGATGTGTAGCTGCTCCCAGGCCTGGGCCTGCACCACCTGGCAGGCCAAGGTCACCTGACTGTCCTGCCTCACCTGGAGCAACTTGGGTGCCTGCTGCACACTCAGGCCTGTGGCTCCTTGCAGGGCTGGGGGACAGAAGAGGTGAGTGAGGCCTTTCTCAGTGTGTGTGAGTGTGTGTGAGCCCGGTGAGTGGGCTGCATTAGCCAGCCCACAGGGATGAGGCAGTAAGAGTCTGAAAGCTTGCTGTCTGTGTGATCTTTGCAAGGTTCTTGCTGAGGCTCAATGGCCTCATCTGTGAAATGGGGATAAGTCTCTTGGCACTTGCGAGATTTCAAGGTGGATGGTATGACGTGTCCGGCTCTCAGCCACACACATATTGCCTCGCGTGAGCCAGACCCTGTCCTGGCCACTGTGGACACAGACACACACGTGACTAAGACACAAATCCCTACCCTTGTGGAGCTGAGGGTCTGTGGGGAGAGAGACACTGGAAGTCGTGAAATGAGAATCCTGACGGAGGAAAGGAATGGGGAGTGGCAATAGGGGATAAGGATGAAGTGAGAGGATCTACTTATAGAGGATGGTCAGGGAAGGCCTCTCAGAGGAGGTGACATTTGAACAGGGATCTGAATGGTAAGACGTAGTCAGTCGTGGGAAGGAAGATATGCAGGAAGAGCACTCCAGACAGGGAACGGGCCGTGCCAAGGTCCTGAGGCTGGACCGTGCCTGGTAAGTTGCAGGAACAGTGAGGAGGCCCCGTGGCTGGAGAAGAGCTAGCCGGCGAGAGGAAGTGGGATCCAAGAAGTCGGCAGGGGATGGCTTTTTCGAGGCCTGCAGGCCATTGGGGTGGGGTGTGGTGGAGGTACAGAGGTGGGGGTGGGGAAAGGGGAGCAGTTTAGTTTTTAACCTAAGCGTGATGGGAAACCAGGGGAGCAGGGAGGAAATGTGGTCCAATTTAAGTTTTAAAAAGATCACCGTGACTGCCATGGTGAGAACAGGCTATGACACAGGGAGATCAGGTGAGGCCAGGAAATGAAGGTCCAGGATACCAGTGATGTGGGCCGGACCCTGGAAAGAAGGGGTCAGAGTCTGAATAGATTTTGAAAGTTGTCCCCAGAAGGACTACAAGAGGAACTGAATTGAGAGAGAGGGAAAGAGGGACAGTGGCAGATTTCCAAGGTTTAACCTGAGGGACTTTGTGAATGGTGGAGGCTTTGGGCCAAGATGGGGGACACCGAGGGAGAAGCAGGGCTGGAGGGGAAAGAGTTTGCTTTGGGCCATGAGAAGTCTGGGGTGTCTGTTAGACACCCCTTCAAGTTCCCGGTCTTTGGGGTGCAGTTGTAGCTGACGCTAGAGAGAGGAGATCCAGGGAAGAGTATTCCAGGCAGAGGGAACAGCAGGTGCAAAGGCCCGGAGGTGGGATCAAGCTTGATGTGTTGGAATAAAAAAAAGAAAAAAGGGGGCTTTCCTGGTGGCGCAGTGGTTGAGAGTCCGCCTGCCAATGGTGGGGACACGGGTTCGTGCCCTGGTCCGGGAAGATCCCACGTGCTGCGGAGCAGCTGGGGCCGTGAGCCATGGCCGCTGAGCCTGCGCGTCCGGAGCCTGTGCTCCGCAACGGGAGAGGCCACAACAGTGAGAGGCCCGCGTACCGCAAAGAAAAAGAAAAAAGGAGAGAAGAGTCAGCAGGCTGGCCACGGGGGAGAGAGGGAATGCAGAGGACAGAGGAGATGAGAGGCCAGCGGAGCCAGGTCACGCAAGACTCGTACGCAGGTCATGGTGTGAATTTTATACTGCAGGCCCCTCTGAGGATCCTTGCTAGAACCCTCCAACCCTTGTAAAGTTCTGAGTATCAGGGAGAGAGACGGGGCGTATTTGGCAGAGCAGAGAAACTAAGGTTTCGAGGGGCCCTGTAAAGGAGGGGCAGGAAGCTGGGTGATGGGTTGCAACAGGGTGGGGGTAGAGGGGAGGGAGGCCCAAGTACTCACCCCAAAACTGTGCCAGGAGGACCAGCACCTTGTCCAGGGAGCCCATTCCTGGCCCATCAGGCTCCCCTCTCCCAGCATCCTGCCAACCCCCTCCCCCTCCTACATGACAGACTTCCTGCCACAGAGACATATGTGACACTCCACCCCCACCACAGAGGTATAGGTGACACCCGGGCAGCCAGCAGATGTCTGGTGGCCACTGCTGCTTGGGGTTCCACTTCCTGTCACCTCTTGCCTCAGTTTCCCAGAAGTTTTTTTTTTTTTAATCTGAAAGCAGTATGCGTATGTGGTGGAGATCATGTGAGTGAAAATCCTTCTAAAAGACTATACAAACACACCTAGGCTGGGGGGGACACATTGAAGGGCAGGTGAGGCAAGAGGAGGGGAGGAGAGGGGAGCAGGTGGCAGAGGCCTGAGCAGGGGACAGAATGGCAGAACCCCAGCCTCAGTTATTTTGCTCCCAAGGTGTCTTCCTTTGAGGTTCAGAGGAAGGGACTTCTTCTAATGGCTTTGAGTCCCACGGCAGGTAGGGTTGCTCCCCTGTCCCCACAGCCTGGGGAGAAGATTGGGGGCCCAGTCGAGGGGGTTCACAAGCTCTGGACTTTCTCCCAGCCCTGCACACATCACCCCACAGCCGGCAGTACCCACCCCGGACGAGGAGGCAGACTCCTAGGCCTCAATGTCTCACCCCCACCCACAGTGTGACCTCCTTTTTTTCAACCAGAAAGAAGAGGGTCAGTGTTCTTGGCAGAATTGTTCCTGTCAACCACAGGGAGGCCCCTGCGGTGGCGCTCTGCCCACACTTCCCCAGGAAGTGCCTCCCAGCCTCCTCCTAGCCCTATGGATTCTGGGCAGGCAGAGAGGCTTCTGGAGGAGATGTGAGAGCCTGGGGCTTTGTGGGATGCATAGGAGTTCAGTTGTGATTTAGGGAGAGAAAGGCGGCTTTGGAAGCTGAACATCCACTTGGGCAAAAGACTTTGGCTTTTCAGTAAATGTAAGGCGTCAGTAGTTGCGGGGGGCAGATCTCTGGGCCAGGTGGAGGTGGGTTGCAGTGGAATTCCAGTTTGAGTGGCAGCTGAGAAGTTGTGTGGGTGAGAGAGTGGGGAGACTGAGGCACTAGGAAGACTAGGGGTAGGCTCAAGGCCACATGGCAGTCGAACCCAGGCATCCTGCCTCCCAGTTCCGGGCTCTCTCCAGCTCAGACATCATTAGCAATGTCGCCTGGTACGACCCAGGCTCTGTGGGTCTCGGCTCTCGGCGACCCTAGCGCAAGAAGGACTACATTTCCCAGCCTGCCTCGAGGGGCGCGCCTGCGCCCTGCGGCCAGTGATGGAGCGCTGACTGGGGGCGCGGCGGCGGCGGCGAGGGCTCGGCGGGCCATTGGCTACCGGCAGCGGCAAAGGCAGCTTGGGGACTAGAAGAGCGAGTGAGACCCGCGGGCCTGGCCGGGGACGACCTGGGCTGCAGCCATGGAGGACCAGAGGGTAAGACCGGGGCGGGGCGGGGCGGGGCGGGGCGGGGCCCGCGGCGGGGTTAGACAAGAGGAGGGGACCAGGTGATGCCGCAGCTACCTCCCCGCCCCCCCGCCCCAGCTGCTCTGCGGACGAAGCCCCACCCCCACCGCAACCGCGCCCGGATCTAGCCCCGATTCTAGACTCAGCTCCCCCCCCCCCACTCTCGCCACGACCCCACATCATCTTGGCCTGGGTTCAGGCACATCCCCTCCATGTCCCCCTCGCCCTCCCAGTACCCCGGACCCAGCCTTGACTCCATCTCCCACGCCTTCCACCCGGATTGCGGACCAGGTGTCCCGGCCCCCACCCCGCCCCGCCTCGGAGGACGCCCCGCCAGCTCAGCACTGGTGACCCCATCAATCCCGCGCCCCCAGGAAAAGCACCCGTCGGAGGCCTGGGTTAGGGATACAGGCCCCAGCAGCATCCCCCCACGCGGCCTCCTTCCCTCCCGCATCCCCTCTTCCAGGCCTCCTTGCCTTTCTCCACTTACCTGGTCTCTCTAACTCTTCCTCAGGTACCTCCTTTCTCCTTGCTAATCCCTTTTCCCAGCGTATCCCCTTCCCCAGATGAGCCCATGTTCTGCAGGCCTCCTTTTCCTCTGGGGTTTCTTTCCCGAAGCTAGTCCCTCGCCCTGGATCATGCCCTGCCCTCAGGATATAGGTACCTGGTTGAAGGCTTTGTGCTCAGGCAGACCTAACTGGGGCCCAGGGTCTGTTCCTTCCTGAGAAGCTCTCTCAGAGCCTCAGTTTCCTCCCCCGTGAAATGGGCACGCATAGGGTGCCTAATGCCTGCCCGCTTCCTGAGGGATGTAGGGCCAGAGCTCCGCCCAGGGCCTGCTCTTGGTGGATGCCCCCGCATCTCCTCCCTGGATGACTGGAGGACAGAATGGGGAGTCTCAAGTCGGGGAGCCCGGCCAGGCTGAGGGGCTTACCTGTGTGCGCGCTCCCCTGGGGGCAGGAGGCTCTGCGGAAGATCATCACGACACTGGCTGTGAAAAACGAAGAGATTCAGAGTTTCATCTACTCCCTCAAGCAGATGCTGTTGAACGTGGAGGTGAGGAAGTCACCCCCCCAGGAGGGAGGGAGGGGCAGCCATACGAGCTAGTCTGCTGATGTCCATGGGACTCGCGGGCCTGGCTGCCACGGCCAGGCCTGTTTCCCCATCTGAGCACCGGCTTTGACAATCCTAGCCCTTCTGACCCCACAATGTCTCTCCGAAGGCGAACTCGGCCAAGGTGCAGGAGGACCTGGAAGCCGAGTTCCAGTCCCTCTTCTCCCTCCTGGAGGAGCTGAAGGAGGGCATGCTCATGAAAATAAAGCAAGACCGTGCCAGCCGCGCCTATGAGCTGCAGGTGTGTGTGGGGGGGGGGCGGGTGGGCCGGGGGGTGGTGCTCTCCTGGAACCCCGCCCAGACGCCATCCCCCATCCCACCCCTCGCACTCAGCAGAGCCCAGCTGGCCTAAGCATCTTTGTCCAAACCTGCCCCTCCTCCCGTGCCCCTTCCCAGAGATGTCCCCAAGTGTCCCCGGCGTCCAGAGCCGGACCCTCTAGCGGTGTCGGCCACACCTTCTCTTTTTTCCTGGGGTCTTCCCAGCCTCCTCCCTGGCCATGACCTATTAATGTCCCACCCACCTGCTCTCCTTCTTAATCCCCTCTCCCATCCACCCCTCCTCTCCACGGCTGCAGCCCCACCCGTACATCTGGCTTTTCCTCCCCACCTGTCCTCACCCAGCGCTTCCAATTTCTCAGCCCTTCCCACTGGTGTCCCAGATCTGAGGGCATCACCCCTTGCCAAACACCCCCCTGTGAGTCTCCTGGGGTCTCAGATTCCAAGCTGGGGTCGCTGGAGGTTGCACCAGAACCTCCTGGGCAACCTCCTAACGCCCCAGATTCCCATCCCTGGGGGATGTGGAGCCCTGGGCTTAGATGTGGCCTGGGCATGTGCACTTCTAAGGAAGGGATCCCCAGGTGGTTCTGATGCCCTGCCTGCAGAGGGCCAGCCTCCCTCTCCCACCTGCAGTTGGAGAAGGGCATGGTACCCTGTATCCCGAAGGCGGTGGGGAGCCCTGGGAGGGCTTGAGGCAGTGGAGTAAGGTGTCTCTTCTCTCGGTGCCATGGCACCTGCAGAACCAGCTGGCTGCCTGCACGCGAGCTCTGGAGAGCTCTGAGGAGCTTCTGGAGACGGCCAACCAGACCCTGCAGGCCACGGACCGCGAGGACTTTCCTCAGGTATGTGCCTGGGAAGCGACTGGTAGGGCTGCCAGATAAAATACAGGAGCCCCAGATACATTTGCGTTTCAGATCAACTACGAGTAATTTTTTAGTATAAGTGTGGCCCATGCAATATTTAGTCTAAGTACATCCCAAAGATCACATGGGACATACGCTAAAAAGAACAATTCATCGTGGTTGATCTGAAATTCAAATTTAAGAACAAATAAATTTTTTAGTATATCTCATGCAAATGTTTAGTATAAATATTTCCCAAGTGTTGCATGGGACATATTTACACAAAAATACATATTCATTCTTTATCTGAAATTCAGATTTAACAACGAATAATTTTTTAGTCATATGTCACGTGCAATATTTAGTATAAGTGCGTCTGAAATATTGGATGGGACCTACTTATACTAGAAAATCATTTCCTGTTTATCTGAAATGCAAACTTAACTGGGCATCCTATAAAATTTTTATTTGCTAAATCAGCCAACTGTATGTACTGGGTACTGGGTGGGAGGTGGGGGTGGGAGCCTGTCTTCGCCCCCTATCCCTTCGGGGCACAGCCAAGGTTTTCTGCCCCAGTGTTGGGGCACTTTGCCACATAGATGCCTGGCTGGGCCTCAGTCTTCCTGTCTGTATACTGGCTTTCTGACTCAGTCAACACAATTCTTTGGATTTTATTCTGTCCCTCTTTCTAGGCTGCCAAGCAAATCAAAGATGGGTAAGATGCTGGGCCCTGGCTCCCACCCCATTGCCCCACCCCTGTTGTGAAGGTGGGAATGCCCAGGTGAGGGTCCCTTGGCCCAGAGCACTGGACAGGAAGAAGGGGGAGGGGGTCCCCTACACACACCTCGGAGGACTAGGCCTGGGCGTCCACCTCCTTCCCTGCAGTGTGACGATGGCCCCCGCCTTCCGGCTGTCATTGAAAGCCAAGGTCAGCGACAACATGAGTCACCTCATGGTGGACTTTGCACAGGAGCGGAGGATGCTACAGGCACTCACGTTCCTGCCTGGTGAGAGGGGAACTTGCTGGAGGGCCAAGATTGCAGGGAAATGGCCCGGGAGTCTTGGGGGCCCTGAGACAAGGCCTAGAGTAGGGCTGACAGCCATTTGTGGAAACCCCAGAAGGCCCCGCCCTGGGGTGGAGCCCTGAGAATTCCCACCCCACGGTGGATGGAGCCATGAGTAAGCCCCACCCTGTGACAGAGCCCTGAAGAAGCCCCACCCACCAGGGGTGGAGTCCCGTGGAGGCCACACCCCCAATTGGTTGAGTTCTGGAAATGTTCTTCATCTGAATGGTGGAATCCAGAGAAGGCCAAGCCATTTGTTGGTTAAACCCTGAGAAAGCTCTTCCCTACCCTCCACCCTTTGAGGAGGTTCCACCCCCAGGCCCCACAACCCAGAGGGGCCCCGCCCCTAATCCTGGGATCCAGAGGACGCCCCGCCCCCAAGAAGGTCTATTATGTGGGTGGGGTTACAGCAAGGCCCGCCCCTGCAGGCACAGCACCCTGACACCCCTCTCTGCTCTGTCCTGGGCAGTGCCTAGTGCCCCTGTGATCGACCTGGCCGAGTCCCTGGTGGCCGACAACTGTGTAACCTTGGTGTGGCGCATGCCGGACGAGGACAACAAGATTGACCACTATGTGCTGGAGTATCGGCGGACCAACTTTGAGGGCCCGCCCCGCCTCAAGGAGGACCAGCCCTGGATGGTCATCGAGGGCATCCAGCAGACAGAATACACCCTGACCGGTAAGGGCAGCTCACCCTTCCCCATCAGTCAACCTGGGGCTCATGGACGATCCTCAAGGCACGTGGGGTGTGAGAGCAGCTGGGCTGGACTGGTGGGGAGTAGCAGAAATAACAATAATGAAAACTATACTGGTGACAGCCACTGTACCACGTGTTGAGGGCTTACTATGCGCTAAGCATTTTACCCACATGTAATGGGCGTGCTTATTATCACCATTTTACAGATGAAGGAACTGAGTGAGGTATGGGCCGAGAGGGCCTCCTCCATCCCTGTCTTATCTCTATGATCCAGCATTCGTTCATTCATTCATTCATTCATTCATTTTGACTTGATGTCTGCCGGGTACCAAGCACCATCCTTGGAGTAGTGGGGGAGCAAAGTGGGTGAAAATCCCTCCTCTGGTGGACTGGTGTTTGGGGGGCTACCCTCCCAGGACTTGGGGATTTCCTTGGCAGTTATAAGAGAGCAGAAAGCCTGGGGGAATCCGTCCAGCTGGTAGGGGAGGGTCTGATGGAAGATAAAATTAGGGGTCCCTAATGAGTTAAGAAGCCGTCCTGAGCCAAGGGAAACCCTCAGGGGCGGGGAGAGTCTGGCTGACAAGATAACTATCACCACTGCTCTTGGGCTGCAATCAGCATGCATGGTTAATAATGAGCATGCTAATTGCAGGAAAGAAAAGCCAGCAACCTGCGAGAGGGCCTGAGAAACTCTTGACTTATCGTTTGCATGGGAATCAAAATAAACACATCCCATTTTTTCCCCCCAATCTTTTTTTATTGTGGTAAAACACACATAACATAAAATTCACCATCTATCTCCAGAACTTTTCATCTTGCAAAACTGAAACTCTGTCCCCATTAGCTTTGTTTGTTTGTTTGTTTTAACTTTTTGGCCGCACCACACGGCTTGCAGGATCCTAGTTCCCCGACCAGGGACCCGCACGCTCGGCAATGAAAGCTGAGTCCTAACCGCTGGACCACCAGGGAAGTCCCCCTGTCCCCATCAGACACTAACTCCCATTCCCCTCCCTGCAGCCCCTGGCACCCACCATTCTACTTCCAGTCCTTATGATTGTTACTACTCTAAGTACCTAATACAGGTGGAATCACACAGTATGTCTGGCTTATGTCACTGAGCATCACGTCCTCAAGGTTCATCCACGTGGTACCCTGTGTCAGAATGTCCTTCCTTTTTTAAGGCTGAATGATAGTCCCTTGTGTGACTATACCCAGCTTTCTCTAGTAGTGGCAGCTTACGTAACTAGAACTCAATACCAGAACCAGAAAGCTGACACGGGTACCTTCTGCAGTGTTGATTCGCTTTTCACCAGTTTTACACGCACTCATTCGTGTGTGCCTGTGTAATCCCATGTGCAATTTTATCCCATGTGTAAATCTGTGTAATCACCACCATCATCAAGGTGTAGATCTTCTCCATCACAGGCTTCTGGATGCATCCTCTTTACCTCTCTGGCCTTTTCCAGAATCCATAGGGCAGGGACTTGAATCCCTCAAAAGACCTGCGATATTCAAGATAATGACGAATTTGCTCACCTATGTAAATAACCTATGTGGTTATTTGCAGTCCACCTACTCTCTCGTTGATTGTTTGGAAGACAGGAAGGTTTGGGTTGAGTTTATAACTTATATTCCTTGACCCATCTCATCCTCATGTGAACCCTACTTAGTGTGTTGGGGATATGATCGTTGGGTCGCAGAGTAGGAAACTGAGGCACGCACTGTCAAAAGTCAGATGGGTTCGTGATTCTGAAACCAAGCCTCCTGGGTGGTAGGTAGTCTTAGCTCTGGGGCAGTAGATGGCGCTGCTGAGCAACCCACCTTACTCTCAGAAAAGGGGCTCCAAGGGAGGGTGAGGCAGTCTGGGTGGGCACCTGGAGGAGGTTAACAGCCAGGCTGAGGCCCAAAAGAGAAGTGGGGGAGAACAGACTTCCAGGCAGAAGAACAGCCTGATCAAGGGCTCAGAGGCCAGAACACTGAGCCTTAGTGCCTGGAACTAGTTAAGTTTGCAGAGGGAACCACAACTGTAGGGAGAGGGGAGAGGAGGAACGGGGACTTTACCCTGAGGGCAAGGGGATCTATGGGAGATTTCAGAGCAGGGGGTACTAAGTGTTGTTTGGGATGCCCAGAGAATGGGCACCCTGTGAGGAATGCCCAGGAGGCAGCTGGACATGTGGTCTGAGCTAAAGGTTGGGCTGTGAGTGCTGTGGGTGGAGAGACGGTGTTTGAAGGGTGAGAAGGGGACAGTCAGCAGAGTGAGGTGAGCAGGGGTTCCAGACTGAGGCACCCATACATTTGAGGGTATGGAGGAGCCTGCAAAGAAGACCAAGGGGGAGCAATCAGAGGGGGCAGCCAGGAGAGGGCGATGCCATGGCTGCCAAGGAAAGAGAATGTTCCATGAAGGAAGGAGTGGTCAGCCAGGAGATCCTGAAAGATGAGGAATAACAAGGCCAAAGGAAGGAGAGGGAGTGATGCAGCTGAGAGGGGGGTGTGGACAGCTCTCCAAAGAGGTTTTGCTTGAGGGAGAAGACAGCTTGATGGTTGCTTTTATTTTGTAAGGTTAGAAGAAATTAATAATATTTTTTTTAAAGTATAGAAATGGAGGGTAGGATATATCCTAGTAGTATGGAAAGTCTTTAAGGAACCAGGCATGGCTAGATCCAGGGGTTCCAGCAAATGACTCGCTCAGCTCCGTTCCTGACACTCATTGGCTCTAGGGCTGCATTCTCCAGGAGGCTTGCCGACGTGCTGGAAAATTTTCTCAAAAGGAGCTTCCTTCTAGCTGGCCAGCCCAGAGGAAAGACAGAATCTGCTCATTATAATACTAGAGTCCCAGGGCAGATTCTGATTGGCTAGTTTGGGTCATGTGCCTATCCCTGGACCAATTGGTGTGACTGAGCCATAAAGCATCCTGACTGGCCAGTCTGGGTTGTGGGCAGAGCCAAGTGATACCCCACAGGTGAATGAGGGCAAGGATGGTTTCTCAGGGATGTCATTTATAAGATACTCCTTAGAATGAAGGGTGGTGGGATTACTGTGGGACACAGGGGCCTACTAATCTATTGCTCAAAGCGTACACAATGTTGATTCCTCTGTTGTCTCGTAGGTCTCAAGTTTGACATGAAATACATGAATTTCCGTGTGAAGGCCTGTAATAAGGCAGTTTCAGGCGAGTTCTCTGAGCCAGTGACCCTGGAGACACCAGGTGACTGGCTCCCACCCCTGCCCTGGCTGAGACACCATAACCCCTTACTCCCAGGGCCCCAGGGACTGGTGTCTGAGGAGAATCTTCTAAGCGGGATTCTATGACCCTTTTTGCCATGGTTGCCAGGAAGCTCAGTGCTCGGTCCACGGTAGCTTCCTTAGCCTGAGTGTCTGGTATAAACCTGGTATTGTTCTTTGCATTTGCAGTTGATCCCATTATACCTGGATGGTCTTTAGACACACACACACACACACACACACACACACACACTCTCTCTCTCTCTCTCTCTCTTTCTCTCTCTTTTCCAAAAAATGGCTAAGCGTGCTATAGAATTGGGAATGGGATATCAGTACTGAAGACAGATTTGTTAGCCTCTCACAGTGACACCTTTGAATGTCCTGATAGGAAGTCCTTCTGCAATCTTGCTTAACTCTGTCATGCTATAGCCCAGCCCCTTTCCTGGGATTAATCCCCAGTGGAAGCACAGGGCAGCACAGTGGTTTGAAAATGGCTTCAGACCTGGGATACCTTTAGGCAACAAGCCCTTGGTCTTCACTCCTCTGGCTACATGTTCTGCCCTCTCCACTCTTCCCCATCTTGTCTCTTGGTGTCTTTCTGCCTGTTGTCTCTGTATCTCTCTGTCTCTGAATCTTTGTCTGTTGGTCTCTTTTGCTCTCTCTCTGTCTTAGTCTCTGTTTCTTTGTGTTTTTCTGTTCTCTGTCCCTGTCATGGTCTGTCTTGGTCACTGTCTGTCTCTCTCTGTGCCTCCGGGTTTCCCCATCTCTGTGACTCCCACATCTGCCTGGCCCCAGCGTTCATGTTCCGCCTGGATGCGTCCACATCCCACCAGAACCTGCGGGTGGATGATCTCTCCGTGGAGTGGGACGCCATGGGCGGGAAGGTGCAGGATATCAAAGCTCGCGAGAAAGATGGCAAGGGGCGGACGGCGTCTCCCGTCAACTCCCCAGCCAGGTAGCCTGCCCTCTCCCCTCCCTGAGTCTCTGGTGGAGGAGATCAAGCTGGACATGGACACACAAGCCCAGTGTGCTCAAGGCTGGGGTGGAGGGAGGGATGTGGAGCTGGGGGGACCCAAAGAGTGAATGAAGGGAGAGGAGACTTTGAAATGGGTTTTGATGGTTGAATAGGAGTTTTCCAGATGAGGAAGGTCACTGGTGTGTTCTGACATGAGAGGCCCTGTGTATGAAAAGAACCACAGACAGTCAAGGAATGATGAAAAGTTCCTGGTGGCTGGGGTGGACCAGGGAAGCCCTCCGATGGGAGAGGTGAGTTCTGAATTGAGACTTCCCCTTCCCTGTTGCCCACAGAGGTACTCCATCTCCCAAGAGGATGCCCTCAGGTCGTGGGGGACGGGATCGCTTCACAGCTGAGTCCTACACGGTGCTGGGTAAGGAGGAGGGTAGATGGGAGGAGAGAGGAGTACTCTGGGCAGGGCCCTGATGGGGGGTGGTGGGAGAGAATTCCTTTGGCTGGGGAAACTGAGGCAGCTATCAACAAAGCTTCTGTGGGAATGGTCCCAATAATGTGTTATTGTGACACTGGAGGAATGGGAAGATTTGGGGCTGAGGGATTAATGGGGCGAATCAGAGCTTATGGATATTCTGGACTGGGGAGTGGCTGGGCAGGAGCTTGAGAGGGGATTTCCTGGGGTCTGTGGAGTAGCTGAGACTCAGGGAGTAGCTGAGCCTCGGGGAGTAGCTGGAAAGAACAGTTGCCTGTGGAGCAGCCAGGTTTGTGGAGGAGCTGAAGCAAGACAGGGGCTCGGGAAAGTGGCTTAGGGTGAGTGGAGGAGCCAGAGAGAGTGGCTGAGTCTGAGAAGTGGAGAGAATGGCTAGGATGAGAGGAGCGGTCAGCACCACAGGACTGATTGGATCCTGTGGAGGAGAAGCTGGAGTCCAAGGACGACCTGGAGTTCAGGGGAATCACCACTGTCCAGAAGAAAAGCTTGAAAAAGAAGCCAGGGTAAATGAGGAAGCCAGTGTGGTTTGTACTTTGTGGCAGGTGGCGGCGGGGAGGGCACAAATTTAGGGAGTAGCTGGTTTCTGGGGATGAGTGAGGAGAAAAGCTACCGTCTGGTGGGGCAAGAGTGTGCGGAGAAGCTGCTCAGGAGTAGCTGGATTGGGGAGTAGCTGAGGTGGCAAGAATCTGGATCCGGGGTCCGGGGAGGATGTGGACTCAGGGAGTAGCTGAGATCTAGTTGAGGCTTGGAGAAGATCCGGACTTAACGAATATCTAGGGACGCCTGGAGTATCTGGAAGGAACAGCTGAGGACCGAGCAGTATCTGGAGGGAATAGCTGGGCTCTGGTTGCCCCTTTGTGAAAGGGCACCTGGGACCCGATTCTACCCAGTCCCCCCTGCCCGCTCCGCCCCACAGGGGACACGCTGATTGATGGCGGGGAGCATTACTGGGAGGTGCGCTACGAGCCGGACAGCAAGGCTTTTGGCTTGGGGGTGGCCTACCGCAGCCTGGGCCGCTTCGAGCAGCTGGGCAAGACAGCCGCGTCCTGGTGCGTGTATGTCAACAACTGGCTGCAGGTCAGCTTCACTGCCAAGCACGCCAACAAGGCCAAGGTGCTGGACACCCCCGTGCCCGACTGCCTGGGCGTGCACTGCGACTTCCACCAAGGTGACCCCGAGCCCCCGCTGACCTCCCCGGCCACCCCTGTCCACCGTCTCTCTGCCCAAACCCCTCTCACCGGTGCCCCGTCCCTCTTGCCCTCCACCCCAGGCCTCCTGTCCTTCTACAACGCCCGCACCAAACAGCTTCTGCACACCTTCAAGGCCAAGTTCACACAGCCGCTGCTGCCGGCTTTCACGGTGAGGCCTCCTCCGCGGCCCGGGGCGAGAGCGGGCGTGGCGTGAGGGCTGGCTTCGCTGCTGAGCTCTCTGTGTCCCCCCCGACGCCGTCCCCCAGGTGTGGTGTGGCAGCTTCCACGTGACGGCAGGCCTACAGGTCCCCAGCTCTGTGCGCTGCCTGCAGAAGCGGGGCAGTGCTACCAGCAGCTCCAACGCCAGCCTCACCTAGGCCTCAGGACGGCCCCTCAGCCGGGCTGATTTCGGGGGCGGGGGGAACGCCTCCAGGCCTCGGCTGTTTCAGCTGGGCACCTTCCTCTCACTTGCTGCTTGGAGCCTTAACTCCTGATGGGGGTCACCAGTGGGGAGCGGGCACGGGGGCGGGCCCTCCTCCCCACCTCACCTCCTAATAAAGGTCAAACACTGGCCAGGCGGTGCTGCTGGTATTATTTTCGGGGCTGGGTGGCACTGGGTGTGCCTGGCCCTCTCTGGACCTCAGCTTTCTTGGCTGTAAAGTGGGCTTTTCTTGGGAATTGCCTGGTGGTCCAGTGGTCAGGACTCAGAGCTGTCACTGCTGAGGCCCGGGTTCGATCCCTGGTCGGGGAACTCAGATCCCATGAGCTGTGAGGCACAGCCCCCCAAAAAAGGCTTTTCTTGAGGGTCAGGAGGCAGGTTTTGCTGAGCTGAGGACCACTGTGGGCAGTCATCTGAGGGACCCCGCATTGCCCCACCCAGCCAAGCCAAACACGCAGGTCCAGGGGTCACTTGAGCTTTAATTCTGGGAGGAGGGATCTGCCTGACTGATGCGCCACACTTGGAGATTGGCCCGCTGATCCCCTGCGCACTCGGCTGCGCGCTGCAGCGCCAGTCTCCTCTGCAGTTTCCCTTTCAGCTCTGCTGTCACATCTGCCAGCCCTGGGAGTGGGGAGAGGGGTGGTCCCTGAGGCTTCAGCGGCACCAGGGATTCCCCAGTCCAGGCTGTTCTCTCTTATATCCACCCAGGACCGCTGCAGAATTTTCGGGGCCCAGCATAAAATGAAAAATGTGTTCAGTGGACATGAGGAATTTCAAGATGGACACAGCAGAGCATTAAACCAAGCGTGGAGGTCACCCATGTGTGACTACACGGGTCCCCCGCTTGTGAAGCCCACCCTGCATTGACCCCTTACCTGTGGTCGGGGAGGAGAAAGCCTGCGCTGAGCTGACTGCCAGCTTCCTGGCCAGGCCACTGTTGAGGCCTTTTTTGGGCTCTGGTGGAGAAGGTAGATGAAGGCTGAGGCTGGCTCTTGGCTGGATGGGAAAGGGGCTGGGAAGAGGGACCCCTACCTGACTTGGGCACAATGGGTGGCTTTGGAGGCTTTGCCTGAAACATGGCCAACTTCCTGGGCTTCGGGACAACTGGTCGACTAGGGGAAGGCACTGCGTGGACAGAGATGTGGCATGTCACATCCAGTCGTTAGCCCGCTCCTCATTTCCAACTCTCATCCACCCCGGCCGCCACCCACCGTCCCCGTTCACGTAGTTGGCAGCTGGGTCATCTCCAATGGGGATCACATAGTTCTCATCCTGGTTCAGTAGTGGGGGCAGCTTGTCCTGGCTGGACACAGGCGTGATGGACGAGGGAGGCATCTGCTTAGGGCCACCGCTAGGGGGTGCAGGACCTGGTGGGAAACTGTGGTCACTGTCAGGGCCCACGTGGTGCAGAGACGCCTCAGGATGAGGATGTGTGTGCACACCTCGTTGCATGCATGTGTGTCTGTGCCCGTACCCGTTCATGAGTCTGTGTGTGTGTCCCTGTGTAGCATATACATGGACACTGGGTGAATTTGCAGAAGTTGAATATATGCAAAGGGTTTATACACACGTGTGTGCATGACATCGCATGGATGCTAAGGTATGTGCTTGGCCGCTTGTCTGTATTAGTGTGTGCACTAATTTAGTGTATGTGTAAAAGTCTGAATTTGTGCTCTTGAGTGGGTATGTCTGCATCTGTGTGTACGTACGTGATTGTGACGTGAGGTATGTATATGTGTGCTACATGGGACTGGAACTGTGTGACACCTGTATTCATGTATGTGTGCAGCTACTATCTACATAGGAGCTTCTGATTATGCAGGTGGACACACACAGGTTTGTGTTCATGAGTGTGGCATGTATATATGTATGTATACTTGGGCCCATCATGCACGTGGGGTCCGAAGCATCTGACCAGCCCAGGGAGAACTATACTGCTCACTCCACAGACCTTTCCAGTCTCTTGCTTCGTAATCGGGACTACCTCCCACCCTGATTTCCCATCTCTACCTACTGAAATCCTTGGGGACCTTCAGCAAACAGCCCCTCCTTCAGGAAGACTCCCCTCTACTCTAACCTGCCTCCTCTTCTCCCAGCTCTAGGTGCCGCGCCTTCCCCCACACCCTCCAGCCCCAGGTTCGACTCCTCAGGGCTGGGACTGTCTGTGCCCAGCCATGCCCGCCCCCTCCATAATCTGGAAGCCCCTGGAGAGCAAGGTCTGGGTAATTTCTCGGCCCCTGCAACTCTGGGTAGAAGATTGGGCACAGGTGGCGCCATGAGGTTCCTAGGTCTTTCCCCACTCTGCCCCAGTGGCGACCGCGGGGACAGGGCATCACCTGGGCCGGGGGCCGAGGGCGCCACCCACACACTCTCGCCATTCTCTTTATCCGCCTCCACGTAGCCTGGAACAGAGAGGGCGGCCTGGAGGAGGCACGGCGGCTGGGGGCTGACCCAAGGGTGTCCGGGTCGGGGAGGGGGCGGGAGAGGCGTGGACTGGGCCCCCAGAGTTCCCTGAGGCTGCACCAACCAATCACTTTCTCGTAGTCATCGTTCAGCAGGAAGGGCATCAGCTTCTTATTGGAGTGCGACACGAAATAGTTGACCACTGCGTCGAGCGAGGTGCAGGAGAACTGGGGTCAGATAGGGGACGTTATCAGGGCTGGCGGGGAAAGGGAGCAGACCTTTGCAATACCCGGGACCCGGGCCCAGCGCTCACCGGCTCCTCCACGTCGATCACGTACTTGGGGCCCTCGCGCTTCACTCTGTAGTGCCGGACCACCGGCGTCCTGCAAGGGCAGGGGCGAGTGAGTGGCCTGGGTGAGGACAAAAAATGGCCTGCCCCTCGTCCGGGCCCCGCCACCATGGAGGGCCCAACCCCGACTTGCTCCCCTGCACACTGACCACGCCACATCCTGGCGTGGGTCTCTGCAGGGGACCAGGCCCTCGAAAGACTCCACCTCCTAGAAAAACCCTGCGCCTGGTCCTGGCATAGCCCCCCAGTAGGACCGTCCTGTATGGATTCCATCCCGGGAGGCCCCGCCCCCGGCTCCACATTCTGCCTGGCCCCGCCCCTATATATGACCACACCCCCACACCCGACGCCCCTCCCACCCCGGCGCCGGGGCCACGCATGCGCACCCGTTGAGCGTCTGGAGCGTGCTGACCGACACTCCGCCCGCGCCGTCCCCGCTGGGCCGGAGCAGCAGGTTCCCGCACTCGGGGTGGCGCTCCAGGAGCAGCTGAGCCTCCAGCCGGCTCACTTTCAGGAAACACCTAGGGCGGGCCGCGTCACTCACCAGGACAGGCCCCGCCCCCAGAGACACAGCCACGCCCTCCCCACGTAACCCCGCCCCTGGGCACCCAGCCTTGCCCTCCCGTCCACGACCTGGTTCCTGGAGACCCTGCCTTGCCCGACCCCAGGCCCAGGCTCTGCCTCCGGAGGCTCAGGCTATCCTGCGGCCACACAGGCCAACACTCAGAGACCCATACCCGCCTCCCAGACACCTATACCCTCTCCTGGAAAACTTGTCCCGCCCCCAGGCACCTAGGCTCGCCCATGGAGATCCAGGCCCGCCCCCAGGCAGCTAGACCCGCCCCAAACACCCAGTAGGGCTCCCAGCTGTGAGACCTAATCCCCGCCCCTGCCCGGATGCAGTCTTACGCTCAAGACCCAACACCTGGAGACCCCACTCACTGCCCTCTCCGGCTCCATGCTGTCCAGCCCGCCACCATCCAGGAGACCCTCGGCACTTACGAGGGCATCTCGAGCGCACGTCGTGCCTCTTCTTTGGCCAGGACCTCGGCCATCATGTACAGGTGTCCGGGCAGCAGGTTCAGGTTAGACGGGACACGGAGCTGCGGGGGGCATTGGGGCGTCAGGGAATGGGAGGCTGTGACTATGTCACAGAGGGGCAAACTGAGGCCAGAGTGCGGATACAGCCAGGATGGGAACCCAGGTCTGGGGGCTCCAGAGCCACCTGACACCTCAGGGGCAAAGAGGGCATAGAGAGGACTTCGGTGATGAGGAGGACAGAGCAAATGCTAGCATGTAGGGTCTCAAACTCAACGGCCTGCAGGGGGCAGACTGGGAACAAATGAGTAACCTAGAAATCAGGAATGTTTACTAACACTCCTGCTTTTTAAGTGATAGCAGCTGTCTTAAATTTATAGCACTTTGTTGGCAAAACAAAAGACGTTTATGGGCTACATCTGGCTCATAGGCCGCCAGTTTGTGACAAGTTTGCTATACTGGAGAGGTTTGTTTGGGGAATGAAGGTTGGAAATTAAAAAGAGGATTTCCGAGCAGGCCTAGTGGGGAATGGGGGAGAGAGGGGCCGAGGACGACCACTCTTACCTCCACCGCCGTCAGGATGAAGCCTTTCCACATCTCCCGAGACTCCAGACTCTCTACCTAAGGAGGGAAAGAAAAAGATTTTGTGTCGATGAGCCTCGGTCTAGTCATCTGTGAAATGGGAGTGAGGAATAAGAGTCTCTGTGTCCAAGGGCTGTTTTGAAGATTAAATGAGCTTGAACAGGTTAATTTAGAATGATGTCTGAATATAAGTTCTTAGTAATGTGGGGTACTGTTATTCTTTAATGTTATTACATCAACATTAAAAAAAAACATAAGTCAGATCATGTATCTCCTATGCTTGAAACCCTCCCTTGACTCCTACCTCCCTCAGGGTAGAAGCCCAGGTCCTCCTGGTCACCCACAGGCCCTGTACAACCTGCCCCTTTCCCCCCTCCCCAACCCTCATTCCCTCCCTCTCTCCCCCTCTTTCACTCTGCTCCAGCCACAGGGGCTTTATATATATATATATATATATCTCACATCTTCTTTATCCACTCATCTGTCAATGGACATTTATGTTGCTTCCATGTCTCGGCTATTGTAAATAGTGCTGCAGTGAACATTGGGGTGCATGTATCTTTTCAAATTATTGTTTTCTCCCGATATATGCCCAGGAGTGGGATTGCAGGATCATATGGTAGCTCTATTTTTAGTTGTTTAAGGAACCTCCATACTGTTCTCCATAGTGACTGCACCAATTTACATTCCCACCAATAGTGTTAGGAGGGTTCCCTTTTCTCCACACCCTCTCCAGCATTTATTATTTGTAGACTTTTTGATGA